CTTGGCTTTTCTGGTCCTTTTCCTTGACGGATGTCAGAAGTTGTCTTTGGTCTGTGTGTAATATGCTACCCATGTTAAATCCCTTGCAAGAATCTTGCCATTTCTTAACTTGCTTGCTTCCAACAAAGCCAACAGCACACTTAGACTGTCCCAGTTTTGCCATGGTAACGTCTGTGTGGCATTCCTTTTAGAACAGCACCTGTTCCCTTGATTTCTACGATGTCATCCTTTTTGTGGATTTGCACATGTGGCCAAAGGAACACAACTACGTTTTCTGAAAGAGAACATATACCGGGTGTCTCTCTTCCCCTTTGTGTTCATCATTCTGACAAATTAACAGAAGATGCTGCTTCTGGATGATAGGGCCTGTCATTTGCAGGCCATTTCCAGGCCATTTGCAGTTCTTTTGTCAATTTTACACTTAAAAGTTAGTAGCTTCCCTAGGCACAGCAACAGTACCTATCACTCGCCACTAGGCTCCCCTGAGATCTGGGCCGTGGGACACTGATAGCAACAGGGAGCTGACTTTGCCCTGAGTTTCTCCCATTCCCTTCCACTTGTGTTGCAACTGCAAGTAGTGAAAGTCCTCTTGCACACAAATACCTGCACTTTTTCATTTCCCTGCTTCTCTTCATCCAGCCACCTACTAGTAGCACAATTTGGTGCTAGTCACTGTTTCCTATCAAAGATATTTCTTGACCATAACTTTGAAAATTCATGACTCTATTCCAAAAGAAGGTTCCTATTAGTTGGTTTTATACTACACACTTCAGTTGGTATTGTAGCCCAAATAATACTGTATTCCAAGTATTATAATCCCTTTTCCAGTTCTCCTTACAATCCATAAAGCTGTATTTGTAACCCCATTGAGATGGATTTGGAATCCCAGCAAGTTAATTTCAGTCTACCACCAACAATGAAATCCACAGCGAGAGTAAAGACATCAAGACATATTCAAAGTTCAGGGCAGTCAAGGGGTCCAAACCCTGATCCAAGTGATGATATATGGACAAAGGCCTTGATTCAAGGCCTCTCCCAGAATTTATCCTGTGAAGGGGGTGGCTGGAGGAACAGGACTCCTGAGGACAGTGGGAATACCACACGAGTATCTTGAGCTGGCTAGCCAGATAGGGAAGAAAGCATCTTTACAGAATACAGAATGACATGCAAAAGCATCAGTCTGCATAATTCAATGAAGGCAGCATTTGAATTGTAAAGGAGGCTGTTGCTTTGGCTTCTGATATGTAAACTTTTGTGCCCTGGGGAGTCATAACCTCTTACTTTAAGGCTGGTAGCCCACTGACATTCCTGGAGCTGACTGGCGCTGCCATCCCATCGTGCTTCAGTCTTTTACAGAGAACACTACGTGAGCCAATGAAATTTGTCAGTTGGCCTAAAATATTACATTCTAGTACTTCAGCTGGCTTTATCTGCATCACTGAAAGCCAAATGAAGGAAGAAGCAAACAGCATAGCCCAGTCTCTGCCTATCAGTATATGGAAATGACTTAACTAATTTGCACAGTTGTTCTGCAGTCAAGGTAACTCACTCAAATTGTCTCTGAAAGTTGGGATAAAAGGGTACAACAGAGAAAAACTGGTCGTTGGGCTCATTCAGGCATGTTTTTGGTAGGTGATTATGCAAGAATGTTGTGCTGGGAATGATAGTAAAATGAAAAAATAGGCCATTCATGGACTATGGGGGGAGAGAACAAGGCCCAACAAGAAGCAAGCCTCCTCCCCGCAAAACCAGTGCCATGCACAGGCTACTGTTAAGTGTGGGGAGAGCCATGCCCTTCCCCATAAGTCAGCGACATTTACAGACCACAGGGTGGGAGGGGGAGAACAAGGCCTCACCAAGTAGCAAGCCCCATCTGTGGACCAGCGCCATGCGTGCTGGCATGGGGACAGCCAGACCCAAGCCTTTCACCGAGTCAGCACGATGTGCAGACTGCGGGGAGAGAGAACAAGTGGGGACAGCAGACCCGCGCCCCTTCCAGCATGGAGGCTGGCAAAGTACCAATCCTCCCCACACACTGCAAACAATTGGCTGATCCAGAGAAACACAGGCTGTGATGATAGGAAGAGGTGAAATACAGTTTGGTGCTAGTGGTGCTTCAGTGATCTTGCTGTGGTCTGATTGTCTGTTCAAAGAATGGCAGTACACAGTACGGCACCTAGGTGCGATCTCCTTTTGACAGTGGTAGTCATTGTTGATTCCCTATTGTCTTGTTGAAGTCCTGTATCATTTTCATTGTTTTGTTGGGTTTTGTTGTTTTGATTTTGTTATATCTGCTGGTATGAACAGCTATTTCAAAGGTAGCAAAATATATTATGGTAGCCATTTTGGATTTATTATTGTCTTGTTTTGAAGTCCTTTATTGCATTCATTGCTCTTTACTGTTTCTACTCTGTTGATTTTTACTATGTCTGAAGGTATCTGTAGCTATTTTGAAGACAACAGGCATTATGGTAACTACTGTTGATTTTGTAATGTTTTGAAGTCCTGGGTCACTTACACTGGTTTGTTTTGATTGGTTTTATTGTTTTACTTTACTTGCTTTTATCCTCTTTAAAAAAAAAATAACAAGGCCCAAGAATGTAGCTCAATGGTAGAATGCCTAGCAAGTGTAAGCCCTGAGGTTCAATTCTCAGTACTGCACCAAAACAATAAAATAAAAAAGGAGGGATAAAGCAAGGGAAGTGGTTTGCAAGAGCGTGAACCTGTACTGCAAGAGATTCTCCAGACACATACAATCAGTGTTATCTAAGTATGTAGAAAAAAACAAAGAAATTGACCCACACGTTTGTGGGGACTGATATGTCTAAAATCTATAGGACAGGGCAGTGGGCTAGAAATGGCAGGTCAGCAGGCTGGAAAACTCAGGTAGAATTCCTATGATCCAGTCTTAAAAGAAGCCAGCCTCTCCCAGTCCGCTTTTAAGGCCTGACTTGACTGCTGGATGAAGCCACTTATATTACAGAGGGCAATTTATTTCACTTGAATGGCTACTGACTAAAACACTAATCACTTCTAAAAAATATTTTCACAGCAAACCACAGATTGGCATTTGAATCAGCAACTGAACACCACAGCCTAGTTAAACTGATACAAAAAACTAATTATTGCACCATCCTATTGCCTAATAGCCAGCCATAAGTCAATGCTACAGCCAAACAAGTGGTTTTCATAGAAGCATAATTGAGGAAGAGTACTAGGGATCTTTGTGTAGCCACTTCCCATTTTCTGAAAGTGCAGGGAATTCAGCACTATGGTATAACCTGTAATCCCAAGGTTTTAACACTGGTTCCTGCCTTCCAACAAAATCCCAGCTATATGAGAAAACAATTTCTGTAAACAAACAAAAAAATCAAACTTGTATTGTTTACTGTAAAATATCCAAAAAGCAGATGGATTTTTCTGAAGAGAAGACTGGGTACTCAGGCTGACCTCTTTAAGAACACACTGGAAGCTTTCTTAGAGGAATTGACTAGTTCTACTCAAAACCAATTAGAAAGCTGTATGCTACAGGCTCTAGGACAGTGGTGGTGAACTTTTTAGAGACATGTGCTCAAACTGAACTCAAATCTCACTTATTGCTAAATGCCAATACTGCAGTTAAACCTGAATACTGAGCTTATAGTTTAGAAAAAACAACTCACACATTAGCACCTGTGCCATAGGTTTGCCACCACTGCTCTAGGGCAAGACTTTGAAGTAACATTTAAATGTTTAAGTGCATTATTTACCTGTTGAAGCATATTTGCTAGATTCCAGAGGTGAAAAGAAGAAATGACTTAAGTGGGAATGCCAAAGTATGAATTACTGAAAACACAGATTAACAGAAAAGAATATTTAAATACAGTGCAAAGAACAGTAACTTCCATTTATATATTTGCTTATTATAGGGGGAGGCTGCAATAGGATCTTACTAAGTAGCTTCATGCTGGCTGGCCTTGAATTTGCAGCAATTCTCCTGCCTCAGCCCTGAGTACTGATTGGACTTACAGATGTGCACCCTCACAGCCATTTCTAAAATAAACTTTGTTTGAACAAGTGTTAGAATTCCTAACAAAATTGAGGCTAATTCCCACACAGATTCTTAGTAACAGGTTACAGTAATACTAAGCTACCTTAAGGAATCTCTTACACTCAAACATACTGTCTCACCCCCGCTGTGCCTCTGCCCCCACATTCCCCACTCTCAGCATTCTTGCTAGGGTTGCACATTTGTACCAGTGCCACATAGTAGTGTTGGGCAGAGCACAGTTTCACTGGCCTAAAATCCCTGTGTCCCACCAAATCACCCTTCCTATCCTACTGACCTCTGGCAACCTCATCTCTTTTTATTGTCCTCTTGGTTTTTCTGGACTGTTGCATATCTGGGATCACACAGTATATGTAGTATTTTCAGACTGGCTTCTTTTCTTTACTCATATGCATTAAAATTTCTTGTCAGTTCCTAACTTTTTTGGTGGGGATTTCTGAGACAGGGTATCACTTTGCATTTCAGGCTGGCCTTGAACTCACTTGGCAGCCCAGGCTGGCCTGGAACTGGCAACAATCCTCCTGCCTCAGCCTCCCAAACACTGGGATTATAGGCGTGTGCCACCACACCCAGGGTGTCATTTCATAACTTAATAATGTATGTCTTTTTAGCACAGAATAATATCCCATTGTCTGGGTGCTGCAGTTTATGTATCTATTTAACTATTTTGATTTTTCAAAGCACTTTCTTAATATATAAACACTTTGAGAATGTAAACCTCATTCCCCAAGTCTTTCCAAAGAACGTCTCCTACAACAGTGCTTTAAGCATTGCATTTTCTGTTTACTTTATGTTTCTCTTCTACTTAACCAGAAATTTGGCCAGGCTCCTAAGTGATGACCTATTTATTGAAATGCCTGGATCAGAGAAATAAGATCTGACTGGCTGATGCCAAAAAATGGAGCCTCAATGTTGTCTTCATTCTCTTTACCATAAATGCACTAGATAAGACTTTTTAAAAAGCGTGCGCGTGCACACACACACTCATTACATATATTTGTCACCAAGGGATCACAAAGAGGTCACAAAAAAAGGGAGGCTTTAGTTCACAACATACATCCTGTGAAAACATATTTCCTTTTCTGTGTAGTTTACAATACTCATATAAATTTAAAGCAGTTAGACAACACTTGAAACTAAATTGGTAAAAAAAATAATATAATAATGCAAACTTCAGAATCTTGTGAAGGACAACAGAGAAATATTAAATGTGTAGAATTATCAAACCATAAGAGCATTTTCTTTTACAAAAGTGTCCCAATAAAACAAAATCAAAATTAAGGAAAACATAAAACTCAAATCAGATATTTTGGTTTAATACTTTCCCTGAGTCTCTTGCTTTTAAAAAATCAAATATAAGTAATACCATTTCAAATCGACCCACAGGCCTTACCTCCTCCATGCTGCCATGGAGAAGAATTCATTTAAGACAAGAGGCCACACACACACACACACACACACACACACACACACACACACACTGACATAGTCCCAGGGCTTTCAAATGCCAGTCTGCCTGTGCCTCTGTCATAGGGTCATCCTAGCCATTGCTATACATGAACTTAAAGAACTACCAACATTTTATTTTGACCTGCCATAAAATAATCATGAGACTGCATACAAAATACGGATGAATAACTTCACTCATAAATAGTAAATTTCTAATTGCATTTGCATACTATATACATCAAACTGTAGTAGTATGACATACAGACAAATACTTTAGGCTTCAAAAAATCTTACAGAAACAGGAGTTTGTTGACAAAGCAACCCCATGTACTAAATCTGAATTACAAAAACAAAACAGAACAAACCTTAAAAAAATTCACTAGCTCCTAATAAAACAAAATAGAAAAAAATTTTAAGTCGATGCTTGAATAAGGGCATTCTCTAAGGGCTGGGGATTTAGCCCAGTGGTGTAAGTGCCTCCTGGCAAGCGCAAGGTCGTGAGTTTCGATCCCTGGCACCAAAAAAAAAGAGAAGAAAAAAAAGAAGCAAAGATCAGTAACTTGAATAAGGGCATTTTCATTCTGAAAAAGTAGTTGTCTCCTTACTCCTCAAAGAAAATCGGCCCCTACTGTTTTGTATGATCACTTCATCTCAATCAGAAGAATGTGTATATACATTTATAAGGATTTATGACTACAAATGATCAAGCACTTGATTAAGGATAATAGGTTTGAAACAATTTTAAGAAACTGTTTTTATTTCAAATATCCTAAGTCATTTGTAAATACTTTAGTTCACATTTTCTAACCAAATGTAGAAAAAACTTGAGCAGACTTTTTTTGAGACAGGGTTTATGTAGCCCATAAGTTGAAGGCTGGCCTTCAACTCACTATTATCCTCCTACCTCAACTTTCCGGGTGCTGGGATTACAGGCATGCACCATCATGCCTGGCCAGACTTATTTTTACAACCATTATTGGAGCATCTCAAAAAGAGATGGCAAGGATCTGCTAAACTCTAGATCGTCCCCCATCATAATGAAATTTCAACTGTACACTCATTTCCAAAAAACTAATGATCATGTACTACCTCAAAATTTAGAGGTACATGACACTTTCATATGCTTATTTTCCTTAACAGTGCACCTCATTGCACAGATGGGTATGCTGAGGAACAAAAAGATGCTTTTTTTTTCTTTTAAAGAGTTGTCTATCTTTTAACTTACTGTCCAGAAACATGCCTATAACCCTGTTACTAGGGAGGATGAGGCAAGGGTACCACAAATTTGAGAGAGGCCAGCTTGGGGAGCTTAAGGAGACTGCCTTAAAAGGTGGTGGTAGGATGTTGGGGTTTAGTTCAACACCCAGTGCATTCCATTCTTAATACCATTAAAAAAATATGGAGGACAGACAGGGAAGCCAAGGCCAAAACTACAGCCTGAAAGATAGCGGCCAGACACATGTGGGGCTGAATTAATTCCAACTTTGCATGAAATGTTATATTAACTCAACTTGCCTTTTTTGCATCACACCTGCTAGATGGCTTTAACTTCAAAACCGAATCCTTTAACACACTTGCTAAACAGCACTTAACACCTGCCTTCTCTGACCTCATGAATAAGGCTAGTCAATGCAATTAAAACAAAACAAAAAGAACACCACATGTTGTATTATATGTAATGACAAAGGTTCAATTATAGTATTTGGTCCCCTTAACAGAAAAAAAAATCTCAAAGCTGTAACAGTAAATAAACATAAGCATGTGATATTTTATGTTTTGCCTACTAAGCGAACAGATAATGTACAACTATTTCTTGACCAACTTTCTATCCTGAGAGACATCATCTGACCCGGCCAGTTACCATTCCAGGTCTACAGGGTAGTTTCCTGTGAGACAAGCTGTACAGTGACCATTATTTACAAAACACTCCAGGCCATTTCCATTTTGCTGAATCATATTATCATGTTTTTTCACTTTCCGTTTTTTAAATATTATCTCTTGTTGTACAGATGAAACCAGTCCTTCTACTGACAGATACACAACACTGTTGGCTCCTATAGGAGGAAAGAGCAAAAAAAAAAACATCAAAAGTTTTTGATTTCCTTTAGAAAAGAAGAAGTGCTTCAATAATTATAAATAGCATAATTTAAGTCAGTACACAACTTTCTCTTTAGCATTTACTAAAAGACAAAGGCAGATAGACAGAAATATCAAGAAAATTCAGATTTAAAAATTTTAAATAGCAGATAACAACTGAAAACAAAAGATGCTTCAATTCTAGAAGGCTTAAAGAGTAACTTTCTTGACTGACACAGGGGTTTTTTTTGGGGGGGGGGGGTGTCAAGGTTTCACAATGTAGCCTAGGTGGGCCTTGAACTTGAGATCCTCTGCCTTTACCTCCCAAATGCAGAGATTATAGATATGGATCACCATGCCTGGCTTGAGAAAACAATTTTAAAGACAAACATTGGGTCTTACATTTAAGCTTAACCTAATTTACTTAAGTCCTTCCTTTATAAAGTGGGGACTATTATAATAAAGAGAACATATATAGCAGAGTTCCGGGCAGAGAGGCTGCTAACAGTACGATACCTATGGGGATGATAGTTATAACATTTAAATGGTAAGGCACAGACATGAACAGTCAAATAAAATGCAAGCCACAGATACAACAAAGTACAATAAACAGAACATCCTATGATACTAAATAGTTTACATATCCTCTGACTTTGAAAGGTAAAGGTCTTACCCAAGATAGTTTGGATGTATGAGTCTCATTCTTGGAGATAAGATTACCCAAGCACTTGACTTTTTAATCTATATCATATCCAAATTATCTTATTAGCATCTATAATAAACCTGATTTTGTTTTTCTTGGGCCCCGACTGCCGTGTGCTCTTCCTAGAAGCCCTTTCTCCTTTCTCTGCCCTTGCTCTCCAGCAGTCTTTACTCTGGAGTCCACTTGCCCCCCACACCTGCTCTTCAGACCAGTGCTCGCTGCCTGCTCAGCATACTGGATGAGACGAGCCCACACCACTTTTTCTTAAAGGCTGACAGGCTTGGGACGTTTTGTTAATAAGCAGTTGAGGATAAAGTCTATAGAAATATGAATACTCACCAAGATATTCTGCAAGATGAGCAAACTCTGGTTTATTGGCAATGAGCTCTTCTTTTGTGGGAATGTTTATTCCCATGAAGCACGGATATCTGATTGGTGGTGAAGCCACTCGAATGTGCACCTTGGAAAGAAATTGTTTCACATAATCACAGTAAGAATAATTATCAGTATTTTTTCACTGTCAAATACAATCTAAGACTGTTCCAGAGAATGTACTGTTGAACAGAGTATGGTTAAAACAAGTATACTACAGTCGGGCATGGTGGCACATGCCTGTAACCTCAGCATACAAGAGGCTGAGGCAGGAGGATCCCTGAGTCCAGCGTGGACTACAAACTGAGTTCAAACCCACCTGAAATGCACAGTAAAATTCTGTTTCAAAAAGAACAAAAAACAATAAAATGTAAAAAAACAAAGTAGACAACAGAATTTGTTTCACTAATAACAACAGATATTTTTTCTTCCTGGCCCAGGGATTTAGCTCAGTGGCACAAGTACCTGCCTGGCATGTGCAAGGTCATAAATTTGATCCTGGCACAAAAAAAAAAAAAAAAAAAAAAAAAAAAAAAAAAAAAGGCATAAGACTGGCTACAGATACTTTTGTTTCCTCAGATCACTGACGTTTCATTTAATGGCTTTATATTCCCAGTGCCACTTCCATTTTTCTCTTGTAAGATCTGAAAGATGCTACCTTCTTACTTTATCATATTAGAAAGAAAGATGCCATATGAGCTACCAGGTTGTAACAAAATTTCACTACCCTAATAGAATTAGTTTTGTCTATTATTACTTTTTACCTTATGGCAGGTCTATATACATGGCTATAATCAGTGGGCACATGTACTTTTAAAACTTTCTCACAAAAGAAAAGATCTGCTCTTGTTATGTAGCCTTTGTGTAGTTTTTACATCATCATCATCATGTTTCATCACACTGAGCTATCACTTTAGTAAACTTTTATCACAGACTGAACCCATTTCCAGGTTCTTTATGGTTTATAACAGATCCTAAATTTATTTCATGTTTTTGTTTCTATTACATAATTTTAGGTTTGCAAGGTAATTATCATAATCAGGCTGGAATTAATCAAGGCTGGAAAATCATAATCTTAATTGTCTTTTAAATATTCTAAACAGACTGTCTTATTGTTTGATATCTTACTTTCTCCTATATTGGATTTTCTTTTTAGATTTGCTCAACTATTCATAGCAAATGGCATCTCACTTCTGTAATTCAAACTACTCAAATATTTAGTTAGAATAAGCTTTTAAATTTAAAAATGTAACTTAATACAGTCATACCTCAGCATATCACGGGTTTGGTTATAGGAGAATTACATATTTTAAGCCCTGAATAGGCAACTTAGTAAGGATGTGGGTGTGTGTGGGATGGTGGGCAGGGGGGCAGACAGATAATGGGGTGAACCCACTGATGAGTATCTTTACACATTAAAATAGTTCATGTGGGAAAATGATGCCAACGGACTTGCTCAACACAATGGTACTGAAAACCTTTAGTTTTTAAAAAAATCGCAATACTAGCTCAAGATTTAGCTTAGTGGCATAGGCATCTGCCTTGCAAGCACTAGGTTGTGAGGTCGATCCCTGGTCCAAAAAAAAAAAAAGATTTAACTTTTTTTAGGATTAAATTAGTATATAGTCTAACAGTGGTTATTCCATGTTCTCCAAATTGTTAGTTTTTCATAAAATGATCTAATGTGTACACATGAGCAGCAAATATACACATAAACAATCTAGTATGAAAAGTTAGTCTATTATATTGAACTATCCATCCTGTGTACTAAAGTGCAATTTTTATGCCAAAGTCATACTGAATTAACAGTAATATTAAAATTATATATTAAATATATAATATGATTTAATGTAATTAAATATTAAAATATTAAAATTAAACTATTTACTGATACTTTAGAATATTTTAATATTACGTACCTCTTTTGCCCCAGACTCTTTGAGCAATTTTATTATGGGGGAAATGGTATTGCCTCTCACAATTGAATCATCTATAAGGACAATTCTTTTGCCTTTAAAGTTGTCTGACAATACTCCAAACTTTTTTGCAACACCAAGTTGTCTTAATCTCATGTTTGGCTGAATGAAGGTTCTTCCTACGTATCGATTTTTACACAGCACCTCCACATATGGAAGTCCACTCTGATAAACAAGAAATAAACAGAAATGAGAAGAAAAAAACTTGCATAAGAAATTAATGAAAAAGCAAAAGAGTTGCTTTTTAGGGGCAGAAGTAACTCATTCATTTCTCAAGGTAACTTTCTCTAAATATATACACAGTCTTTTGTTTTTTAGAAGCTAGGTATGGTGATACAAATCTGTAATCCAGCACTCGGGAGGCTAGGGCAGGGAAACTGTGTTGGTTCTCAACAGTTTTGGATTCTGGATCATTTCAGATTTTGGATTTTTTTATTACCCTGGCCAATCCACAGTACTTCCTCTTTATAGGCCACACAATTCTTATTTCACTGCCATGAGAGCAATTCTTTGTGTTCTAATGAGGAAAAAGTACCTTCTTTGCATAACCAAGAGCAGCAGGCGTGGCAGACTCTGGAACAGTGCTAACCAAATCTGCTTCCACAGGTGCTTCAATGGCCAGCTGCTGACCGCAGCGGTATCTTACTGTATAAACCATTTGGTCTGGTATATTTGGAAACAGAAACAGATTATTTTTACTCAGCATAATATAATACTGCCACTCTAAAAAGCTAGTGCTAGGACTCTATAGGTGGAGTATGAAAATAGTATACAAAAACAAAAAAGTGGAAATACATCAACTGCAGCATTTTTAAAATTTGAACTTCATATCCGTGAACATCGTAACTCTTACTCCTTAAAGAACAACAACAACAACAACAACAACAAAAAAGAACAACAAAATAGTCAGGTGTAGTTATCACGTGCCTGTAATCCCAGCACTCTGGAAGGCTGGGGCAGGAAGCTCAGGAATTTACGCCCAATTTGGGCAACTAAGTGACTTAGCAAGACTCTGTCTCAAAACTTAAAATAAGAAAGAGTTGGAGTGTAGCCTGACACTGCAAAAATAGACCCACAACATATACAGTGTGTCCCCCACCAAAGCGTATTCACTCAGCAATTCACTGTCCTAATAAATGTCTGGAAGCTAATGGCTGCCACTTTGAGCACCTCCTGTAATTATAAAGGCCAAAAGTAATTTGCATTAATCTCATGATGGCTCAGTAAATTTAGTATACTAATATTTAGTATTTATACAAGTTTTCCTAAGTTTTGCTTTTTTGGGGCAGACTCTGTATAACCATGAACCTTCAGACAGTCAAGAAAACTTCTGGGCCAAGAGCTGCCATGTTTCAGTGAGATTAATGGAAGATTTCTATAGATAGGAAAGAAAGCTTACCTTCAAACATACTATCTGGTCTTGCAAAATAAACATATTCAAAGATACAAAAAGCCACAGGGTTTCCTTCAGATCTTGATATGGTATCAAGAGTTCGGACACCATGTCTGGATATTTCCACAATTTCCCCAGGTAAGATTTCACGATAGTATCTTGGGAAACAATGTGAAAGAAGACTTTCAATAAACTAGTAGTTAGGGCTGATGAAAAGATCGATTATAAAGCAAAGAGTCTCTTCCCAAATCTAGAGATGGCTTAAAAAGCAAAACGAAATTAATCCCTATTACCAGTAGTTTCTATAAATCTTTTTGTTATCCCTAAGTCAGTGGTAGCAGAGCCTATGGCATACTTGTCATCTATTTTTCTTTTAAGACAAAAGATGTTAATGTATGCATTGATTTTGTAAACTAAAACCTCAGTACTTACGTGGAATGGCAGTGTTGTCACTTCGAGATAAAAAAGTGGGTTTGATTTGCACTTTGGGTGCTCATCTCTAAAATGTTTGCCATCACTGCCCTAAGATCTAATTTAGAATTTTATAATTCAGGGCCTGTATTTTATTGAACTTTGAGAAGGTAAAGGGTAATGAGAACATTTTAATACTAGTTAAGGTTCTATCATAATTACTCCTTGCTGAGAAAGTTCTTCCTTTCTAAAATAAGTCTTGTATCTAGGTGACAGTTTAGAACTAGAAGGTATTACTGGAACAGTAAAGTCAGTGCAGCTGCTGAGTACAACATAGATAACAAAATCTGTTTTCTCATAGACATTAGAAAATCTCATGTAAATACCCAAAGAAAAACTTTTATTTTTAAATTACAAACTATGTGGGGCCCCACCCCCACCCCATCTGAGACAGGATCTTGGTGTAGTCTAGGCTAGCCTTGCATTCCTGAGCTCAAGCAATTTTCCTGACTCAGCTTTTTGACTAGCTAGAATTAGTCGTATGCACCATTATTCCCAAATAATTTCCTATCAATATGGAAAAAGATAATATGCTTAATGAGGTTAAAACTTACATTGCACCAATAGACAGAAAGCTGCAAGATTCTGAAGACACTACCCATCCTTCTGTTTCTGATGTTTTTTTCTCTGAAAATTATAAGATGATCAAATCAATTAATAGATTCAAGAAAATTTTAAAGAGAAGCTATTTCAACACATCAGTTAAACACTAGAGAAGAAGGTGATTGGACAGCTACTTCCTATGCTATTAAAAGCAAATGGGTCCTCATTTTACTTAAGACAAAGACAAAATAATCTCCTATGATTCCGTCTAGCACTATAATTTCATAGTTGAACAATACATCTCATTAGTCACCAAAAAAACAAACAAAACCCCCCAACAACAACTACTACACACATCATACTACACAAATGAAAAGGAAGGACATGAATAAGCAATTTAGAAAAAATATAGTAATGCCCATTAAATGTATTAAAAAGAACTTAGACATAGTCAAAGAAATGTAGTTTCAAACCTGAGAATATCATTTCTTTTCTGTATGTAAAGATTTTAGGATTCATCAGCAGTGATACAGTGACTCTGAAAAGCATTATAAAATTATATTCTTTCTGCAGTTCATTACCTTTGTCATTTATATCAGAACCTGGAATAAGACGACCAATGCACAGAGGTCGAATTCCATAAGGATCCCGTACTGCGTACATAACATCTCTGTACATTATAAGCAGGGAGTATGCTGTGGGTGCTTCCTTCATTAAGTTTTTAATCCTGGAATCAATCAAACAATCATTTCAGGTATGGGCATATTCAAAGAAAAGGTCCCACTGTGAGATCTGCATGCAATCAGTTTGTTTTGTTTTGCTTTTGTGGTACTGGGGATTGAACCCAGGACTTGGCCCACGCGAGGGAAGTGCTCTTGCTGAGCTGCATCCCCCACTAGCACAGTCCAGTTTTACAATTACCTTGCCACCCAGTCTGGGGTGTCATCTTGCTCCTGAGGAGGGGTATATGCCAGGAGCTGGGTAATCATTTCACTATCAGAGCTGGTTGACAGACCAATACCATGACGCAGAAGCTAAAGAGAGAGAGAGAAGTTCCATCACCAGAGGGGAAGCTCTGCCCTTCGCCCAACAGCCCAGCATCATAAAAGGAAACAGGCATTCAGTAGATGCCTAACTGGACAGGGAAGAAGTTCACTGTGGTTACATCTGCAAAAAAGGAGCTAAAAAGTACTTGGAATTGAATGCTTGGTGGCTATCTATACATGATAAACTCTCAGTAATTTTCATATTATACTTTTGTGATTGATTTTTAAAATGAACTTTTTCTCATTCATATACAAGAAATGTTTATCACCACCATTATAATATCATGGACTATGAAGAGGGTGCAGCAAAGCTCTGCTAAAGCTGAAATTTTAAAAAGGACCACACATGATGCATTTGCCTGGGCTCTAGGTGTTTGTGACCCTCTAGTTTGTCGTCATTCACTTGTTAACTGCTTCTCCGATTTGAAATGTTGGCTCTCAAAGGATAACACTGTGTCAAACTTTACTAAAAACCACCTGGCCTCGAAGTTACCAAATCAAGGTTATTGGAATCTAATGAAATGAAGAAACTAGGCATCAAATAATGAATAGCATATACTGTAGGGACCAAAAAAGAACTACTACTAAGGCAAAGACATCATATAATTTAGAAAAAAGATAGGAACTGATGGATGTGGGCATATACACGGACGAAGCCATTAGCACAGAAAGTGCCAAACATGTTGTAAGCAAAGTGTCTTGCAAGTAAAAGCTCTTCATTCCTGCTCCCAGATTCTATCTTTGTTGACTGTAATCATTTTGTTTTTCTGAGGAGGGTCCCACTGTGTAGTGTGGGCTGGCACTGAACTTGTTCAGCCCAGGCTGGCCTGGAATGCACAGCTCTCCTCTTGCCTCTGGCTCCCAAGTGCTGGGACTACTAGGTGACTGTAAATCATTTCCAAGTACCTTTTCTCATTTTCCATCTTAAGTTTATACACTATTCTTCAGATGCTTCTCTTATGGTGCAAAAATATTCAGATTGAGCTTTCATAATCCAAAAATCCAAAAAGCTCCAAAACCTGAAATTTTGATTGCCAAAGAGACACCACAAATACATCTTCCACACCATGAAACTTTATTCCATGTACGAAATTAAAACAAACCCTCAAAACTACCTGTGGTTTATGTGTATAATTTGTACAGTAAGCCTAATTGTGTTTAAACTTGGTCCCATCTCTAAACTGTGTCATTATGTATATACAGATAGCCCAAAATCAGAGATCTGAACTGAAGCACTTCTAGTCCTAAGCATGCCAGACAAGGAATACCGGAAAGGAAGAAGAAAAGTAAAACTATTCTCCACTTTTTTCTTATGCTTTTGATAATTTGACAGATACAAAGAAATATCTATGGTCATTCATTGGTGTCAACAAGGAACTGGTTGTAGGACCCCCGCAGAACCAAGATCTGTACATGCTTAAATCTCTTATTATAAATGGCTTAACATTTGTACCTTACCTAACCACATCTCCTATGTACTTTGAGTCATTTTTGGATTACTTACCATCCCTAATGACGTAAATGCTATACGGTTAGCTGCTATATTGTTTGGGGTATCATAAGAACATGTCTGGTCTAAGAGATTTTATAACTCCCACTGGCATGGTAAAACATTTTTGATCTGGGTCTGGTGAAGGAAGGGGCAGACTGCCCACTCTATGTTGATTTGTGGCCACAGGTTCTTGGCTCTTAGAACTGCTGGAATCACCAAAAGAAGTGTATTTTGTATGATAATGAGATGACTGGTAGCTAAGGGCTCCTAGATAGCCTCATAGAGTGAGTGCTTGTCAGTGAAACCCACCCTGTGTGTGATCAGAGGGCTGGAATTTTCACTAGACCTTTCAAGTCGGAAGCAGAGGGGCTAAAAGGTAAGCTGACCACCAAGGCCAACTGCCACATCCATCATGCCCACTTATTGAGGCCTCCAGGACTGTGTTCCAAGAGCCTCCAGATAGCTGAGAACTTAGAAGGACCTATCTTTGGGGACCACCTAGAGTCGTTCCCAAAGAACATCAAAGCCCCTTGCTTTTTTCCATATAACTAGCCCTATTCCTCTCTTCATCTATTTTTCTGTATTTTATATAACATCCTTTATGATGAACTGATAAATGCAAGTAAAGCACTCTCCTGAGTTCTGTGAACTGCTCCAGCAAATGACTGAAGCCAAGGTGGGAACACGGAAACTTGCAATTTATAGTCAGAAGTACCAGAGGGCTGGACTTGTGGTTGGCACCTCAAGTGGAAGGCAGGCTGATGAGTATGTTCTTAATGGGATCTGTCCCTAAGTGTAGGCTGAACTGAATCATAGGACACCTATAGTTGGTATTATTTAGGAGACTGGATGTAGAGAACTACCACATTTAGCCACAGAGGTGTCTTGTGTTAAGTTTGAAGGTAGGAAAAACAGTTTGGTTTTTCCTGTCCCATAGCAGTTTTATATATACAGGAAGACGAAGCTTCAAGGGATAGTTAAGAGCCCATAACTCTTAACTTTTCTGTAATTCTAATAGCAACCATCAATCAACTTTCCCAAATTTCAACTTTTTAAAGCATCAATTCACCTTAATAGTTCATTAAAATGTTCCCAGTTTTCTTAGAATCTGGAATCATAACAAGTATGCCAGGTAATTCTTATACAATCGTTTGCTATTGTTGCATAGCAGGTGGCAGCAATGACAGAGGAAACGTCCTTTGCCAAGATCTGCACTTTCTTTTCATTAATCTCAGACATGAAAAAAGCATTTATTAAAAATCTTACCTTTTTCCTTAACCGAGTAGCATTCACCAGTTCACCATTATGTGCCACAGCTATTTTCCCGTGGAGCGTTTCAACAACAAAGGGCTGACAGTTCTCTAACTCACACCTTCCTGTAGTGGCATATCTTGTGTGTCCAATTCCAAGATTTGAAACATATAATTTTTTCAAATTGTCTTCAGTAAAAACATGATTTACAAGACCCATGCCCTTGAGAAGTCAAAGTAAAAAGTGTCTTAGAAAAACAGAGACCAGTGCTACTATGGAGTAACAAAAGCCTGTCTGCCAAGGAATCAAAGATACCACAGGTCAATTAATTTCTTGTACTACAGAATTCTAATCTCAGAAAGGAAACGACTAAACTAATTGTAAGAACTGTGAAGAATTTACTTTAAAAATGTACACTGACATGAAATTCACATAAAATTAGCCATTTTTAAAAGTGAACAATTTTAGTGGCATTTTGGATATTCACGATGCTGAAAGTATCTGGTTTGTGATCATTAACACATTTAGTTTTTAAGACACTTCATAAAACAAATGTACTAACACAACAAAATTTGTTAAACACTAATGAAAGTTTGCATTTTACAAACATCAAAGCATCTTGAAGTATTTAAATAAATGACCTCCTGTTTGAGGACACAGCAAACTAACACTGGGAAAGAAATACATCCTAACTGGACAAATGTTAGAATATAAAGTTGGACAATGGATGATCCAAAGAGTATTACTCCAAAATTGCCATTTACTTATTCAAGATTCCTTTCTATAATATACTAATGACTTCCTGGCAATTGTTACTTTTATTATCAAAATTTTTAATGTTCAAATTTACCTTATGCATTTTGAAAGCTGGCACTGAACTCCCATCACTGGTCACAATACCAGCACTCTCCTGACCCCTGTGAAGACACGAGGAGACAAACTGTTAAGATGATACTGTCACCCATTTCTAGCTAATAAGCCAGGTACTGCCCTAAGCAGTTTTCACATAAATGGTCTAATTTGGCTTTCACAACAATCCTATGAGGTAGGAATGTTCCTCCTGGAACCCTAAAATCATATCACTTATCTCATTTATTTAAGCCTTTGCCATATACTCCTTTGGGAGACAGGGGATCTGGGCCAGGTCGCTGATAGGTATGTACTATGATTACCATTCTGCTTTACAGAGCAGCATACCAACTGGTAACTTGCCCGATGTCACAGTGAGGAGGTGAGACAGCTAGGGTAACAAAACACACAATCTAACTCCAGAACGTGGAGTTCTAACCTCTGTACAAGTAAGATTAAATAAGGTTTCAGTGGGCTGGGGATAAATGAACAAGACAAGAATGGCACCACAAACTCTGTAAAAAAGCAGGAAATTGAGCAGGAAGACTTGGTCTTTAGTACCTCCACCAGAACATCACCCCCTTAAAAACAAACTCTTGCCTTCTCTCTTTCACAGATGGATTTTTTTGCAAAAATGTGAAGTAGGTGATATGGCTCAGTGGTATTTCCCATAGCATTCCACAGACCTGATCTGATCCTTCCAGTACCACAAAAAAGCAAGTCTGCTTCTGAAAAATGTGCTGACTACGTACCGTTCCTCATGTTTGTGTCTCATTTCCTGCATTAATAATTTCAGGTAATATGATGTTTTAAAAAGCCATGTGTGGTAACACATGCCTGTAACTGCAGCACTCAGAAGGCTGAGGCAGAAGGACCACTCTGAAGACAGCAGCCTAGCCTACATAGTGAGTCTGAGGCCAGCTTGAACTGCATACCAAAACCTTGTTTCAAAAACAAAAAGAAAAGGCAAAAAGAAAAAAGAAATATAAAGTACACATCTTCCATATGCATATACATATCATTTTTTGTACTAGGGATCAAACTCATGACCTCATTTGTCAGGCAGGTGTTGCACCACTGAGCTATATCCCCAGCCCCACGTATGCATTACTTTTAAACAATTGCTATTATGTTGATTTATTTAAAAATTACATATTGTAATTAAGGGATTTTATTAATGATAAAAATGACAAATATATTTGAGAAGTAAAAAATCTAAAAATTGAAATTATTTACTGTAATGATGCATCAAATACTAAGATACAAATAAATACACACAAATACTATAAACTCTATAAAACTAAGTTTCATTTTGATGAACTAAGTTTAATTAAGAAAATAACTTGATCTTTAACCTGTAAGTGCTCGCTTTGGCAGCACATAGGCTCAACCTATGAGACCAGGTGATACATGCGTGTCACAGGAAAAAACAGATATTAACCTCATAAAAACATATTTTTTAATATAAGGCTTTCAACAATAGCTAAAAGCCTCTGGGGGTAAAAAAAAAAAAAACTGTCAAACATTTCCAAACTTTTTTTTTTTTTGGAGACAGGGTCTCGCTCTGCAGTTCAGGCTGGCCTTGAGCTTGCTTTGTAGCCCAAGCAGGTCTCAAACTTGCAAGGATCCTCAGCCTCCCGAATGCTGGGAATGCTGGGATTACAGGCGTGAGCCACCACGCCTGGCTTCCAAACAATTTTTTTAAAAAAGCAGTCATTGGGTAAAACATAGTTTCCTCTCCCCTTTGTCTAAGAGCAGATTTTCCTGGAGGCTAAATGAGTAAGGTTAGCAATCATTTGGCTCCAGGCTTCTTCAGTCACAAAGCCTGCTTACTTGACAGCTCCTCAAGTTACTCCCTCAGGCAGCCTTAACCAGTTGAGCTACATCTTTTCCAGCTCCTCCTGGTTTGTTGACAATCAGCTGTCTGGCTTCCTAGGAAACAGCTTGAGTTTGAAAGAGTGAATCATTTCCAGGTCACTTTCAACATGGAGAGTGAAGCAGGGAAGCACTGGGCTGAGGAGGAAATTAAAAGCCCTGCGAAGTGCCTGGGCAGAAAAAGCGTGTATGACAACTGTATGGAACACTGAGAAATACAGGAGTATTTATTTACGATGCTAAAAGGCTGAAGTCACTAAAAGTATGCAGAGTCTAGGAACAGTGCTGGGCAAAGTATAAAAATCTCACATATGCAGATAGAACAGTTAAATATGCCCACGACTCCAGAGACAGCTCTAAGACTATGAAGTTCCATGATCCGGATACAATCCTGCAGAGTAAATAAACCTACCACACAGTTAACAGAGGAAGATGCAAGCAGCAGAGACACCTGGCAGACCCAGAGACCCCTGAAGGTAAGAAGAAAAAGTGTCAGTCTTTTGTTTTACAGTTTTACAAACTGGAAGAGCGCAGGACCTGTGTCCACGTAATAAATATGGCCTGAAATATCAAGGCTAAAAAAAAACAATTCCAAAACTCAACGACTTTGTACATGGTAAGGATTTTTAAGAGGTTGGAAATCATCAGTTTACATCTGTAAGATACAGAAAAAGCCATCAAAATGGCACTGAGTGCCAGCTATATGTAATATGGTTTTGAAAAATGGATTATGTTCTAAAAATCTTAGGTTTTCATTTTGAGAACCAAGAGAATTTATCAAAAACACTGTTGTTTTTTTCCCCAAAGTTTCAAACAAGACACAACTTTCTGCTCCATTTTAATTTATCATTTTCCTAAATTTATAAATGAAAGCATTTCATTTTGAGAACCAAAAGAGAATTTATCAAAAACAGTTTTTTTCCCCCCAAAGTTTCAAACAAGACATAACTTTCTGCTCCATTTTAATTTATTATTTTCCTAAATTTATAAATGAAAGCACTAAAATACAAAGAATTGATAATAACACTTGTCACTTGTTTGGGAGAAAAGCTCCATTGTAAGAAGTAAAATAAAAATTGATGTAACAAGTAAATGATTGAAAACCGAGGAACTTAGATATTAAAAAAGGTTTTTGATCTACTGTGTTAAGCCCAATACTACATACACGAATCTGCTCACTTTCTGTGTAAGCAGTTTGCACCACCAGGCAAAGAGGGTACTGACGGTGATAATAAAATTTCTCCCATAGCTGAAGTCTCACAATTGCTAATTTTAGGAGCAGTTATTCAAAAGTATCTGTAACCCGCACTGTCCAGTGCATACCACCTGTAAAACGCTGATAGTGATGTGACGCCTCCAAAGGAGGGAACTGTGGATAAATCTAACATCTAATAGAAAATGGTTAACATAATGAAGCTTCCAAATGTACACAAAGGTGATTAGGATGACAAACATGACAGTTCAGTTAACCTGGATTAGCTGAACTTCCATCCATGTTTACAGCTCAACCATACATCATTTTAACAAAAACATCCACTCCACTTACAATCTTTTCTATCTAATTCTGCAGTTACTACCATGCTAACAGCAGCTACAGTATTTTCTGGACTCTATATCATTTAGGTGCTTTAAATATAATAAAAGTCACTTGCCTTCTGAAATGAAAGTACCCGATTTTAACCTGAGGTTGGTCTGATGAAGATGCCAATACCTCCACTTGAGGGGTCTTAGAAAGCCCTCTGGCTCCAAACCTTAGCTTCACTCAAACACAGGGCCTTTGCATAGTTACAACTTAGCCATCTTGGTTTAAGGACCCTCATGCCCTTTGCCCACCAAAACTGATCTTACTATATGAGGTCCATCTTATATATGTAGTAACACTGTATTTTCATGCATGCCTGTAGAAATGTTTGTGCTAACTTTAATTTTTGGTCAGTCACTTAAATGTTTAAAGTATCTACGGACACGTTTCATGCAAGTTTCTCTTTGCCCCATTCTCATCCATCATCCCTCACATAGGAACATTAAAGTAACCCCTTGAACTCACTTTTAGATTGATGACAGGCTCTAGACTTCCTCTTAATAAGCAAGAACATAAAATCCAAGAAAAACACAATGTGTGTGTCAGCCAATATGATGTCTTGTGTAAGATCAATTAATATCATTAACATAAAATGAACTGAAGAAACTACTTAATATTAGAGGTTTTAGAATTAGGTGGAGACAGACTGCGTATTAATAAGACATTAATAAATTCCTGACACAGATCTCTACCATTAAAAGAATAACATTATTAACAAAAAGATGAAAACATTTTAAAAATAAAAAAAGATGAGAGTAACTAATAAGTAAATAAAGTGGTGGCATGCATCTGTAATCAATCCCTGTAACTAGGGCATCTAAGGTGGGAGGACACAAGTTCAAGGCAAGCCCGAGCAACTCAGCTCAAAATAAAAAACAGAAAGGACAGGGGGCTGCAGTCCAGTGGTAGAGTACTCTGCGTCCAATCTCCCAGTACTACAAAAATAAATAAATGAATTTCACTTACAGAGTCATTTGTTCTGTTTCCTAATATTCCCAAGGACTAAATAAGCACTGAGTGTCACCTACACTCCTCCAAGCCGCTGCTCAAGAGCAGCTTTCGTTTTCAACCACATAGAATCACAAAATGCTCACACAGGATGAGAAAGGCACTGGAGTAACTTTTACATATTCAAGAGATTCCAGTATGTAGCCAATGCAAACCATTGGACAAAGGACAAGAAAAGGAATTCTTCACACCTCTACTAACTCAAAAGAAAAAATTATCTGCAAGACACTTTCTTATGTAATTATATTGGTTTCTATAAGCAAATTATAAATTGTATGTACAGCTTTCATTATATACTGCTATATGCCCCTCCATATACCTTTTTATTCCCACCTGATACAGGTATGGCTACATCAGTAATAGAACCTTCTAATAATTCAACTTTTATTCCAACTGTAGCAAATGAGCCAGAAGTGGGGGTGTTAATAGGCATCATCAGATAAAAGCAAACAATGGCAACCCGGGGGAACAGTGCGAAATAAAAGGATATTTGAACAAATTGCTGTCAAGCTTCAGAAATTTGGAACACAAACTGGAAATAGGGCAGAACATGTATAAAAACCTAAGACACAAATATAAGATTGTCGGAACTGCTCAAGACCTAGGCATGACCAATATGAAATTTTTTTTTTACTGAATTGGACGCTATTCTAGGACACAACAAAACTAAAAACTCACAAGAACAGGAATTCCAAGATGGAGACCAAGCTACAGAAGGCACTGATGTAAAAATGGAAGACTGAGCAAACAGGAAGACCAAAAAAAAAAAAGTATTCAAAATATTGTATCATCATAAGGATGTCCAGTTGTACAGATACATATACAATCAAAGGTATAGCAATATGTCCCATGAAGTGACATTCAAGTAGCTAGCTGCTATTTCATGAAACAGATTTCACATATGTTTGATCTCTAGAACATAAAAAAACACAGAGTTATACAAAAGAAAAAGATAAAATTGGATTTTCAGCACAGGTCAAAATAGATCAATTTGACTAAAACAAATATGCAACTCATCACAGAAACTAAAACACATTTTCATACCAATTATGGTAAAACTGAATAAATATAAAGGGGGCCAGGGATACAGCTCAGCAGCACAAGTGCCGGCCTGGCAAGCACAAGATCCAGGATTTGATGGGGTATGGGGGGAAAGGAACAGAGGTATTGAAGAACTCAGAAAAATACAAACTTCTTCAGAATGTCCTGGAAGTGGTTGATTAAATTCTTTTGGGACACATCACAAAGCTCTTGAAATAAATGTAACCCCAAAAGAATGAGATACAACACACACACAGCCATGAGAATATGAAATAAACCCACAAGTCAGAAAGTTCAAGCTTCAATTCTGTCTCTGCAAACCTTGACGCAACCAAGTGTTCCCATCAGACAGAATCCTAAAGTGGTAGGAACAGACAAGATGTTCCTATAGGCGGCTACTAACTGAGTTTACAGACTGTGCTCTCTGGCTCAAGTGATACAGTCCTAATTCTATCAGTGTATGTAACCAGGGGAGGGAGAAGATAATGACAGAGTAAAGTCTGGGTAACGGGTGGAGAAGTCTCAAAATGTTTCAGTGCTGCACATGAAGCCAGTATGGCTGAGAATTATACAATTGCCTCCCATTAAAATTAAAATGCAAGAAACCTAGAGATAAAATAGACCAACAGCAGTGGCATGACATGTCTACAGTCACTGCGAGGGACACATCTGAAAATGACTACCTTGGTCATATGTCAGAAGACCTACTCAGAGGCTCACAGATACTCAATACCTGTACTGACCCATGGAGAATTCAAATCACAGGAATCAGGTAAATAGGAAAAGTGTATCAGAATCTAAAATACAGCTCTGAAATTATTCTCTGATATTCACTCAACGATGTATTAGTTCATGACCCAATCATGTCTTTAGGCCCCACCCCTGGTCTGCTGCAGAAGTCTTGCTTGAGCAAAGCCCTCACTATTGATGTGTTGGGGGACTCTTCATTTCAAACCATAATCAGATCTTTGGGGTTACTTAGGTTTCCATGAGTCATGAACAGGTGTGTAACCCTTATAATGGGTTACACATTACCCATGCTATACTAACTAAGATACTGTAACATTACATCAAACATTGTTGGATAAAACTATTTAGAAAATACATAAAGGAAAGAAGGGGTTAATAATGCAAGTAACTTTCCCTACAGATGTTGTTCATCTTTTAGAAGCTTATTCAAAATGTAAATTATTGAACCCCAGCCAGAACCAGAAACCCAGTAATACATTTTAGCAAGTTCTCATCTCCTAAAGTCTAGGAACAGTGCCTCAACACAGAGGACACCGAGGAATGGGTTAGAGATGAGAAGATCAGAATTGGGAGGGAAGGGCTCCAAGCTCCCAAGCATAAACTGAATTCTGTGCACACATGTGGTCCTTCAGCAGAAAGCTGAGAGCCACACAAAATATAAAAGTCATGTTGACTTATCAGATTGTATACTCAAATTACTTTATCTCATATACCATATAGGACAGATTCTGTGCTTAGGCTGAGGGCATTAAAACAAAGGTCTTTGTGCAAGAGTAGTTATCGTTTATGTCAGATGTCCCCCCACACCACCCATGCAATCATGGACACCGTTGAGTCTGGGGCCTGTGACTGGTTTGTTGTCTGGCACTTGGATTGGTGGTGTGAGTGCTACACCCGCCGAGGGTGGAGCCAGCATACAGTGTAAAGTTGGTAAGGTGTGGCTTTCTCTCTTTTTGCTGTTTTGCAGCGACCATGAACTGCTGCCCCTCAGCCATGTCATTCTGCCTTGAAGCCAACTGAGTATGGACTGAAACCTCCAACCTGTGAGAAATGAACCTTTCCTTCCTAACTTTGGGCATTAGGTGTATTTGTCTCAACAAGAGAGAAAACAAGAGAAGACAGTAGGAAGATGAAAAAAAGAGAGTAAGAAAGATTTTCACAAAAACAATCAGGTGCCACAGAGGTTCTGGGCTTAGCTCTGTGAAAGAGCACTTGCCCAGGCTGCAGGAAACTAGGTTCAATCCCCAGCACTGCAAAAACCAAAAAACATTAAAAAGTTAAAAGCTTTTGCATTTCAAAGATTTTAGATTGTTAGTTCTCTGAAAAAGTCACTGAAGTACAACACCTCAAGATAATTTTTTACAGCACTTGGAAGGGGAGGGTGAGACAGGAGGATCACCTTGAGTTTGAGACCTAAATCTAAGCTATTTTAACCATTCACATGAAAATGAAAGCAAACATACAAATCCACAAGGATTCTAGCAGCTAATTACACACATAAAAAACTTAAATAGGCAAGGATGCTAGGCATACCAGACATAGCTAGTGATTTATATACTACACTCAACAGTGAGAAGATTGTAGTTTTGAGGTACAAATACACGAGTTTTTATCTGCAAGAAAAACACACAGAGCAAATGTTATTTGGATTTAAAAAAAGTTCTGAGTACTTTCACATAAAAACAAAGGTCGCCTCATTTTAATTTTACATATTTTACCAATAAATTTCATATTAGCAGCTGCTATTATTCTATACTGTTAACTTTACCACCTGATAAAACTGATCCCCTAAAAGTATTTTGTTTCCTACCATTAATGTGTGCTATAAGCTGCTTCTTTTCTTCTCTTTGTTTTTTGGAGACAGGGCCTCACTTTGTGTGCAGGCTGGCCTTGAATTCACTATGCAGCTAGCCCAGGCTGGTCTCAAATTCATAGCAAACCTCCTGCCTCAATCTCCTTACTGTTGGGATTATAATCTCTTACAAATTCAAATTTCTTACTTAAAAAAAAGTTTAGCAAGTGCTATAAGTGCTACAGACCTGAGACAGGAGATTAGGGCATGGCAAAACTGGCCTACTAATCAAGAGAATCACAAGACATACCGGTCAAAACAGTTCCCAAAGTCCTGAGGGTGGACTTTTTCCTAGAACCTCAGCAAGTTATCCGTAGGATGACTCAGATATAACATCAACATGAACAGTGAGTGAGACAAAAGCTCACTCTATACTGATCTTTTTGCCTACCGTGTTCTCTCTTGCATGTCTGGCTTGATCTCTTGCTGAGGAGGACCAAGCTCACTCTGCAAAGCCTGTTTCTCTTTCTCTCTTTAACAAAACTTTGCTACCTTTTGTGTTTGTCTTGACCAATTCTTTGCCCAGGACAGAAAGAACCTAGAAACCACCTCCAGGAGACTCTTAGCAGCCTTTAAAACTGATAATCAACCCTCTGAATTCTGTACCACTAGACTAGCTCCTGACTTCTGGAGACTTGCTCAAGCAAGTCGGAGACAGTTCAGGCACCTATGTTCTTAGATGCCTAAAGCCCACTCAATGCTGTAACAACAGCTAGGCTGTCATTTGCTAGCAGATGGTAAGTATCACATAAGCTCCAGTTTGATTCCAGTAAGGAAACAAAAACTAATTCTCATAAATTATCACTTACCATGCATGACTAATGCCATATGAAAGAAACCAATCACTGAGAATTACCATGTAACTTTCAGGCTATTCCTGTTACAATATGTAAGCAGAATGAAATAACCCTATGAAAATTCCATTGACTAGTTCTTTAGATCTAAAATAAATACACTTTATTTTTCTTTCTGGTCTGAGTCGAGAGTATAAAAGGAATCAGGAAACTATCAGAGGAGAAAGAGTTTAAAAAAACTTATTTTGACAATCATATATTTATCTCGTCTGAATAGAAGACAATCTTCAGTTAATCTGAGTTGGAATATTTCATTCTCTGCTTTCTAGCACAGAACAGTCAAGGGCCAGAGCAAGGCATAGTTAACTAAACACAGGCTCTCCGGGACTAAACTACTGTGCATGCTACTAGAGAACTTGCTCAGATAGTCAATCTAAATTCACAAGTGAAGCACCATATTGTTCTTCTGAGAGCAATCCTAAAACTACCTATTTTCCTTTTGGTTATATTAAAAATTTTTTTTTCCCAAATTGACATTTTCATCCATAATTAACAAAAATTAGCAACACAATGGCCAGCAGGGGGCATTAAAGTGAATCTGTGCTACTATTTCAGAAAATAAGCAAACCATCACATTTTCTCCAATTCATTTATTTCGACAGATCAAAAACTGGAAATAATTTTTAAAAATATGAAATATTTAAACTTTGTATTTTTCAGGCAATCTGGGTAACCTTAGTAATGAAATTATTACATAAGTTAATGTACTTTAATCATATGAAATACACGATTACTGAGAATGTTTTTCATTTTAACCTAAGAGATCAAGAGAAAGATAACTTATTGGCTAAATTTTCAGAAAATTCAAAAATTATAAACATAAAAAAAGAAAGCTTGGACATAGGCAAAGTGCTAAATTTAAACACATGCAACTTCTTCTAAATGCACGATTTTTAAAACTCTGTTTAAAATATTTAAACTTAAGAAACTGCAGCATAATAAAGAATATATCTGGTCTTGGCCTTGAATTTTAAAAACCTTTTAGGACTTCCAAGGACAGAGGTCTGTTATGCTTATGAGGCCACATCAGATGGGCTCCTGGTCAGCCTCAGGGTGGACACTCAACTTCAGAAAGCCTGGAGACAGTCAGAACTCTGAGAAGTGGGGCTGGGATGGCGTTTTCAGTCTTGTGGCCAATGTTTTCAACAACCATGCTGATAGAAACTCTGGCAAGTCCCTAGCTGGCGACAGCCTGATTCCAGGGAGAGGGCATGGAAGCTCACAGCAGGGCAGCTCCGTTTCCTTAGCTCCCCTCCTTACGGGGTCACTGCTTCTCCTCCATACTTGGCTGGTCTTCATTCTATCTCCTTATTGAATTCTACTGTCAAATACCTCCTCTGCTTCATTTTCAAAGATAACTTACATCATCGAATTCATTCAGTCAAAATGTAAATGTAGGACTACAAAGAATTATGCAGAAGTTATTTTGGAACATCCTGACCACTTCAAGAAGAAATTCATTGGCTGGCCATTCCACTGCAGCTCCTGGCAACCACTAACCTACTCCGTGTCTCTATAGATTTGTCCATTCTGGAAATTTTATGAACACATTATAGTAGCTCGTTTTCTCATTCACTGGTTGATGGACATTTGGTTATTCCCATATTTTGGCTCTAATGAATACTGCTGCTAGGATACAAAGGTTTTCTTCACATTGTAGTTAAGGACATATAATGTAAAATTATCATTTTTACCCATTTTTAAATATCAGTTTGGCGGCATTACAAACAGCATCATACAATCATCATACCCCATCTCCTGATCTTTTTCACACTCTGTATGTATGTAAATCTCTGTATATATTAAACAATAATTGTTCATTTTCTTCTCCCCCCCCAGCCTGTGGTAACAATTATTCTACTTTCCATTTTTATTAACTTGAGTATTCTAAGTACTTCACGAAACAGAATCATACAATTATCTGCCTTTTTGTGTCTGGTTTATTTCACCTAGCATGTCTTCATGTGCATCCATGGTGTGGCATAAATCAGAATTTCTTTCTTTTCAAAAAGCTAAGTATGATACCACTACGTGGATATACCAACATTTTATTTATCCACTTACCTGTCACTGGTTTTCCAACTTTTTGTCTGTTGTGAATAATGCTGCTAATGAAAGAGTGTACCCCATAATTATGGTAATTGTATCCCATTATGGAGTACAATTACCAATTCTTGGATACATGGAAGTGAAGCTGCTGCATTGTACGGTACTTACGTTTAATTTTCATAGGAACTGCCACAGTATTTTTCCACAATACCTTTTTAATGTGAACAAGATTTTCATTTCTCTTGAGTCTAGACCCCCAAAAAAGAAATTGTTGACCATGTAGTATCTTTAGCTATTAAGGAATTACCTGTTTCTCACAGTGACTGTACCACTTTGTATTCCCACCAGTAACTAACTAGAAAGCATTGCTGAGTACACCTTTCCTCCCACACCTCCGCTGCTTTGTATCATCATTATGCAAGCAATACCAGCTTAGGCTGATGTTTTTATATCTCCTCATTTTCTTTTCTTTTGATTTCTCTTTTATATACAAGAATTTTTACATTTTTGTACAGTTAAGGAAAGAATCATTACTCTTCTGCAAAAAGCCAGGTTAACAATCTATTAAACTAGCGGATTTAGTTTTGTTGTCATAATCAGATACAGCTGACGATTCTTCGCAGGTTCTGTATTTGTGAATTTGTCTACTCACCACGATGCTTTGCAATGGCGAAATCAACACTTGCAGGGTTTTCAGGGTCATCTGTGGACACGCATAGGGCAGCAAGGAAACCCGAGTAGCCTGGAGCACACACTCCCAGTGGAGGTTAAGTAAGGAACACTTTGCTTCCTTTCAGCTCTCATACTGTCAACCAGGGTCCTTTTTACCGTCTATGTAATGCCATGGCTTTTTTTGTTGTTGTTTTTTTACATTTTTGCAGCTTTTGGGGGTGATTCTTGCTGCTTAAAAAGGCCCCCAAGTGTGGTACCTACCTAGTGTTTCTAACAACAAGAAGGTTATGACTTACCAGATGGAAAAAATACACTCAGTAACCTTTTGGGAACTCAACGTTAATGAATCATTAACTGTATGTCTTTAAACAGAATACAGACTAAGTTATATATTAATCTGTTGCTGAAAATGTCATGCACGGTAGCTTGCAGAAATCTAAGCTTATATTTTCCCTAGAAGCAACTGTTGGATATTCATGTCAATTTTACAGAACATTACTAAGAATAAGGCTTATAAACACATTTTATCTCACTAGTCAGTTAATACAAACTATTGTTCAGTGTTACACTATAATCAACTTCACAGGCATCTACACTATTCAAAGTATTTAGTCATGTGCTGTATATTTTTTTAAAAGTCCCAATGTACAGGAAAGTATAACTGAGATGAATAAAGTACTATCATATTTTGCCAGACTTGACCTCAGAATTCCGTAATGTGCAAAAGTATTTCCTCCAAATTAACAACCAACTTGAAACACCGGCATGCCAGAAGAAACCTACGTGTTATTTATCAGGCTAAATTATCACCCAGGTCCTGGTTGTCTTAACTGGCCTCATCAAACTTCCAGTTGAATATAGACCAATGGTAGTGAGCCAATGGCACACATGCAGCAATGAGCTGTTTGTATCATTGAAAACTCTAATAGATTCTCCGTCACTGATGAACTGTAGACTATTAATCTCTCAATATGAAAATGACTGGACCACTAAGTCTTTATCTTCTGTCTACATAGGAACCATTCTTAGTTACAAGAAGAATGAAATGAAACAGACATAGGGCCTTCATTGTCAAGTGCTGAAATGTAACAAAGAACAATGTTACCAACTTGGGTTTTCAAAGGGCTATCATTCTCAAGTACAGCAGGCAACTAGGTATAACAGAATACTTGCAAGATTTGGGAGGAAATAAACTCTACAAGGCCATTTAAAACTTTGGTTTCTGATAGCAAATACTTTTGGCTTCAAGGTTACAGTTTTGAGATTGGAATCCAGTGCAAGAGGTGATAAGAGCTTTGTAAACATATTGCTACTTTGTTTCCTAGCAGAGGAAGAAACCAAGACTGCTACCTCAGAACTGCACATCACCACCACATTACCAAGTATCATTGGATCAGCTAGAAGATCTAAATTGCTCAATTTTAAGTGTTAATTTGATATTTAGAGTTTAATAGATACTCTTACACTTTTGCTTTCTCATACTAGAGAAACAATGTGGCATTTAAATATACATGCCTCATTTAGTTCACTTAAGAGTATGGTCTCTCCTACTGCTCTGTCACCATTTGTTTCATTTTATTGTTCCATTTCTCTCTCTCTCTCTTTTCTCTTTTAAGTGTGGTCTCAAAGTACATCCACTTAGGTAGAATTGTCTGAAGTGTAAATAAGAACAAAATGTATGTACCAGACACTTTGGGAAATGGGAACAAAATGTATAAGGCATGCTCTTACAGTGGTTGCATGGCAGATCTCCCTTGTATATTACCCCAAATGCTTCCTTATTATACCCAGGTTTGTAGAGAATATGTTATGGGATGAGGGAAACATGTACATTCAGACTTGTTAAAAGAAATCAGTGCTGGGTGTGGTGGTGTATGCCTGCATTCTCAACTGGATGAGGGAGGAGTATCTCAAGTTCAAGGTCAACCCGGAACCTTGTTCTTAAGGCTGGGAGTGCAGAACAATGGTAAGGAAAAGTCTAATGAAGATCCATTTATTGACTAAAACAAGTCTGCCTTAGGAGTTTTAGAACAGGCTACTTGAATATAGATACATGATAAAATTTTAGACCCTCATATTGAGATAAATTGCACCTACAATTATATACAGTATACAATACTTAATAATGAGCTGGGGATTTAGCTCACTGGTGTAAGTGCCTGTCTGGCAAGTACAAGGTCGGGAGTTCAATCCTCTGCACCAAACAAACAAACAAACCTTAATAGTGACTATGAATAATTATGTTGATGGGGTATGTATTTATTATACTTTTTATTATTTTAGAGCATACTCTTTACATATTAACATAGGAGCACTTAGTCTCTATCATAACCAGTTCTATCTATAATTAGCAAGGATAGCTTGTTGTTTTATTTTTTTTGGAAACAGAATACCATTATGGTGTCCAGGTTGGCCTTGTACTCACTATGCAGCCTCGGCTGGCCTTGAACTCAAACTGGTGCTGCTTCAGTCTATGACAGTCTTAAACTGGTTTGTTCATATCAAATATTACTTGATTTAGATATAAGAAACAAATTACACAGGTACAAAAATAAAACCCTATAGGAATGTTAACATATTTGATCATTTTCACTAAAAGGTAAAAGTCAAAGTAAACTATCTCTGGCCCTTATCTAGCACACCAAAGCAAGTTTTCTTCAAACTCCTGTTGTTCTCCAAAACACTAAATGAATATACCTGGGAACTCCACAGAGGTTTGTCTGAGTGCATTTTTTTCTCCTGAGTGCCTTCCTGCATATAATATCATATAATGTTTGCAGAGCCAATGTCTATGTCTCTTAAGAAAGTGTTTCTGAGATTGTTACAAATCAGTTTCCTTGAAGCAAAACAGAACCAAAAGATTCTACTGAATGTTTCTTTAGACAAGACACTCAACTCCATCAGGAAAATTTCATAAGATTTTAGAAGAGGTATTGAAAATGTTTATTGGTTGTTAAGTTTAATTCCTAACCTAGAGAAGGGTAAGTCATTGAAGGAAGGGCATCCTTATCTCAAACTAACCAAGTTTGAAGTCAACAGTCCATTTCATGTTGCTGTAAAAAAATACCTGAGGTTAAGTACTTTATAAAGAAAAAAAGTTTACTTAGCTCACAGTCTAGGAGGCTGGAATTCCATAATTGACAAGCTCCAGCAGCCTCCACAACCTAACCACCTTTATCTAAGCCCCTGGACAGTTGCCACAGCGAGGTCACATTTCCAACAGATAAAAACACATCCAAACCACAGTAAGCAACAGGGCTAACCAAGTGACTCTCAGGAAAAGTCTATGAAATTTCAATAAGTCCTTTTATGGAATTTCCAAATACTGTACGAACAGGACATTCTATTCTCCATAAAATACAACTTCGGTTTCAATATGGAAATGTCTGATTTACAAGGGAATGTTTAGCTTGTTCAGAATTTACAAACTGTATATGATTTAAAAGGGAATGTCTGGCTTGTTCAGAACTTACAAACTGCTATACTGATATTTTCAGGACCAAAAAAGCAATTGGTAGTTACGTGAATCTGGTAGGAACCCTTCTTTACACATCCAGTCAACGTACAGCTAAGGGGAAAACTAAAATTCCCGTTAGTGGAAAGGAGAGCTATGGAATAAAGTGACAAACAGCCAGAACAATTACTAAAAAAGAAGTAATTCGGGATGAACTCATCTGGATTCAGTATCGGGCGACTGATTCCCACATAAAACACACATATTATAACTCAGACACTTGCTTATCTCTTGGGCTACATTTTTCAGATAAGATCATGCCCAGCTCAAAACAAAGAATGCAAAAGTAATAGAACACTCATTTTCTAAAAGATTCTGTGTTAACAGAATGTGTAAGATAAATTCCTTCAATAGCGTGTGTGGGGGGATCCAACTCTTTTTTTTTGCCATTATTTGAATACTAACCATTCAGTGAATGGGGGTGAGAAGGCAGAAATGGAGCCTCTGTAAAAGACCATCATCTGTAACAAGTTATGGTGGCTACAATTAATTCCACCACAGGTTAAGCTATGACAACCTTTGGAAGACTGATTAAAACACTCCTCCACTCAGCACCACAGATAGTTCATAGCTCTTGGGGTTAGTGGGCAGTTCAGCAGTGGAGTGTGTTCTTAGCAGGGGAAATATCCTATACTATCCCCCATCCCAATACTTCTGAATCTCCCTCTGACTCATACCACTGGTTTTTTTTGTTTTTGTTTTTGTCTTTTTCTTTTTTATCGGTACCGGGGATCGAACTCACAGCTGCCTGCTTCCAAGGCAGGCACTTATGCCGCTGAGCTAAATCCCCAGCCCCATACCACTGGTTTTACAGCAACAACTGCATCTTTTAGACATAAAGGAGTTTTAATGATTTTCAAATTCAAAACAGTCCTCCCAATGGGGAAAGACTTTCACTGAAAATTTTAAACTGAACAGGATTAGGGACAAGAACCAGCCCCCATCTTGATTTGCCTTAATGACTCCACACCTACACTAGGAAAATCTGAAATCACTTTCCAACGCAACTGTTCCCCAAAAACTACTGCCTTATTTTGTCAGTGTTGTTGCAAACAAATCGAAGTACTAGAGGTCAGTTTTGAACACCAGTCTCTGAATAAAGACTTGTTTAGTCAAATGATCACCTTCATAAAACCCTGCTTCACTATCACATAATCCTATCTTTATTACCCCAACCTGGCACCATCTAATCTCATAATCCTTTCACAGAAAACCAAACTTACAAAGCAGTACACGTAATTAGGAATCAAACTGTATTCAACTTGTATAACTATTTCCCTAAAGTGTTAGAATTTAAATTATGTGGCAGTATCTAAGTAATAAGCTCCCTTTTCTTCAGACACATGTTTAAAGGGCAAGAGAAATGAGGATTAAAAAGAACTTAGTGATTTTTACTAGCATGCAAGTAGAGTTAAGAAAAGCTCATTTCCTAGTAAATAACTCTAAAAAGCCCTAGCTCCCACTAAAAGACTATTAAAAATAAATTTAAGAATGTTCTAAAACCAGTGGTGTCAAACCCACAAGCATGTGTGTTGCAGCAACTGTTTTATATATCGTTGAAAACTCTAAAAGGTTCACTGTAACTGATCTAAACTGTAATATTGCTAAATATTACATGACCTAAACAGATTTTATCTTCCCCTTGATTTATTAATATCTCAAAAATTTTTGAAATGAGAAATCTGTTAATCAACACAATAATCCAAGAGTATTGGAATGTAAAACTTTTCTCATCTGAGTGTAGTGGCACCTGGCTATAATTCCAGCACTCAGGAGGCTGAGAGGGGAGAATCACTTTAAGAGTTCAAAGCCAGCCTCAACTGTAGTGAGTTCCTGTCTCAAAAAATAAGAAACAAAAAAACAACTTTCTTGACTCATCCCAGATTCTGAGTTACTTGCAACTCATAATGAAGTATTTAAGGTTCTGAAAGAAAAAAAAAATTACTTAGGTGAGGCACAGCTAATCAATTGATACATTTATACACTGCACCCTTCCTGTGTTACTGCTCGGTTTTTAAACTCTTCTATAGGATCTTGCTACTGTGTTGCCTAAAGAACTGCAATACTCAAAAAGGCCAAACCTAGGTTGGTGCTTCTTACCCCAACCGAGTAATTTATATCAACTTCCTTTTAGATTACACAGTAAGAAATAGATGACGGAAACGAGCGAAGGTGCTTTATTTGTTTGTTTTTATATCTGACTCAAAGGGATCTCCAATTTTTCCAAATCAATATGTATCTTAACATACACACAGTATTCCCTTCTTTCCCTTTTAAAAAAAGAAGTTAAAAGCTAGGCGTGGCAGTACATGCCTATAATTCTAACACTTGGGAGGTTGAGGCAGGACAATCGTTGCCAAGTTCGAAACCAGCCAGAGCAAGTTCAAGACTAGCTTGAACTGTGTAGGGAGACCCTGTCTCAAAAAGACAAAAGACAGACAAACAGACACACACACACACACACACACATATGATTAAGTTTTGGCATTTTACTACCAAAATTTTCTTTCATCCATCATTTAAAATGTTTAACTATCAATGTATTCCGTGTGACAGGTTTATTTTGCATTAACTTATGAAATCTTTGGTAGTCCCTCTGGAACATAGATTAATCTTAATCTTCCCAGGATTTTAACTCTAGGATCCTTACATTCCCGTAGCTGTAACTACTTTTGAAGTCACAATCTGCTCAACAGCTCTACTATGCAAACAAAAGCTTGCGCTGGAGGGAAGACACCGCGCGAAAACCTCAAGGTGTTAGCAGGACAGCCTCCAGCCGCCTCCCCTACACAAGCCTATCGCTAGAACACCACAAGGCACGAGATATTAGAGCTGGCTCCTCCCTGGTCTGGCTAGTTCAAACAAACCCGAGCCCCCACCAACTGGCCAGACTCAGGAGAGATGCACAGACTTGGACGGGGGCGATGGAAGTGGGTGGAGCCCCTACTGGGAAACGAGGACAGTAAGCATGGGCAACAAGGTCTAAATCCACGGAGGCAAGGTCTCCCCCCAACACACAACCTGTTCCGTGCCCTAAGTAGGTACCGGTCTGAGTGAGAAACCTCCCTCCTCCAGGTCCCCGTGAGCTCACGAGACTGCCAATGATGCACGGCGGGAAGCAAGGTGAAGATCTAAGTGGTGCCCCACACCCCCTACTTCTAGCCCTCACCCTGTTGCTCACCGGTGCTGCAGCCCCACGAGTCCTAGATTGATTACATAGGGCACATCCAACTGCGTGGGCCACTCTCCAGAAGCGATGCAGCCGAACACACCGCATGCCTCTCGAAAACCCGACTCCTCCAGCTCCATGTCGCCGCCGAAAGCACGTGGAGGGACCGCCCGCCGCGGCCCAGGACCATGCACCAACCAGCTGCCGGCTCGGTCCCTACGTTTGTGACCAGGCTGGCGCAGGAGGCAGCCTCTTTCCTCCCTGCCTCTAGACAACAGCTACTGCGGCGGCGCGTGCGGCCCATCCAGTGGGCGTGGCCTACTCGCCCCGCCCCCCCCGGGTCCACCAAAGAGGGACCAGGGAGGAAGAGGGGAGGTGTCACATACTCCGTGGGGGTGGAGCTATTTCCCTCCGCCCCCGCCCCTACACCCGGGAGGCTAATTTTTCTGCACAGAGAGATCTCCGTTATTTTCCAGCATCCAAGATTCGATGATAAGAGTAACGTCATTTCTCTCAGAGGATGTAAATTTTACATGCCCTCAACTCCGTTCTGCTTCCCCCCGGCCGTCAGGATTTGGTACGCTCCAACCTATGAGCCGCTCTCGCTGACGGAAAGGGGCCTGTGCCGCGAGCTCTACAGGCTGGGGAGGGGCCGCCAGTGCGCGCCACTTTTTGCCTTTCCTGGAACTGCGCCCGCGCGGCTGGGGCGGGGGCGGTGTCGCGGCGCGCGTGCGCAGCGGCCAGCGTCGGGGGAAGCGCTCCCTCCAGAAGTTCTCTGTTCTTCAAGCTACAGTACCACAGTGCCCCTCGAGTTTGGCCGGGCGCTCTACGTGCATCTCTTAGCGCTGGGGTACGTGAGGGGCGTGCCCGCGCTGTCCATCCCTGCAGACCTCGCCGCCTGCTATTTTGCAGGGTTCAGCCTCTTTCCTACGTGTTCACTACCTCCAGCTTGGTCAGGATCATGGCGAGAGCAGAGGGTGAGTCACGCGTCCGCCACGCTCGGACTCTCCAGCCCCGCGGCCTTTTTCCCCCGACCGGGAACCGGAGGTTCGTTGCGGACACTCGCAGGCCCCGCGGTCCTCTGCCTGGCGTGTGGATAGGCCCGGCGTAGGGCGCGCACGTGGCCCCAGCGCTGCTGGACGAGCGTAGAACACCCAGCCTCCAGAGCTCCCAGACTCCGAGATAAAGTCAGAACCACGCCGGGTTAGGAGAGGAGCAGAGCAAAGTGGCATTTAGTAGTAGAGGCTGGAGAGGCGGGAAACTTAGTGATGGATGGATAGATTGTGAAACAATCACATGGAAATCTTTTGTTGACTCTTAGTCTTTTCCAGCAGGGTTAATAACTTCCATTTTCGTAAGATTAGTAACCTTTTGTAAAGTCTTTCCTGGTGTTGCACAGTTTGATGTTTTCAAAAATAGTTTTTGAAGCGATCGTGGCGCATGTTCTTAAACTCTCTTGGCAAAGTCACCTTGCTTTACTAAATGTCGCGGTAATTAGCAGAGTTGCATAATTTTGTGTCCCTGAGTGGTCAGGTCCTCCAGAAAGTTCTTTTTTGTCAGCTATGGTGATAAAACGCTAGCTTTAATGTAGGGGAATGAAACTCGCGACCTCCTATATGCCCGGTAAGAGTTCGTGTTTTCTATAATGTAAGAATGAATTTTACGAACAACGGAGGTTAAGAGGAGAATATATTTATTGAGAGAAAGAAAGCTTCTGTCTGAGAGACAGAAGGCGTCCCGAGCGAGTTGCCAGGGACTCTTGTCTTTCCCAAGGAGTTTTATAGAGTAAAATCGTGAGATTAGATGGGTCCAGGATGGGAAAAAATGGGAACTCTCAAGGTGGGCCTACGGCGGGACACCACTATGGTCAACCAATAAGATTTAATTGCTCAGGTAAAATTGGAACAAATTGGGGAGCTAGTCACGAAGTAAGCAGCTATGCTTAACAGCAGTGACTCTGTATGCTGACTCCTGACTTCCTCAGGTTAATAGAGAACTGTTTGGACCTTCGACTTTTAGATGTGGTTGTATTTGCTTTGCCTTTTGTCTTGAGAGCTGGCCCACAGCAGGAGGTATTTGTCTCTTCCAAGGCTGCAAGGTATATGAACTTATGCTCTGGCTCCTTTGAGGGTTCAGCCCTGTCTGCCTAATATATATATATATATATTTTTTTTTTTTTTTTTTTTTTTTTTTAAATTGATACCTGGGATCGAACCCTCGACCGCCTGCTTGCATGGCAGGTGCTTATGCCGCTGAGCTAAAATCCCCAGCCCCCTGTCTATAATATTTTTAATTAACTCAGCTGCCTGTAACAGTTTGATCCATAACACTTTTTTTTTTTGGTACCTGGGATTGAACTCAGGACTGTGTGCTTGCAGGGCAGGCGCTTATGCTAATGAGCTAAATCCCCAGCCCCAACACTTTTTAAATGTAATAAACCAAAGTGTTACATTATTTCCCATATAGAAAGAAACCTTGGGTTTAGTTTTTAAAGTTGCCAATTCAACAGAAAGTTCCAGGAGATGAGTGATAACTCCACAACATCAAGGTCAGAACTTTTTCTATAATTAGGGTACCTGTACCTCCAAACTGGTAAACTCCCCTTGAATGCAGAACAACTGCTGCAACTTTGATTATATTGAGACTTATTTCCTTATACTGATACTGTGCAGAGCTGACTATGGTTATTTCCTTCTCTCTGCAATTGACTCTAAGCATTGTAAATAAGGCTAGCAGAGGTATTGGTATCTGAAGCCATTAGACAGTCTCCTGTTTCCTTGGGCACAGCAGGACGGTAGAGCCAGTCAGCTCCAGGACTGTCAACTAGGTATGAGCCTCAAAGTAAAGAAACTATTGATTCTCCAGGACACAAAAGTTTACATATCAGAAAGTGAAGCAACAGCCACCAAAAACAATTCAATTGCTACCTTAATTGAATTATGCAAATTGTCCTGCACTTTGCAGAGATGCTTTTCTCACTACCTGACTAGTCAGCTCAAGTTACTCACATACTTCCCGCCATCCTCACTGTCATTCATCCTCAAACCACCCCCTTCTTCACAAGATAATCAATTCTGGGAAAGACCTAGGACCAAGGCTTTGGTCCACACATCCTTACAGGGATTGGACTTAGGTCCCCGTGGCTGCCCTTAACTTGGAATATGTCTTGGTGTCTTTACCTCAACATGGGTTGCATTGGAAGTGGTAGATTGGAATTAACTTTCTGGGATTCCAATAACATCTCAATGGGATTATAAATAGAACTTTTTGGATTTCGAGGATGACTAGAAAAGAGATTATAATACTTAGATAACTGTACGAAATATTTGGGATTACAATACCCTAGACTCTTTCCTCTGACTCTTCCATCTTGTATTTTACTGATAGGTTAGTTAGTTTTTCTAAAAGTCATTTCTGTAGCTTCTAAAAAGCACTTCCTTGCTCAAACTTAGCTTGCATTCTTTCTTCATATTGAGTATGGCTCACAATCACAGCCACATGGCTTAATGGATACCTTTGGACAGCACAATCTCTTTAGAATGTTAACTGTTCTCTGGAAATTCTGTACTTTTCAAGACTTAAATTTAAGTTGCATGAACCTGTCCTTGTCAATCTCTTTCGAATTCATCTGTGATTTTATATCATTTTGATGTAGTATATCTCCTATGTTTGTTTCTTGTGTCTACTCATCCTGTAATTAGGTATAAAGATTCCTCTAAAAGGAAAGCTGAAGTTACAAATTTTACCTGCTGTACTTTATTTTAGAATATTTAAATCTGTTTCTTTAATCTGGCATCACTTCTAATTCTTTATCCTCCACTTCATAGAAGATAAATCAGTTTTTGCAGCACACAGTGGCACAGATGTGTGGTCCCATCCACTTGGGAGTCTGAAGCAGGAGGATGTCTTGTTACAAGTTCAGACTGGGAAGATTCATTTGAGATTCTGTCAGCCCAGAGAGACAGAGTCATGGAGATTTCTGAACATGACTTCATTCTCAGCTGCTGAGCTTAGCTGCGCACACTTGCATGGTGGTCCTCGGGCCCCTCACCCCACCTCCTGTTCTTGCTGTAGTCCAGTAGTGGCCATGTGCCACCAATGACCTTGGTTATTTATACTGGCCAGCCTCAGCCTTAGTTATATCTGTTGTTTGCACTGAGACTGTCAAGGTCGGTGTGCCCCAAAATCTTGCTGACTCGGACTTAACATCCACAAGAACACCCCACCACCACACCAATATAGCCTGTGCCAAAGTACACATCTTAGGCCTTATTTTTGCTTACAGAGGTCACAAAGTTTCAGGCCAGCCAAGGTAATATACCAAGACCTTGTCTCAAAAAAACAAAAGGAGAGAGAGACAAAAAATAATCAGTTGTTCTTCTGTCTTTGAAAGGTCTTTGCACAGATCCAAACCACATGAGTTAATGCAATAGCATCCTAAATTGCCCTCCCAGATTATGGCTTTGTTCCCATTCATCTCTAGCTCACTTCCACAGTAGCCATACTGATCTAAAATACAGATCTGGCATTTTATGTTAGTGCTTAAAAGCTCCATTGTTGCTTTTAGGATAAAGTAAACTCAATCAACATGGCTTATGAGGCCTGAAGGATGAATAATGAGATGGGCAGTAAGTGAACAGCATGCCCAGCCTGAAAGAGAGCATAAAAAGTTAAGGTAGAGTTGTAGGAAGAAAATAAGAGAAATGAGAATTTTGAAGTACTAATCTGGGTCTATACCCGGAAGAGCTCTTTTAACCTGGTCAGTGAGTCTAGACATCCAATTAGGAAGACAGGGATGCATGCTCTAAATTAAAGTGTCTTCTAGTGGTAACTGTTATACTGGATTGCAACTACTATGAGCCAAGAATAAAATTTAGCCTGGTTGAGAACAAAAAAAGACTCCATTTACCTGGAGCTAATTAGGATTGCAATCCAGGAGACACAAAGTTACCCTTGAGTACTGCATTAAGACTTTACAAAGTAGTAGCTGTTTATAAACTGAAGGCAATTATAATTACACTAAAACCGCCTCGTAAAAAGTGTTTTAAGTGCACCTGAATTTCTGGCAGATTTGGGGAGAGGAATCCCAAATTCCTGGGCCATGAACCAAAAGTCTGTGGCCTCTTAGGAATTTGGCCCACATCAGAATACAAGCAAGCTGAGTGAGCCAAGATTCATGTGTGTTTATACAGCCCCTGCCCACGGCTTATGTTATGGCCGAAGCTCTGCCTGTCAGATCATCATTAGCCCTTAATAATGCAAACAGTGCTGGAAGCTCAGTGGCCTAAGCACCTAAGAGCGAGTTTGTGAGTTTGATCCAGTACCAAAAAAAAAAAAAAAAAAAAAAGAATGCAAATAGATTGTTTCTTCTTCTTTAAGTCTTGTGACCAGCGTCAAGATTGAATACTTGCAGGCTCACTGGCCCAGTTTCCTACAAGTGTTAATAAAGAAAAGGTCAATTTGGGAAGGTTGCATGCAAATAGGCAATTTAAATTCTATTTCAGTTCAGCAGCAAGAGAAACAGATTGATAGTGGAAAGAGCATGGGGTTTACTATCAGGAGATTTAGTATTTTGTGTAGCTCTATAACCTCAACCTTTTTGATTCTTAGTTTCCTAATACTTCACAAAATTATATGACAATGAGAAAACAGCTTGAGTTCTATGCAGGTTATTTAATTTTTATTATTACTTAGTCACTGTGTGAGTCATCATTTTAGACAATTTAATCTTCAGTACTCAGGAAATTTCTCCCTGAAACACAGTGCGGTTCTGTTTTATTTCTACAGTATTGAAAATTGGCAAAAAGCTCTATGAGGGTAAAACAAAAGAAGTCTATGAATTGTTGGATAGTCCAGGAAAAGTCCTTCTGCAGTCCAAAGACCAGATTACAGCAGGAAATGCGGCCAGAAAGAATCACCTGGAAGGAAAAGCTGCAATCTCCAATAAGATTACCAGCTGTATTTTTGAGTTGTTACAGGAAGCAGGTAAGTAGCTTCCCCTCAGGCTCCTTATTCTCTCTCCTGTATGTGCTGATCCCTTTCATGGGAAGATGGTGTTACCTGGATTAACAATTCACAAACTCAGTTAGTTAAACTCAGGTCTTAACTGCAGTGTAACATTTTACTTGGTTTTGAAATAATTGCGTCACTTAGTTCTTTTATAGCATTTTTCAACTTTCTTTTACCAAGCATAGTGTTTTGAAGGTTCAACCATATCATAAAAATAATGTATCAAGAATTTGAGTGTGTGTTTATATTATACAGGGGATTGTGTCCAAGGTCTTCATACTGAGCAACACCCCCAGCTTTTTTGTATTTGGGACAGGGTCTCACTATGTTGCCCAGACTGCACTAAATTTACAATCCTCCTGCCTCACTGCTAGAATTACAAGCATCACTACCATGCCTAGCTCCATTCTTTTTGTAGCTGGATTATTTGCTGAATATTTACAATGCATTTTGTTTATCTTTTGATGTTTGTGTTCTCCCTTTTGGCATTTAATAATACCACTGTGCTGTATAAGTGTGTCTGAACTCCTACAAAAGTAGCATTGCTGCCAGTAGTTTCCAAGCCAAATATCACAAGTCAGATCCTTATCTTAGTTTTTCAACAACAGTCTACATAAAAAAGAAAAATACTTTGTTATTGGACAGAGCTGCTGCTTTGTCCTTACTACTACCTGATGGATGCTTTTTTCCCCCCAAGGATTGTTTGTTTTAGATGTTAAAAGAGGCTGGAGTGACTGTAGATATAGCTTAGTGGTAGAGTCCTTGCCTAGCATGCCTCGGTTAGATATGTAGCATCACCAAAAGGAATGGGAATATATCACAGTGGCAGAGTACTTGTCTAACATGAGGCCCTTTTATTTTCTCTGTTTAAAAATTTATTTTTGCTAGAAATTTTGTATTTGTAAAAGTAGAGTGTTTTGATGCCCTGATCTACCTTCTTAAATACAATTTCAATGCTTTCTAACTTTTGCAATCAATATGTAGGTATCAAGACTGCTTTCACCAGAAAATGTGGGGAGACAGCTTTCATTGCACCCCAGTGTGAAATGATTCCAATTGAATGGGTCTGCAGAAGAATAGCAACTGGTTCTTTTCTCAAAAGAAATCCTGGCGTCAAGGAAGGATTTAAGTTTTACCCACCTAAAGTGGAGCTATTTTTTAAGGTAATTATTTTGTGCTTCTGTGTCTTATTCTAATGTAGCAGAAATAATTATAAACCTAAGCAATTTCAATATTGAAGTATTTGCTACTACAAATGTTATTCTTAAAACGTATTTCAATAAAATATTCTTCTGTTAACAACGATAAGGGAAATTTGTAAAATTTTTGTGCAAATATACTTATCTTTGGTGGACCAAGTTGACTAACAAAATGAACAATGTTTTGTATTATTTTGAGACATGGTCTCACTATGTAGCCCAGGCTGGCCATAAACTTGAGACAATCCTGTCTCAGTCCCCTGAGAGCTGGGATTATGGATATGTGCCACCAGGCCCAGTTTGAAACTTGAGTAATAAATAGAAGGGAAAATTGACAGTTCAAAATTTTCTTAAAAATTTAGAATTCAAGTCCAGTGTGGGACCACATGCCAATAGTCACAGTTACTTGGGAAGCTATGGCAGGAAGAGAACAAGTTTATTAGGCTGGTCTGGGAATTTAGCAATACTGTCTTTAAAAATTTTTTTTTACTTTAAAGAGAAAAAAAAACCAGAAAAAGGAAATAATAATACAGAACTTCAAAAAAATAAACACTAAGAAATCACTAGCTGATAGATTACATACTGTCATCTTAGAAATAGTTGTTCAGGTTACAAAATTAAAGTATACAAAGTGGACATTCAAACCGCGAGACTGCAAACAGTTCTGGTCAATGATCCAACAAAAACTTAGTAATATGGTCATCTATCTTACACACTTAAACATATATGCAGTTATATCCTTTAGAAAGCTTTCTTTTCCTCTTTATTACAAAAACACATTTTGGGTTTTATTACTTCTACAGTTCTTATTACTTTTTATACTAGAGATACAATGTGATATTTATAAATATGATTCTTAGTTGCCTCCATTTACCTATGAAGGTCTTAAGATCATCCTTTTTTATAGCTAAGTAATATTCCATTGTATAAAAACACTTTCTGATCCACTCTGCAGTTGATGGACATTTTGGTTGTTTCCAAGATTTAGCTATTACATATTGTGCTGCTAAAAAAATTTTTTTAAGTTAAAATCTATCATCTAAGAGAAGAAAATGTATTAGTCATATCTCTGTAAGCAGAAATACAGAATATACCATAAGAACATAATAGTCTGAATTCTATAGGCTATGTTCAAATAAATCACTTTACCCTTTCCATCTTTTTTGCCCCCCTTCCATGTTGATTTATGTATGCATAGATCTTCTATTAGTTTTGCATTTTTAAACAGTGAGTTGTGTAACTTGTCTTATATAAATCAAGATCCATTGAAAAATTATATAAAATTGGGACACTGAGCAGGGCATGGTGGCTCACGCCTGCAACCCCAGTACTCAGGAAGCTGAGACAGGAGGATTGATGCAAGTTTGAGACCATCCGGGGCTACAAAGTGAGCTCAAGGCCAGCCTGAACTGCATAGTGAGACCCTGTCTCAAAAAGCCAAAAGAAAAAAACTTAAGCAGCTGAGGCAGGAAGGATTGCTTTAAGGTTGAAGCCAGCTTTAGCTAAACAGTGCATTCAAGGCCAGCTTAAACTATACAGTCAGGTTGTGTCTCAAGCAAAAAAATATTAAAGACTTATATTGCTATGTAACTTATTACCAAAATGAAGTCAAGAGGTTGTGAAAGCAATTTTGGACAGATTTGATTGATTGGAATGTGTTTTGACCTTCCTGTTGTGTAAAGGCATCAGTTTTTCAGAAAAATTCACAAATTCTAGATTAATTGTACTATTGTACTTTATTCTCAGGATGATGCTAATAATGATCCACAGTGGTCTGAAGAACAGCTAATTGCTGCAAAATTTTGCTTTGCTGGACTTGTTATAGGCCAAACTGAAGTGGATATCATGAGTCATGCTACACAAGCTATTTTTGAAATACTGGAGAAATCCTGGTTGCCCCAGAACTGTACGCTGGTTGATATGAAGGTACAGATAAAACAAGGAATTTGAAAGTAGGGACGATAACTTATCATTAATACCGTTAATAGTATAGTTTTCTGAAAGTTTTCTTTGTAATATGCTGTTTCTAGATTGAATTTGGTGTTGATGTGACCACCAAAGAAATTGTTCTCGCTGATGTTATTGACAATGATTCCTGGAGACTCTGGCCGTCGGGAGATCGAAGCCAGCAGAAAGATAAACAGGTCAGTAAATAGGTGTGGTGGTGTTTGCCTATAATCTCAGCTACTCAGGAGGGAGAAGGGGGAAAATGTAGCCAGATTAATCTTTTTATTATTTTTATAGATGCTTACAACAATAGAGCAAATACTGTCTTTGTTTGGCCAGCTAAAAACTATGAGGCTAAGTATTCACAATTAGAAAAGTAAGCAGCAGATTTGGGGCTTTACACCAAATTTTCTGGTTCGTACCAGGTCTTGTGTCTGTTGTTTCTTAACAAACTTAGGAAAGGATCCTCTTTATACTTAAAATAGATAAGAATTCTCAAGACAGTTAATCGTTCTTAGTAGTATAGAACTTTACCTTGAATGAACGTAAAACTTTACCTCACCTCTGTATTTAGGTTAATAAATAAATTTGAAGACTTCAGATATATCCCTTGTTATCATCCATATTTATAAGTCAGAAACTAGTTTCAGATAGCAAGAAATACTGTTTTCTAAACTTTGTATTTCATTTTCTAGTCTTACCGCGACCTCAAGGAAGTAACCCCTGAAGGGCTTCAGATGGTAAAGAAAAACTTTGAGTGGGTTGCAGAGAGAGTAGAGGTAATACTCCTATAGTAAACCTGTATTATTTTTAAGAAAATTTTATTTCAAAGTAAGAAGTGGGGAGGTATAATACTTCTCTTTTATTTTTTTCACTGACCTTGAAAGAGAGTAGCACCTTTAGGAAACCTACAGGCTAAAGTATTCTTACTGATACACTGAAACTCCCTGTTAAGCTGGCCAGTACACTCCTCTAAGGTCGGGGCGGCTAGACCTGGGGTCTTGCCTCCTCCCTGCCCCAGTAGGAAGGACTGTTTCCTACCCACCTCTTCACCTCTACTCAGAGTTCCTATATATAGAGTGGGATGAGTGGAATGCCGTGTAACATTTTTCATTTCATGTTTCACTTTGCGATGTTAGAGATTGAACCCAGGGCCTCTTGCATGCAAAGGCAAGTGCTGTCGCACTGAGCTACATCCCAGCCTTTCTCTACTTCCATGTAAAATGTTGGAGATTTATCCCTTTTTAGTAAACATGATTTACCTTCCACCCAAGCATTAACCAGACATGATCCTGCTTATTTTGTGAGAAAGATTTAAGATCAGGCACATTCAGTGTAGTGTGGCTACAGACAAGTAAATATAAACTTACTTACCTGATTAAAAATCTCATTTGTTAGGTTTTAATCATGAAGACCACTTTCCTTTGAATATATAGAGATTACTTAAAAATCACCTACCATTTTGTTCCATTTGTCTTTTAAATCTGGTGTATTAAAGATGATGTTCTGTCTGGCAGTAATTTTACTATAAGCTATACTCTCTAAATTGGTTGTTCTTATGGTACTTACTCCTGTAATTTTTTCCCCCCTTTTTGAGAAAGGGTCTCACTATGCAGTTCAGGCTGGCCTTAGGCTCACTTTGTAGCCCAGGCTTGTCTCGAACTTGCAACGATTTGTCTGCCTGAGCCTCCCAAGTGCTGGGATTACAGGAGTGCTCTACCACGCCTGGTTCGTGTATTCATTTTTGTCTTTTTATTTTCCATATCCATGTTTTTTCTTTTCTAGCTGCTTCTGAAATCAGAAAGTCAGTGCAGGGTTGTAGTTTTGATGGGCTCAACTTCTGATCTTGGTCACTGTGAAAAAATCAAGAAGGCTTGTGGAAATTATGGAATTCCCTGTGAACTTCGAGTAACATCTGCCCATAAAGGCCCAGATGAAACTCTGAGGATTAAAGCTGAATATGAAGGTAAACTTAAGATAACTAGAATAATTGAAAATGTTTTGGTTTTGAAAAAAAAATCACATTTTAGATTGAAGATAGCTGAAAAAGAGGTTTTCCATATTTCTAAAGGGAAACCATGATTTGCACTCATGATAATGTCCTTTAAAAAGCATAAGATGCTTTTAGGAGCTTCTAAAAGAGTAAGTAGCAGGGAGAAAGAACTGAAAGTTCAAGTACAGAGGGAAATGGATTAAAAGTGAGGATCTCTGGTGTCTACCTAGTCGAATTGTTTCTCATTTGCTGCAACACAAAATAAGTCTCGTATCAGTAACAGGATGCCGAGGGTTTCAACAGTAGATCCTTAAGGGGATTTTTAATGGACTAGCCGTGTCTAGGAGGCAGTCACACATGAAATTATGTCAGTTTCAGAATGTAGCTCCTAAGGGAGATAGCACTAATCTAAAATACCAATAGCTTGGGAGTACAGCTAGTATAAGTACCTTCAAATGGAGGATGAGTGACAGTACTCTAAAGGTAATTGCTAAAGGGATATAGTTCATGGTTTAGGGGTGGGTTAGGGTTGGGTCTCAATACCTTGTAATATGCTAATGAAGGCTAGAACTTCTCATCAGAATGCAAATATGTGAAATTTTAGATTCTAAATCACAAATCTTTGCTTTAGGAAAAGAAAGGGATAATTTGAATTTACCAAACAATGAAAAGCTTTAGAGATACTAACTAGGCTCTAAAAATGTGTGTGTGTGTGTAGAAATATATATATATGATATACTGGTGTTGTTGATTGAACCTAGGCCTCAGGCATACTTAACTACTCTCTCTGCCCCTGTATACTGTTGAATTTGCCTTCAAATCTTATTTCAGGAAGAGTGTCTAAACCTTCTAGTCACTATTAAATGAGTCTTCTTGAACCCTATTTCAAAGACCACTCAACAGAAAAGATACCTGTGTTTGGTTTCATTCTTCATTTGGTGTGAACCAGTATCTTGAAAATATGTATAATGTTGTATTTTTAATGCTTTTTCCAAAGAATATTTCTCAAGAATTTAAGACATAGAGGGCTTTTTAAAGCGTATCTTGCAATCCTTTTGTCTTAGTTACTTTTCTTGTTGCCGAGACAAAATACCTGACATCCAGAGTTAAAAGAGGAAAGGTTTTACACAGTTTGCAAATATTTCAGTCCATAATCAGCTGACTCCAAGGCAGGGTGGCACATGCAGAGGGACAACTGTTTATGGCCATGAAAGGTGCAAGACGGCAAAGAGCCGACAAGCCTCTTTCTGTTCCTTTTATTGTGTGCAGTCTGCAAGGACTAGGGCAGTACCAATCCAGTGAATTAATCGAGCAGTCACTCCCCTTTAATCCCAACATTGCACTATGAATCAGTCTCACACTCTAGATTCAGCCAGCTCCATGAGGCATGAGGCTTTGGGGATACATATAAGCACAAACCATAACACTGTGATGTCTAACTTGATCACCTTGGCATTGCCCTAGGGGATGGCATTCCGACTGTGTTCGTGGCAGTGGCAGGCAGAAGCAATGGTTTAGGCCCAGTGATGTCTGGTAACACTGCCTACCCAGTTATCAGCTGTCCTCCCCTCACATCCGACTGGGGAGCTCAAGACGTGTGGTCTTCTCTGCGACTACCCAGTGGTAAGATACATGACATTTTTAAACTGCTTATTACACTTCAAACATTCACAGCAGTACAGAGAACAATATAATGAAATCTCATGTGCCCATTACCCAGCCTCAGTAATTACTATTGTTTATTTTAAAGCAGATTTTAGATGTGGCATTTTACTGCAGTATTCATCTCTAAAGTGATAAGGACTCTGGTTTATTTGTTCTTAAATCATAATTGGGATATTTGCCATCACAAAAATTTATTAATACTATGTAAAAACACCTTATTTCTAGTTGATGTTCAAGTATTTTCAGTTGTCTCACTTTTTTTATTATAGCTAGTATGCTTAAATTGAGCTTTAACACAGTCTTTACATTCATTTAATATGTAAAATTTCACTTTTTTTTCTCTTTTTGGGATGGATTTCACTGTGTAGCCTAGTTGGCCTCTCTATGCAGTCCTCCTGCCTAAAGCTCCCAAGGGCTGGGTTAGAGGTGTGCACTACCATGTCTGGCTTCATTTTTCTTGCAGAATTTTCCACATCAATTTATTACATTCCTACATGATGGTGAACATAGTCTTCCTATCCCCTCTAATTTCTGTAAGCTGGTGCTAAGATTTGAACAGTAGTGAAACTAAGCTCTTTTTTTTTTTTTTTTTTTTTTTTTTGTTTTTTAATATACTGCCAGGTATTTTGTCACACACTTGTAGTCTTAGCACTTGGGAGGCGGAGGCAGGAGGATCATTTGAAATTCAAGGCCAGCCTGAACTACTGTACATAGGGAGACTGTCTCAAAAAACCAAGGAGAGGGGAAAAAAAGTACATTATTCTTGGTATTATGAGTTTTTTTAAAAGCAAAAGCAGTTGTTACTTCTAAAAAAAATGTAACTTTAAAAAATTGAGGACACAAGTAAATAACATAAAAGGAAGTCATCTTTGGCCTGATGGTGCTGGGTCTCGTAACAATATTATAGTGTGTTCATCATAACCTAACATACAATGTTCTGCAAGTTCTGAGAGTCAGTATTTCAGTGGGGACTAATTTCCTTATTTTTGGAACCTCAGGCTTTTCTGAGTTGTGTAAATCTCTTGATACGTTTCAAATATATTAAGACCTGAGCTCTCTGACATGTTCCAGAGTAGACTGGCTTCTCTCCTGGACTTCTGCATTGCTGCTATCTTCTGATCTGCCCTTATCATCATTTGGAGATACATTTTGCCTTTCTTTAGTCTTAGATCTCTAGTTTCCTAGGTCCTCTGTGTTCTTATGTGTGGTTTCTTTCCATCTTATTTTGTTGGAGCACATTCTTTGTTAATTTCCTGAGGAAAGGGCACAAAAGGTAAATGATCTGTTCTTTATTTGAATTTTTTTTTTATTGGCATTCCACACTTGTTTGCTAGGTTAGGTATAGAATTACTGGTTGAAAATTATTTTCCTTAGCATTTTAGAGCAGCTTCATTGCCTTTGTGCCATGATTCTAGATCTTTTATGAGTTTTGTTTCCTTCTGGAAAAAACTTTCAGAATGTTTTAGTACCCTCACTGTTTTTTAATTTCTCAGGTGTACCTTGGTCAGTATGTTTTCACTGTGAACTTTGTGGACTCTTTGATTCTGAAAATTCTTTAGTCATGGAGAATTTTATTGAATTAATTTTCTTATATCTCTCATATTTGGGTTACTCAAATTTGACTGTCCTTGATTTCTACCCTATTTCCTTTTGTTGCAATGCTTTCTGTGACATTTTCTCAGTTTTATATTCCAGCCATTCTATCGAGATTTTCATTTGAATACCCTGTAATGACATTTCCAAGAGCTCTTTTTTGTTCTGAGTTTTTTTCTCCTATAGCATCCTTGTTTTAATCTTCACAGTAACATCTTTTTTCTAAGCTTGGTACAGTCTTACTAATACTTTTGTAAATCTCAGGTAATTCAGTTTGAGTAAGGTACTATAGAAAGCTCATTGGAAACTGCTTTGCTGTGATAACAACTTGTGGCATTGTTTTTTGAATAACCCCTCACATCAGTGTCAAGGTCTTTTCTTGGGTATAGTCCAAAATCACCAGAGAACTTTTGTCTCAAGCAACTGCTGGCTGATAAATCTGACTGCCAGAGTTCTGGGGCTTAGTGGGAGAAGCCAAGTATCTCAGAAGGGGTATATAATGTAAGCTATTTTCGTGGGAGCATTCCTTGTCTTATCTGTACCTGATGTCCCCCTGCCCAGAGAAGTCTGAAGTCTTCTTCATCTTTAGGTCAACTGAAAACTGCTGTATTATTTTAAAGGCACAATTGATCTAGTAGAGTGGGAAACTTGGTTCTTGGACTTCAGTCAGTCCTTTCCTTTACAGTCTCCCTTTCACTCCTACACTCTGCTAAACTAATTACTACTTCATTTGCCCTGCTCTTATCTTGTCGTTGTATGTTTATGCCTATTTTCTTTATTCCTATTACTGTTGGCTTAACACAGTTCCAGAAATAAGTCTTGCATTTAAACCATCCTTAACTAGATATTGTTGTAAATTATTAAATCTAAAAGAATCTGTAGCTAGGTCTGGGGATGTAAGTCAGGGTGCAGCACCTCAAACTCAGGGCCTTGTGCTTGGCCTCTCCCACTAAGCTCCCAAAATTCTGGCAGCCAGGTTTATTCTGCCAGCAGTAGTCTGAAACAGAAGTTATCTGGTGATTCTGGACAGTACCTGAAAAAAGACCTTGACCTGAAAAAAGATCCTTGATATGAAGGATTATTCAAAGAACAATTCCACAAGATCATGTCACAGCAAAGCAGTTTCCAGTGAGCTTTCTATAGTATTCCACTCAAAATGAATTACCTGAGAGTTAAGGAAAGAAGAACTAATAAGAAAGGAAAAAAAAAACCATTTTGTAGTTAAAATAAATCTATTAACCAGATTTCACCAGAGGAACGGTAGGTATTATCAACTGAACTGAGCACAGGGTAATAATAAGCACAAGTTTGGCAGGTTTTTGTAGCAGTGTTCAAAGGAGAGAGAACTGGAAGATTTTTACATTGTCACTCAAATTTGAGGTAACATTTTGAAGTATAGTTTTCCTCTGACAACTGCCCACTAGATAACCCTTTTTAAAAAACTTAAGTAAATCAGAAAAGGAGTTCTGTACAGTAGTCACATGTATTTCAGGCATTAGAGAAGCGTAGTCCATTCAGTGTGCAAATAATGATGGTTGGCATGCATTGAGTACTTATTTAATACCACAGTGCTCAAAGCACTTGCCTTGTAACTCTTACAAGGGAGCTAGCTACTAATTGTCCTTCCCTTTTATAGACAATGTTTATATAAACATTCACATTAAGCACCTTGGACACTTCCACATAGTGACACAACTGATTTATTAATACAAATTTGTACTAATGTGATTTGTAAGTTAGTCTTTTGTTTTGCAGGGATCAAACCTAGGACTTTATACATGTTGGAAAAGTGCTGTACCACTGAGCTCTATCTCCAGCCCACACATTGGTCTGTTTTTATTGTAAATACAGTCAGCCATAGCTAAGCAAGTGAGGTGGCACATGCTTGTACTCTGAGAGGCTGAATTAGGAAGATTTCAAGTACTGCTGATGCAACTTAATGACTCAGCAAGGTTCTGTTTCAGAATAAAAACTTAAAAAGAGTTGTTGCGTATGAAGGCCCAGTACTGCTATAAGAAGAAAAAGCATGATGAATGCCAAAAATACTGGATCTATAAACTAGGTAGTCGTCCTTGACTCCAGGAATACTACACACAATAGTGATAGTGCCATCTCAATAACTACATAAGCAGATTTGTAGCTCCTGAGGACCTGACCTTCTTCTTTATTTTTTCTGACCTTCTTGTGTTTTTTTTACTGCCTTTTAGATCTTATTACTTGACATTTAAAATTATTTGGAATTAACTTTTTTTACTTAAAAATGTTTGAATGATTCAAATGCAATGACTAAAATGTTTAGGTAGAAGATTATCAAAACAACCTACTTCAGTTAAGAATGAGTGCTTCTATTTAGCTTGTCCTTTGTTTTACTCTATGACCTGTCACTGGGGACTTAAAGTAGTAGTATGGGTGAAAAGAAGTTTTGGTTTTTTTGGTACTGGGCATCGAACTCAGGAGCTCACACTTGGCAGGCAGGCACCTATGCTGCTGAGCTAAATCCCCAGCCCTGTGAAAAGAAGTCTGAAAAAAGAATCCCTCTGCAAGTAGATTCACTAAGAAGAAAGATAAAGTATATAAAATCTGTTTTTCCTGGCAGATAAATAGTGCTCCTCTTGTAGTCACATTGTGATCTCTTGTGTTAAAGAAATCATTCTACAGACCCTACTTTAAACAAGCTTCCATGTTAGTGTAGTAGCTTTTTATAGTTGAGCTTACAGGTCTTCTCTATGATTTTTAGTTTGTTTGTTTATTTTGCACTGCTAAGGACTGAATCCTAGGCCTCATGAATTCCAGGCACATGCTCTAGCACTGGGATACATCTTCCGTCTCTGTTTTTCATTATTAAGTGACAGCTCAATTTCCCATTTTTTTCTTTCCAAACCATAGGTCTCGGCTGTTCCACTATACTTTCTCCAGAAGGATCAGCTCAGTTTGCAGCTCAGATTTTCGGATTAAACAACCACTTGGTATGGGCCAAACTGCGAGCAAACATACTGAACACATGGATTGCCTTGAAGCAGGCTGACAAGAAAATCAGAGAATGTAATTTCTAAGAATATCATTTCTTGATGCAATAGGGGGCATCCCTATACATTTTTAATTCAGCTGAAGAAAAACAAAATAGAAAAAAAGATTTTTCAGCAGAGAAAACAAAATTGATATATGAATAAATGTTTCTCTAGATAAGCAGATTAGAATGTTTGTTTATATTAATATAGGTAATTACTGTAAGGACATTTTAAGATTAATTTTTCTATCAACTGTATAATCACTGAGTAGGTAACAATCAAAGAGACATTTTAGGAATGCTGATAATATCCTACTGTAATGCTCTAAAGTTATAACTTGACCTGCTATGTAAGTTTTAGAAAAATAAAATGGCTAGTATATATGTTAGGTGATAAAAGCAACACAGTCATTCATTTTATGGTCTTTACAAAATCTAAGGGCATGGTTTTTTATTTATAGTTACTATCTCAAAATAACATGTATTTATATTATCTATCATAAAACCCTTATACAGCTCAGGCTACTTTCAAGCTCTCAGTCCTCCTGCTTTAGCCTCCCTCATGCTGTTATTCCAGGCATATGCCACAACACCAAGCTTACCAGGCATTTTTTTTTAATAAGAAAGTTGAGATTGATGCCATGGATAAGAAAGAGAAAGGGGCATAGTGGAAGCCATCTTCTAGTATTAAGTATTAAGCCAGTGAGTACAACCTGTAAAACCTGTAAAATCACAGAATATAAAGAAGTTATATGTTCATTTTTAAAAGGCAACAGTCAATTTTCTCCACACAATTCTGTGTCCCCTAAAATACTGTGAACCTTTGCTGCAGATGAAATCTTAACGAAGCCCTTCCCTCTGGCCTACACTGCCTGTGCCTTCCGACCTCGCCACGGCTAACAAGCTGCTGCCTCTCATTACTTGTTTCATCTGATCCCTGAGGCATGATTGGCCTAATCACTCCTTGCTTGAGCTAACACCAAGACATTCCGACCTTTCTCTTGATTTTCTTCTTTTAACTTATTCTCCAAAGTACTGGAATTTCTTAGTGATTTTCCCTTGTTTATTAATATTGAAGCAGAGATACAGCTCAGCGGCACAGTGCCTGCCTAGCAGGTACAAGGTCCTGAGTTCGATTTCTGATACCAAAAAAGTTATTATTAATACTGAGTGGGTACTCTTAATAAAACTAGATTTACTGACTTCCAACTCTGCTTCCAAACTTGTATTTTAAACTCTTCCTTATCGGCTCCATGGGCACTTTTGTAAAAACCAGAATGCTTGCAATTTCATTCATATTCACCAAGCCTGTTACTCTTGGTTATAGTTAGTCACTGTCTCAAGTCAAACACTTGGCTTCATTTTTTTATGTTCCTGTTTGACCTTTCACAACCTCCTCAGCACCAAGTCATGGCTCTCAGTTTTAATTTCTGGTTAACTGAAATTCACCCACTTCTGATGCTCTGTATAGTGGCCTCCGATGAGGGTCAGATGCAACACCAGCCTGATTCTTAGAAAGTGCCCATCTTCAACCCAGTATTTTCTAGTTTGATTGCCCAAAGATTTCCAAAATGTATCTCTTTCTTACCATGGACCCTTTTAGAAATATTAATTCTGATGACCTCTTCTTTAGGAAATTCCAGACACAATGATTCTTGGGTTCCCTTGAATCCTACTTGTATAATAGGTTAAGATACACTGGTGTGAACCAAGCAGAGTGGTGCGCGCCTGTAATCCTACCACTCAGAAGGTTGAGGCAGTACTGGAGCCAGTTTGAGGCCAGCCTGGGCTATCCAGCCCAACCTGAACTACATAGCGAGACCCTGTTTAAGAAATACCCCCAAATAAAAAAAAACCACTCATGTGACCCATCAAAGAAATCTGTTTTTATCATAATTCTTGGACTGCCATACATCTGTACCTTTAATTCCTTAAAGGAATTCATTTTATCATAAAAATCTATTTGCTAGATATAGATAAACATAGCTTATTTCCAGAAAACCTTCTATACCAAAACCAATTCTATACTGCAGTTGCTTTAATTGCTCTTAAATTATAAATTCCAAAATAAAATAAAAAAATTTTAAGTTCCAGGAAGAGGAAAATACAATTTTACACCTGATTTCCCATACACTATTACACTCTGCAGTGCTATGCCTAGCTATCTGCTAGAGACTGGAGAACTGTAATGTTTTATCTTACGTTAGTTTGCAAGGCTGGAGTATGGACTGTGGCAGCACAGTTAAGAGACTTATATCATTTTAACAACTTTAAAAACTTTGAATCCCTGGCATACTTCCTCTTTTATGTGCCCGTACTATCGATGACTCTACCTAACTATGTAGTACATAAAAAGGTTTTTAAGTTTTAATTCAGACTGGTGGTTAGAACTGACCATTATCAATAGTCATTATCAGTTTTATCAGCAGTCTGAGTACAGTACAAATATCCTCAGTAGTATAATTCATTGGCGCTAGAGTATTTGAAAGTATTTCTACTGTCCTATAAGAAGTAACCTACACAACCTATTTGAACTTTAATTACAAAGGTTATGACAAGTTAGTTAATATATGTAAAAGGTATCTTGGCTCATGAATGTATGTGTGTGTTTCAATTACAAGTGAAATTAGTTGACTATGAAAGTCCAGGTGTGGTGGCACATTGTATATAATCCCAACACTTGGGAAATTGAGGCAGGAGAATCACTGCAAGTTCAAGACTAGCCTGGGCTACAAAGTGAGCTCAAGGCCAGCCTAAACTATATAGAAAGACTAAACAAACAAACCACCATGAAAATTACCCAGAATTCAGGATCTCCAAGATGCTTATTTGGTCCTCTCTGTGCTAGCTAGATAAGCACTCTGCCAGCCCTCTTTTGAGATGGTCTTACTTGGGCTGGCCTCCAGGTCTCCTGAATAGGTAGGATTACAGGCTTGGGCTGGCCTCCAGGTCTCCTGAATAGGTAGGATTACAAGCAGACACACTATTGCCAGCTAAAAAAATGGTTGCTTTTAATGATGTTTTCATATTACTAAACACACTTAAACTACTTGGGGTACAGCTATTAATCTCACTGTGGTACAGTGAAAATAGTGTACTGAAATCAGTATTCTCTAAAGCATATTACTCTTTGAGTGTAAAGTTCTCTTTCATGAAGTGGAAGTAAATATTTCTTCTGCCTTCCTAGAGTTAGTAAAACACTAACGTTATATACTATATCCACTTCAGAAGTCCTGAATGTCCAAATATTAATATAAAAATAAATTTTAAGTACTTAGGTAATAACTAACATTATGTATCAACTTGACTAGGCTAAAAAGATACCTAGGTGGCTGATACAACATTTCTGAACCAGATATGGTGACTCATGCCTGTAATCCCAGCACTTGGAAGGCTGAGTTCAAGGTACCTGGGACTACGTAGGAGACCCTGTCATAAAAAAGGAAAAGTAGGAAATCTTGCCTCATCTCTCTCTCCCGTCTGTAAATACAGAAGCCTCAAATATCACTAGCCTGATCCTCAAACTGAATAAAAAAGATTGTCCTCACCATTATGGATAGGAATCATCCAGTCCATTGAAGGCCTAACTGTAAAACAAACAGGAAGAAAGGTCAGTTTGCTCTCTGCTGTGGTATACATCTTATGCTCTCAAGACACTGGTTTTCTGCACTCAAGCTTGGACTGAGAACTGTACCATTAGCTTCCCTAGGTCGGTAGCTTCTAGGTAGCACTGATAGAACTTTTCAGCCTCTGTAGTTGTTAAGCTAAGCCCTGAATAAATCTCTGTCCTTTTGATTCTGTTTCTGTGGAGAACCCCACTTGATAAAATCTATAATGTAAAAGACCCAGGAATGTAGTGATAAACATTATTGAGTTTCTGCCTTCAGTGAGTCCTAGAATCTTTCAGGTAACTTCAGAACACTATATATTGTACAGTTAATGTGGAAAGGTCAGAGTACTATGAATACACAACAGAGGAAACAATATCTTTAAAAAAAAACCAAACTATCACTGAATGACAAGTGACTCAATTCTTCAGCCCAGTCTCAAATGTTTCTTCCATTTCCTTCATTTTCTTTATAGGATTTGTTACCACCAAAAATATATTTATTGCCTTTTTCCTCACTAGAAAATATTACATGACTCCACTGAACTGTATTTGTTGTTAATTGTATCCAAAGCAACTAGTATAATGCCTAGCACAGGCTCAGACAAGACTCTATAATTTTTTTAATGTATTAGAGATTGAATCCAGGGCCTTCATACTGAAGTGCACTTCCTCCCTTTTGTTTATTTTCAGATAGGGTAGCCCTAAATTGCCCAACCAACTTGTGATCTTCCTGCATCAGCCTGTCCCAGGATGTTGGCATTACAGGCATGCACCAATCACCACACCCTACTGAAATATATGTAGCTTGATACTGGAGTATAGTATAAAAGAGGGATAAGGAAACGTGTTACAGTTTGGATATTGAGTGTTCTCCTATCCAAGTACTAACCAGGCCCGACCCTGCTTAGCTTCCAAGATCAGACGAGATTGGGTGTGTTCAGGTTGGTATGGATCTTGAGTGTTACGGTTTTGCTGCAAGCCTTTGGCACTATTGGGAAGTGGTAGAACCTTACAAGATAGGTTGAATCTACAGTGAAAGGAAGCAAGGACTCCTTTAAAAAGGTTAGGGCCTTGGTCCCTCTTTTGCTTCCTGGGATTCTGAAGTGAAGACCTCTTACCTACCACATACTCTGCCATGATGTACTTCAGTGCCACAGGTTCCATGGACGGAAACCTCTGAAACCCATTAAACCATTAGCCAAAGTAAATCTTTCCTCCCTGTAAATTGATTATCTTCAGTGTCTTGTCAGCAACAGAAAAGGTAACCCAGCAAGTACAGTAAATGAGACAAGTATGGATGGTGAAGTGGCAAGCACAATCTTGATCACAAAGAACATTACAAGTTGCACCCTGTAGTTTGGAGTTACCATGAGGGTAGGACAGTGGCATCAGGTACATGCTTTAAGAGAACATAGCATCATGGATGAACCAAAGAAGTAAAGCCTCACCAACTGCCAAATCTCTTGATAAAAGTCTATATTCTAAAAGGTTAGAAACAGTATTAAAGCATTAGCTGTTGGAGAGGACAAGGGTGGTTAAAAACAACTTTGAGAAAATCCAGTGGCATCTACAAAAATCTTAGAAAACCTTAAAATTTTGAGTATACTGTTACCTGAAATACTCATCCTTGAAGGCATGAGTGGGCATAATTGGCTTGAAAACTCTTAACTGTAGTAAAGTCCAAAGCTTTTCTCATGTTTGCTAACACAAAGATTATGTTCTCTGGCTCCTAGAGCTCACTTTGCCTTTGTCCTACAGTGACCAGACATGAAATTTGGCAGGGACCATATGACATAGCCAGAAGCTGAACAGTTTCTGCCTACAATGCACAAATTAAGCAACTATCATGAAGTAGATGACATTCATTTTACAAGCTGAGTAACAGGTACTCAAAGGTGACCCCAGGCATAGTGATGGATGACTGTTATCCTAGCATCCAGGAGATTAAGGCAGGAGGACTGCTATAAGTTGCTGCTGGGCTCCATAGTGAGTTCGAGGCCAGCCTGATCTACATAGCAAGATCTTGTCTCAAGAAAACAAAGGTGATGTGCTACATTCTAGTGATACTACAGTAAGTAAAATCAGTATGATGTCTTTGCCTCAAAGAACTATAAACCATTCAGAGTGAGCAAGGCCCAAGTTTAGCAAAGACAAGTCAGTGCTCAGAAGTAGCTTTGGATTGGGGAGGTAGCTCAGGGTTGGACAGCTTGTCTAGCATCATCGTATCATCACAGAAAAGCAGTAGAGTGTATGTGTAACCAGAATGCTGGCCAGTGTGCAAAGATTTTCTAAGAAGCACATACATCTTAAATACAAGGATAAAAAGGAGTTAAGTAAATTGCTAGGGGAGAGAGGAAGTGACAGAAGTTGTAATGATCATACAAGAGACAATGGCTTGGTTACTTTTTTCTCGTTGCTGAGACAAGATACCTGACACAAAATGAAGGAAGGAAGCTCACTGTTGTGGAGCTTTCAGTCCCTAATCAGCTGGCTCCAAGGCAGGGTGGCATGGTACTGGGGTAACACTTTAAGGCAGCAGCTAGTGCAAAATGACAGCCAGAGCAAAAGGGAACAAAACAAAACTTCTGCCTTCTATTAACACAAGCCACCTCGCCAACTTCAGGGCAGGTGTAGAACTCAAAATCTCTTTTGTCCTCCTCTACACAGGATGAGGATATTTACAAACCCCGCTCCTATTGAGTTTTTCAGTTAAACGTCTAAACTTCTCAAATTGACACGATGTATCAATCATGTCACGATGTATCAATCATGTGTCCACAGAGTAGAACAATAAAAATGTCCTGTACCCAATACCCATTCCCTTGCATTGCAGCACATCTTCATACTTGGGTTTTACACAAGCCATAAATCCATTATGCATTATATGTTGTGACTGTCACATGCATGAATTCTCTTTTACCACTGAAACTATTACCAATGACACTGAGATTAAACCCAGGGTCTTTGCCTTGAGCTCATCTTACTTCCCCTTCCCCTTTTTGAGACAGACTCTAAATTGACAAGGCTGGGCTCTAACTTTGTGATCCTCCTGTGGCCTCCCAGAGTGCTGAGATTACAGGCCTATCATCCATCCATTATATCCCAATTTTTTCCCTTTTTTTTTTTTTTTTTTTTTTGTCTTTTTCCTTTATGGGTACCGGGGATCGAACTCACGACTGCATGCTTGCAAGGCAGGCGCTTATGCCACTGAGCTAAATCCCCAGCCCTATATCCCTATTTTACAGTGGGAAAAACAGACTCAAGAAGTTAAGTAACTTGTTTACCATCAGGCAGCTGGTCAGAGAAACACCTCAGTACCCTCCAACCTTAATTGCAAAAGGGAACCCAAGAGGTTTTCGCCCAATGTGCTTTGCACTGGTGGATTCTTTTCTTCTCAAAGCTCCCGTCTGTGCCAGAATGACCTTCACCTTCCCCAGAAGCAAGCCACGGTTCCCTTAATCATTTATGAAATCCTTCTCAAATGCCAGTTCCTCGTTTTGGTATTTATTCTCAGTCACTACAGCAAAGTGGAAACTCTCCATTCCTCTTCAAATGACTCCCTCCAGTTACTATTTATTGCTTTACAGATTTTATTCACGGGCCGTCCCCCAGTCACACCTTGACCATAGCGGTCACCAGGAAAAACACGCTGCTTTGGACCTAAACTTCGATGAAACACTACCGCCTATCCCGTCTTCGATACCCCCTTTCCTCCAGACACATGCGAGTAAGGTGTACCCCAAACCTCACGCAAACCTCTCCCCCGACACTAACGCCGGTATGAAGACTCACTCCGCGACCCTTAGCAACCACCAGCTTCCTCCTCCGCTTGGCCAACATGGGGATCCTCTTCCGGGGCAGAGGTCAGATGGCCCCGCCCCCTATTCGCAAAGATGGCGAGCGGCGGCAGCGGGGGGGTTTCGGTGCCTGCGCTGTGGAGTGAAGTGAACCGTTATGGACAGAACGGCGACTTCTCGCGCGCTCTGAAGACCGTCAACAAACGTAAGTGTTGGCCCGGCGCCGGGGCTGGCCAGGCGGACGGGAGGATGTCGTCTGTTTCCGGCGCGCGCGGCCACCTAGGGTAGAGACCCCCGCGTCCTCCCGGCTCCCGGCCGTAGGCCCTAGGGTGCGGGTCGCCGCCTCTCCGCCCCAACAGCCAATTCGGGGTCTCGGGTTGCTTAGAGCCACGTGTACCTTCCCTTCGCCTCCGCGGGACGCGAGGGAGGGATTTAAAGAGACCGCAGCTCACAAAGCCTCTCCCAAACTCTTTTCTTTGACTGATCTACTGCCTTATTTCGCAGATTTGCCAGGTTGCCTTTTTACTTACACTGGTCATAGTGTTCATAACAGTACTGCTGAGGGAGCGTGTGTTCCGGGCCGGGGGAGGAACCTGTCTGGGACACGTAATTCACAAGCCAGTGTGACTAGGTGGAAGGTGTACAGATTGGACTGGGAAGAAGAAAGGGCCTGCCCAGGCCTGTCACCCCCGCACAACAAATTTCCCTAGTGTCTTTTAACCAGAAAACGTGTGTGCGAGACCACTAGCCTTTGGAATAATGTCGGAAGAAAAGTTGTGCCTGTTTTGTTCCTCCTAACATGATAATTTCAAGTTTTAACTGCCTTCGATGTGAGATTCTTTACATATGTAACTATAGTGGGGCCACGTATTATAATACTGTGTTCTTTTCTACCGAAGATGCAACTTGTGTGTGTTAAATGTGGACTGTAATTACCAAAACAGCTTAGCTGTGCAAAGCAGTAATAGCATAAAAGGTATGGCAGTAACATACAAGTCCATATCATTTTCATCAACCTATTGCTTAATGTAAAAAGGAGTAATGGTGCCTACAGTAAGCTGTGGGTCATTTTAGAAATGAATAAAATAGTAATTAGAATTGCTTGATTCCTAAATTTATTTGCATTAACTTTAGACTGTAGCTAGGCCTCCAACCACTTATTACAAAAATACTTAGTAGCAGTGTAGTGTTTTGCAGGAATTCTTTAATCAACAGAGACTGTCAGTTTGTTCAGCAGTACATATTAATAGGTAGAAATTCCTTTGATTCTCAGACCATGAAATGAAATCAAAGCTGCCCACAAAGAAGGGCAACAATGAACCTAAGCATTTTGACACTAAATAGTGCCATCGGCACTGAAACTTGATTACTTGAGTCCTTCCTTACACTTTTCTTTGGTCACCTTAAGTGAAAAGGGGAATTGTGAATGATTTTTGAAACATTGGCAGCAAGATAAATAGTGTTTGTATTGCACTTTATAAGAGTTTTTCCAGAATATTTTCATTTTATGGTCTTGATATTTTGTAAGATAATGTTCTCATACATAAAGAAAATAGAAAACTGAAATTTGGCCATTCATGGCAAATTTGAACTATTCCTAAGTCATTTGGTTCCAAATTCAGCATGAACTTTTTTCTCTTCTTGTGAGGTAATGAAATTGTCAGGTGTACTACGTTTCCTAAGGTGAAAAAGCTGGAGACACAGCTTTTTTCTTGTTTTATTTCACTGTGCGTTTTTGGTACTGCAGCTTTGGAATCTCTTCCTCACTGAAATTCTCATCTAAATCTAATCTAACTCCTTGTCATTTAAGTTAAAATGAAAATGGAGGAAAAAAGAAAATATTTGGGGAGGTTTTTGTTTGTTTTGTTACTTTGACTAATTTCTAATACAATAAAATTAGAAATGCATATTCCTTAGGTGGGGATGAGAGTATTTAGTAAAAGTGACTTTCCTAAAATCATTCTCCAGTACTACAGATCAACAAGGATGATGTGACTGCCCTGCACTGTAAAGTGGTCTGCCTTATTCAAAATGGAAGTTTCAAGGAAGCCTTGAATGTCATCAATACACATACCAAAGTTTTAGCCAAGTAAGTGATTCAGAAATAATAATTGTATTAGAACTATAACCTATTAGCCAGTTTGTTGTTGTCATCGTGTATTCGTTTATTTGTTTGTTTGAGGCAGAGTCTCACTACATAGCCCCAGCTGTCCTTGAAATCAGAATGCTACTACCTTGGCCTCCCAAGTGCAGATACATACACACACACACACACACACACACACACACACGGCACTGTTCACAGATTTTTGACCTACCTTTCTTTTCTTTTTTTCTTTTGCTTGATAATAGTGTTCCTGAAACTGGAAGGAGCAATTGTAACTTTTATCCTTTTTTCCTTAGGGGTACTCCTCTCACACACCTCATCCTCCCTTTGAATCTAGAAGAGAGTGAATTGTAGAGGAATGTGAGACCTAAATGTAACAAGACTTCATGGAGGATATGGGGTTAACAACTCAGCAGGAGATTTGAAAAAGTACAGAAAGCAGAAAATATAGGGTGGGCATGTATAACTATAGGACATTTAAGCATTTATGTCAAGAGAGCTTTTTAGGATAGTATGGCAATCTTACCCTGGGCTCTGCCGTGTGAATGAATTTGAGGCCAGCTGGGGCTACATAGTGAGACCCTGTCTCAAAAAACTTTGAGAATTATTTAGGTAAGTATGATTTAAGGCCAAGATCTTTCAGTGACAAGAATTCTTTAACAATCTTTATATAGCAGTTTTTTAAAATTTATTTATCATTTTACAGAATGTGAATTTATATTCTGAATTGTTACTGTTTGGTTTTTCTTAAATTTGGGTTCTGAGGATATAAGAGGATATAAGATCTTGCTAAGTTGCCCAGGCTGTGTTCAAAGTTGAGATCCTTCTGCCTTAGCCACCCTCAGTACTGAAATTATAGGCATGCATCCCCATGGCAAACTTTGATTGTCTTTTTACTTGAATTAATCCTTTTATTTTGAGATGAGGCTTCATTATGTTGCCCAGGCTAGGTGAGAACTCCTGGGCTCAGTGGTCTTCTGCCTCAGTCTCTCAAATAGCTGGGACTGCAAGTGCGCACGCAGCAGCACACTCTGCTAACTTTCCTTTACAGTTGTGACTGGGCTCCAGAAGAAGGAATAATCAAAATTAGCTTCGCAGAATATTCTTCAGTGGGATTATAGTTTATAAGGTAGAGAACAGTATGTAGTATACTTCCTTTTATAAGAGGAGGAACCTGTAAGATTTATGTATCTGTTATATTTGCCAAAACACTACTAGGAGAGATATGGATTAAAAAGAGTCACTTGTAGAGGGTGGGAGGAGCCAGTTAGATTTGGATAGCAGTAGACATAAAACATTAGTGCTTGTCTTGTTTTAAGATTACCAAGCCATACAAATATATTGCAAACTGAAAACTAATTTTAAACTTTATTAAAAGCTGGGTATTGTGGCGCATTCCTGAAATCCCAGCACTCAGGAGGCTGAGGCAGGAGGATCATTGTGAGTTCAAGGCCAGCCTGGGCTACAAAATGAGTTCAAGATCAGCCTGAACTGCTTACTGAAACCCAGTGTCAAAAAAAAAAAAAATTTACATAAAATGAAGGGACTTTTTTCTATTAGAAATATTTATGATAAAATTTCAACTACTGGATTTTGTGAGTTAGAAAATTTTCCAAATAATCTGTTAGGTAAGTAAAATACTGGTATTTGCTTTGATGCTTTTCTTCAGAGATTGTGGTTGAAAGTTCACAATGACTTGTTTTAATTTTTTCTATTTTGAGACAAGGTCTCGTTAAATTGCTTAGGCTTGCCACCTTTCTGCCTCAGCCTTTTAAGGACACTGAGAATATAGGTGTGCACCACCATATCCAGTTTATAAATGTTACTTGGTTAGTTGTGTATTTATCAGTTGTTAGAGTGCAAGAATTGTGTTCTTTTACTTATAGTTATTTTATTTGTTGCTTATTTGCTTCTTGAACATTCAGGAAACATCATACAAATTACTATTTTATTACTAGGTTTTTATTTTGTTTTTGCATGTGGGATACTAGGGATTGAACTCAGGGCTTTTGTACTGAGCTCTTTTTTTTTTTTTTTTTTTTTTGACACAGAATCTTCTTAAATTTCCCAGGCTGAGTCAAGAACTTGAAGTCCTTTTGTCTCAGCCTCCAAAAGTGCAGGCATTATAGGTGTGCACCATCACATATAGCTATATTATTAATAAATAAAAAGAATTTATCAAATAGCCATTTAAGGGTTCAGATTGTCCTTGTTTCTAAGATGGTTATTTTATTGATTCATAATTACCTTCTTTGGTGTTTGGTGTGTGTGTATATGGTGCTGAGGATTGAACCTAGGGCTGTGTGCATGCAAAGCAAGCACTCTACCAGTAAGCCACATCCTCAGCCCTTCAGTGTTATTTTCAAAAGGGCAATAATGGTCTTAATATCCATGAAAGAAGGAGAGACTCGGGAAATGAATTTATATTTTCTGGGACTTTCCAAGCCTGATTGATTTTTGGATGAGTCACTGACCTTTCTGTTGTCAGGATTGAATAAATTAACACACCTGAGGTACTTAGAGGAGGATCTGGAGTGTTCTGTTTTATAGAGATAATAATCAGCTATCTGTTTTTTCTTCTTCAGTAACTCTCTCTCGTTTGAGAAAGCATATTGTGAGTATAGGCTCAACAGAATTGAAAATGCCTTGAAGACAATTGAAAGTGCCAGCCAGCAGACAGACAAACTAAAGGAGCTATATGGACAGGTGGTGAGTACTGCTTTGGGCACCTGTTGGTCATTAGCCCATCCTGAAGTTCCAACAAATTACCCACCAAACCAGTTATTGGGTTCTGAACATTTTCCCCCAAGTATTGAGAATTAGACCTGGGAGCATTCTATCACTAAGCTATACCCCTGGGCCTTTTAAAAAATATTGTTATTTTAAGAAAGAGTTTTGCTGAATTGCTGGCAAATTTGAGATTGGCCCCAAATTTATAATCCTTATGCTATATCTATTACAGTCATATACCACTATTTCCTCCTTTTGATCTTCATTTGAAAGTGGTAGGCCGGGTATGGTAGTGCATGCTTGTAATGCCAGCATTCAGAAGGCTGAGGCAGGAGGATTACCTTGGATATGAGACCAGCTGGACTCCATAGTGAATACAGGGCCCACCTGTATTACATAGCAAGACTCTCTCAAAAACAAATACATTTTTAAGATGAAATTATATAAAATAAGGATACTGTTGATAAGAAGGCAGACATGCATGACCTGGTGTCTTGGTTACTTTTCTCTGGTTGCTGAGACAAAATACCCAATACCCAAAATTAAGAAAGGAAAGGTTTATTTAGCTCATAGTTTGTGAAGGTTTCAGTCCATAATTGGCTGGCTCCAAAGCAGGGTGGAGGGGCATAGGGGCAACAGTTATAAGGTGGTGAAAGACAGGAAAAGCAGTGAGAGCAAATGAGAGGTGAGGGCAAGTGCCTTCTTCCTGCAGGCTATCACCCCCTCAGGGTGGGTGTAGCACTCACACTTTCTGTCTGAGTTAGTCTTTTTTTTTTTTTTGGTGGTACTGGGAATTGAACTCACAGCTTGGTACTTGCCAGGCAGTCACGCTGCTGACCTAAGTAAGGACCCTGGCTCCCTGCTGAGTCAGTTAAGCTTCTAAAGTTGACACAATGTATCAACCATAACAACTGGTTAAAATTTTTGGGTTACTGATTGGTACAATCTCTGCTGTAGTAGACAGATTAACCCAGAGGGTTGTTACTGTCCTGTAAGAACAGATTGATTTTGCATCTCCTTAAGACTAAGGTACTAAAGTCTCAGAGGGGGAAATGAAGAAATAAAGTTAGGTAGAAAGGAGACCAACCTTTTTAAAAGTTGTACTTTACAGAAAAATGACAACTCTGAAGCATAAGCCAGATTTATTTACTTTTTTCCTTCCCAAAACAGCAAACCTGGGCAACTCCCTCTTGGCTCAGATGGATCTGCCCCTTTCCCTTCACTCACGCAGGATCCTCTTCAGCCTTTGGATCAGCCTCCTTTGTATGGTCCCTAGGGACAGACCATTATCTCACCAGCCTGTCCCATCCTCTCCCACCCTGGAGGACTGTAGATTATCAAATTGCACAGGTTTCCATCTCCCGAAATACACCAAAGACACCAGTTCCCAATTGTCTGGTGCCACATTTCGCCACATTTCTCTGAGCACCTCACTCCACTCTAGAGTTTGTCCTATATCTGCCTCTAAGATGCCCTTCTCATGCCTCTTAAAAAGACAAAAAGCTGAGGCAGGAGAATTACTGCGAGCTCAAGGCCAGCCTGAGCTACACACCTTTCAAGACCAGCCTGAACTACATAGACTGTCTCAAAAGCCAAAAGAACTCAGTTGACTGTCCTGCTGCTTCATGGTAGTCTACCCTACACTTGAGGGTATATTTTTTATTTCTATATTTTCTTCCCTTTTTACTTGGCCCAAACTTGTTGTGCAGAACCTATGTTTCTCCTGCCTTTCTGTTTTTCTCCTGTCTTTAATAAATGTGAACCTGCCACCATTAAAAAAAAAAAAATTAAAAAAAAAAAACAACTTGAATAAATAAACAGAATTGAGTTTGTAAGATTACTCTGAACAAGGAGCTGGGGATTTAGCTCAGCGGCATAAACTCCTGCCTTGCAAGCAGGCAGTCGTGAGTTCGATCCCTGGTACCAATAAAAAGGAAAAAGACAAAAAAAAAAAAAAAAGATTACTCTGAACAATAGCTGATTCTGAGAAACAGAAATAAAAGTTATATAATGAATTCTGTGAAATAATTATGTTAATATTTAATTTTGCCCCTGTTCCCTGAGGATTACAAATTTATTTTGTATTGTGGTAATTTTTTTATTGTAATTGAGATTCAGGTAAAATTTCTTTTCATGACCCATTTCGGTACTTAACTGATTTCAAGAAGGAAGATAAAAAGGAAATTCCTTAATATGGCATTACATTTATAACACTATTAACCAGTCTTCGCTTTTTTTTTTTTTTGGTACCAGGAATCGAACTCAGGACCGTGTGCTTGCCAGGCAGGCGCTGTGCTACTAAGCTATATCACCCGCCCTGATATTTTTTCTACTTGCTCTTTGTTGTCCAGCTATACCGTTTGGAACGCTATGATGAATGCTTAGCTGTTTATAGAGATCTTGTCCGAAATTCCCAAGATGATTATGATGAGGAGAGGAAAACAAACCTTTCAGCAGTTGTTGCAGCTCAGAGCAACTGGGAAAAAGTGGTTCCAGTGAGTATTCTCATGCATCCGTGCAGCCATGGGATAACCCTTATGCCTGGTGTTTGACTGGTGTTCTGCTCCATGACAGGAGAACTTGGGCCTCCAAGAAGGCACCCACGAACTGTGCTACAACACCGCGTGTGCACTGATAGGACAAGGCCAGCTGAACCAAGCAATGAAAATCCTACAGAAAGCAGAAGGTTGGAAGTTTGTTAAGGTTATTGTTAATATAACGTGGATATAATTTTGTGGAGTCCCTTCAAAAGTCACATGGATGTCTACAAAATTATTAACTGGAAATAGTACTGAGGCAGTGGGAGTTAGAGTTCATCTCGACTCTCTTTTTGACTGTCTCTATTTCTGTCTAATCAGTGAGGCAGTCCACTTGTCCATGTTAAATTTATTCTGCCCTAAAATTTGAATGTTGAAGATTAGCTTTTTGAGCAAATTGTTACGATTGTTACAGGTGAATAGAGAGACTTAATGTCAGCAGTTTAAGACATGCAGTAAAACATTCAGTATTAGTACCGTTCAGTTATTTCTACTCTGGTAGATCATAATATGGTTCAGTATGTGTGTGCAACAACATACACTATATTATGTATTTATGGCACCATTCAAGCACATTTTTAACTGTATTTAGTGTGTTTTTATGTGCAATGTTTACATACCTTAAAGCTTTTAATTAAGAAAAAAGTGGGATTCGGGGGTGGAGCTCAGTGGTAGAGCATGTACTTAGCATACACAAGACCCTAGTTTTAAGTCCGAGCTCCAACAAAAGGATGAAAGGAAAGAAGAAAGGAGGGAGGAAAACAAAATAAAATGAAATTTGTGTCTGATCTCAGTTCCTGAAACACTTACGAATTTTTTTATTTTATTTTTTTATTTTTTTTATGGTACCAGGATCGAACTAATGATCTCATGCTTGCCAGGCAGCACTTAAGCCACTGAGCTAAATCCCCACCCCTTAGAGTTTTCTTCTGTATACGTTATCTGGGGAAATTAAAAATGATGTTATTGGGGCTTCAACGAATAGTGAGGAATGAAAACAAAGGTGAAATGGGGTCTGCTTTAACTATTAAATTTCAAAGGATAAAATAAGAAAAAAGATCAGTGCATCATCAGAGGAAAAATCTTTAAGGGCTAGAATTTAAGGGTTAGGGGTATAAAAGTAGAGGCCTGCCTAGTGTGCTGGAGGCCATGGATTTGATGCGCAGCATCACAAGTAAGTAAAGAATAAAATTTTAATGCTTGTGGTGGCATGTGCTTTAATGCCAGCACTTGGGAGACTAAAATGGGGTGGAGGTCATTTGCCCCTACCTAGGAGTTCAAAATCAACCTGTGCAACCCATCTCATAAAGAAAGTAAATGTCACGATTGACAAAGATACAGAAGAGCATTCTCATACCATGCAGGTTTAAATGTAAAAGTAATCTAGACTTCACATTGGGCAATTTGGTGATGTGTGAGATTTCAAAGTTTGTATGGTCTTTGAACCATGAATTCTATTTCTAGAAATTTATTTTAAGGAATTTATTTGGTAAATTCATGTATGTATCTATGACTATTAATTAAAAGGATATATATAAGAACAAAATCTTAGAAAAAGCGTATGAAGGACTAGCTACAATGTACTGAAATTCCAAAATAGATTGCTATGTAGTAATTTAAAAATGTAAAAAATAATATTGATCCCTATTTATTATAACATAAAAGATGTCCATAGTATATTAAATGGAAGAAGAGTTAATATAGTATGTAGACTATCCCAACTTGATTTTAAAATATAAGTTTATATAATTAAGTAACTGAAATTTTAAGTGTTTCTAGGTGGGGTATGATTATTATCTTTATATTTTTCTGTAATTTATGTTTTTGCAGTCAACACTTATTCCATTTACATATTTTTAAGTGACCTTTAAAAAATGACGTTTAAAAATGACATTTTAAAGATGTCAGCATGGAGAATATATATGAAAAGTGCTGGAGACCAATAATCAGGAACCTATTTTGATTTATCTTACTTTATTTTTTAGTGTGTGTGGGGGGGGGAGTTCCTAAAGACTGAATCCAGAGCCTTCACACAGAAGTACATCTCCAGCTTTTCACAGTTGTTTTTTTTCCTTTACTTTTGGCATAGGGTCTTACCTGCTGCCCAGATGGGCTCAAATTTCAGTCTTCCTATCTCAGCCTCTCAGAGTGCTTGATTATCAAGTGTGCACCGTCATACCCAACTAGGGAGCGATAGTATTTATATTGTATGTGATGTTAACATAAAAATAAAATTTTCTTCTCATTAAGATTGTTTTTAAATTTTCTCCATTCTTGCTTTTACATATGATAAAAAGAATAGGAGTTGCCCAGCAACACTAATTTTAAAACAATTTGTCTCCCATAGATCTTTGCCGGCAATCATTTTCAGAAGACTCTGTAAGTATTCTTCTGTTGTCAAGCCCAAACTTTACACTTGTAATATTGTTAGTAAAGTTATGGTAGAATTGACCAAAGTCATTTTAAAAATAAAACAAAATTGTATTTCCAGAACTTAGGGATATTGTAAAAAGCTAAACCTACATTTAGCTTTCTTATATTATTTTTTTCAGTCTTGGGCTTTAGAAATAATAATGACCAAAATGTGATATTCCCAAGTTTGTTACCTTCTTTCAAGATTGTTTTTGCCTTTTTCCTTGAAATTTAACTCTCTTTTGGTGGCAGTTTTAAATTTTAAAGAACTGACTCACAGGGGGAATATTCCCAAAATTGTGTGTCTTGTCAAGGGTTGTATATCTTTCATATACTTTACTTGATACAAAATATATAGATCAGTTTGGAAAATGTACACAAGAAAAAAATGTTTCTTCTTTTGCTTAGGATGGGACAGAGGAAGACCCACAGGCAGAACTGGCCATCATTCATGGTCAGATGGCCTATATCCTGCAACTTCAGGGTCGTACAGAGGAGGCTTTGCAGCTTTACAATCAGATAATAAAACTCAAGTAAGCTTTAGAAATGAAGTATCTTTTAGAGGATTATGGTAAGACTTCTTTTTAAAGATTTGTTCAGTTTTAACTACTGCTTCTTGTTCACAGGCCAACAGATGTGGGATTACTAGCTGTAATAGCAAATAACATCATTACCATTAATAAGGTAGGCAGTGTCCATGGCTTTTCATATACTTTATATAAAGAACAAATTAGTCCCAATTTATTGAATGAAAAGTGTTCTTTTTTTCCATGATAGAAAAAAGTTCAAATGTAACAAAATAAAATTTGAGAATACTATTCAACTTTCATAATGTTGATGATTCCATAGTGCTTATTAAAGTTGTAAAACTTTTTAGTTATAGACCCTGGACTTTAAAATGTTCCTCTTGGCCCAGTTTTTTATAACATAGGTAATCTATTTCTTAAAGATATAATTTATTTGAACTTTTAAATGTATACATGTTTTAAATTATTTATTCACCTACTGAGGCTGAATAAATAACTTTTCAGTTTCTTCTGAATTTTTTTTGGAGGGCTGTGAGACATGAGCAAGTGCTGTATCTGTTCTTACCCTTCCACCCTGTGTAAAATGTTACAGTGGGTATATAGGCCATCTTGAACTACAGTGCTAATCAGATTATGCAACATTTGCAACATTGTGTTAATGGAAAAAGACTTCAAGTTCATACTTGAAATACAAGTCAGTAGAAAATAAGTAACATTTGATTTCTCTTGATGTCATGTCATTTTTCAGGTACTATCTTCTATCCTCAGAATAATCTTTTTAGATGGTAGTTCTTATGCCACTGAGCTAAATCCCTAGCCCCCTAGATGGTATTTCGTATCTCCAGTTTATAGGAATATAATCTGAGTCTTAAAGAAGTTGAATAATTTGTATAAGACCATAGCCAGTAAAAGGTAGAAGTGGATTTAAAGTCTAGTGTCTGACTCCAGAGCATCTTCTTTGTAATACCTCTCTCCTCTGATTACAGAAGTGCCAAGGGTCTCAAATGTCAGATACTGGCCTTAAAGTGAGTAGTCATTAGCATTAGGTTTCTAAACATTGGTGTTGACATTTGAATTTGAGCCAAGCCAGAGATACAGCTCAACGGCATAAGCACCTGCTTGTCAAGCACAAGATTCTGATTTTGATTCCTGGCACCAAAAAATAAATATATAAAAATAAAAAAAATTAATTTGGGCAGAAATGTGAACCTGCCTCTGTTTATGAATTTTGAAATGCTTATGAGAATAAATCCCTTTTATCTGATATATATAGTTGTGATAGAGTGTGTGAAACACTAAATATCTCCATCTAAATGTAATTTATACATTGAATTTTCATCAATTCACAGATACTTATTTCTTATCTCCTCTCCCTTTGATACTGGGGATTGAACCCAGGGCCTTGCACAAGCACTATTACTGAGCCATACGCTCTCAACTCTACTTCTGACTTATTTCATAATAGTACTAGATACAAAGGTACTTTTCCTTGAAAAAAACTCAAAACAGATAGTTAACAGTGGAAACATAACACAAAAGTCTTATTCTCCTTCCCTTCAGAGCAGCTCACTTTCGCCTTTTCAGACCTGCAGGGAAGAACCCTACTTTAGAAGGCTGTAAGAGCAGAGGGGCTGAATTGTAGTATAAAAGTATGTACACTGGAGGATTTGAATTGCAGAGAATTTTTTTTTATGTCTGTGAATCTGAAATAAGCCAAGACAAGTATATATACATTTTATTAATTTAGGAACCCCAATCAGGTAGATATATCTAAGCTCTCTTGTATTTATATAAAATAACTAAGGCCACAGAATGTTACAAGAGTTGAAATTAGATATTCTGTTAATGGTGAATGAACTTTTTTTTTGGTAAGGACCAAAATGTCTTTGACTCCAAGAAGAAAGTGAAATTAACCAACGCAGAAGGAGTGGAGTTTAAGCTTTCCAAGAAACAACTGCAAGCTATAGAATTTAACAAAGCTTTACTTGCTATGTACACAAACCAGGTAGGTAATATGCCCTCTGGCTCCCTGGCTCAACTTTTATATAGCATGAGAGGAATGATGAGTGTATTAGTCTTAAGCTGTTTTAATTTTTTGTTTATATTTTGTCTTCCTTCTTCAGAATATCGTGTGTTATGGATTTTATTTTTTAAACAAGTAACTTACCCAGTTCTATGTAAAGATAGGTCAGTAGCTGTTAAGAGAAAGAAGATAGGGCCGTGGCAGTGGCATAAGCACCTGCCTGGCAAGCATGAGGTCATGAGTTCGATCCCTGATACCAAAAAAAGAGAGAAAGAAGATAGTTCTAGCACCTTAAATGAGATGACTTTCTCATTATTTTTGCTCTCTAGATTAAAATGGATTCATCAAAAATGCCAATTCTGATTATAGATTTAAGATCTTTTCCATTTTAGTTGGGCATAATCACGTTATGAATGTTAAAGAGATTAATTATAATATGTGTATTCTAATTCTGAATTCATACTTGTCTAAAACACATGTTTAGTGGGAGAGTGAGACAGTAATGTTATTTAAAGCTGAGTTGAGGACCGGGGGTATAGTTCAGTGGCACAGTGTGCATGGCAAGCATGAGGTCCTGAGTTTGATTGCCTCTATACACACACACAAAGACTAGTCAAGTTATAAATATTTTATGTCCTGTGATTTTTAATACTTGATGTGTTTTTAAAAATCTGGAATTTAGACATTCAAGCAAACGTTTAGAATTTGTTACAGGTTTTTAGAACTTGTAGTTTAGCTTAGTTACTTTTCTCTCATTGGCAAGATAAAATACCCAATGCCTAAAATTAAGGAAGGAGAATTTAACACACAGTTTTGTGGAAGTTTCAGTCCGTAATTAGCTGGGTCCAGGGTAGGTTGGTGTGGCTGGGGGGCAACAGTTCAAGGAAGCAGAAGATAGCAAAAGCAGCAAGAGCACAAGAGGGGAGCAAGTCCCCTGCCTTGCTGCTCACCTTTCTCGTTGGTGCAGCCTTCGCACTGTCTCACTGCTCTCTCTTGTGCAGGCTCAGGATATTTACAAAGTGAGGACACTGGTCCCCGGCTGAGTCACTCAGTTAAACTTCTGAACTTTTCAAGTTGATACAGCAAAAAACATCCTAGAGCCCTCTACACCCAAGTGTATAGAGCTGCTGAGTTACTTAGTTAAACTTCTAGACTTCTCAGGTTGATATAGTATATCAACCATAACAGTTTAAACTCTGTAAGTGGGAGTTTTTCTTTAAGAAAAAAATGAGAATGTATGCCTTAATCTGGTTCTGTATTTAGGCAGAGCAATGCCGCAAAATATCTGCTGGTTTACAGTCCCAAAGTCCGGAGCATCTCCTGCCTGTGTTAATCCAAGCTGCCCAGCTTTGCAGGGAAAAACAGCACACAAAAGCAATAGAGCTGCTTCAGGTGAGGACGTTATACTTGAATTTTTAATGAAGTTTCAAGCAGCCTTGTTTCACTTACTTATACTACAATAATCTCTAACCTTGTAAATTTAATGTAAAGTTAATAGGTAATCAATCACTAGGTAAATTCCGGTGTCACTTTAGTTAATTCTTAGGGTTATAGCTTTGTTTTATATAAATTTACATAATTCCTGAAGGATGTTTTCATTTGGTGATGTATTTTATATGTGTTAGGCTTATAATACCAGTACCAAATCCTCTGTTTCAGTAGTATTTTCTCTGGCAAGTCCTACTTCAAAATCCCAAACAATTGTAGAGATACTGACCTGGTTTTTTATTAACCTACACCTGCTAATATTACATCTTTGAATTTCTTAAGTAGAAACTGTGTTAGCAAGTTTGACAGGGTAACAATTAGGACCATTCTGAGAGTCAGAGTTGATCATCAGAGACTCAAGAAAGGGACGCTCTTTGAATGTCTGTCTTAAAAGAACAAAAAGTTTATGTAGTAGTCCTTATTGTTTGTTTCTCTATTAGTGACTTCCTGGAAACTTGCTAATAGCCTGTACTTTCAGAGCATACCTTATATAAAGCAAAAGGGATGTCAAATAAAATGTTTTCCAAATTAAGATTTTTACCTGAAGTAGGTAAAAATCTCAGCTGAGATAAATTGCAAGATCTGTAGCTGTGTAGATAATTGTGACTTTTTTCTTCTCCAACTAAAAATATTTTAGGAATTTTCAGATCAGCATCCAGAAAATGCAGCTGAAATTAAGCTGACCATGGCACAGCTGAAAATTTCTCAAGGTACTAGTATTTGATTTAAAATTTTTTGCAACATGATAAAACATAATTATTGTTGTTTCAAACATTAAACTAAACTGTGTGATCTCCAACATTTAGTAGCGACCTTTTTTTGAGATTTTTCCTAAATCATAAGAATGAACCTCAGTCTGGATGCTGAAGGTCAGCAAAAGAAAAGATTTCTCTGAGGCTGGGAATATAGCTCAGTGGCACAGCACCTGCCTGGAGGTGCAGAGTCCTGTGTTTGACTTCCGTTACCAAAAAGAAAAGATTCCTGTGTTCTGAAAGACCATACTTCACTCAGATCTTCTAAGTATGTCATTTGTAAAAATGCTTTTCTGTTTGTCACTTGGTAATATTTGTTTGAATAAGAAAGGGATTACTTTGTATTTTACTTTGCAGTATTTCTTAGGTTGGCCATTTCATTTATCCTTCATTTATACTTGGTCATCTAAAGAATTTAATAACTGATGTTTGATTCTTAACAAAGTGTTTTAAGTATTTTGACTGCTATTTTGAACCAACCTTGAGTGATTATCTAAAATTGTGTTGTCTAGTATTCTAGCCACTAGCCACTTAAATTAATCAGAATTAAACAAAATTTCATTCCACAGTTGTGCTCACCACCCTTCAGAAGTGTAGTAGCTATGGCAGTTAGTGGCCACTGTGTTGGATAGTACAGATAACAGATCATTTCTATCACTGCAGAAAATTCTATCAGACAGCTCTGATGTAGAGTACGCCTTGTCAGTGGGGTTGAGAAATGGTAGACAAAATCCTACCTCTTGCAGTGACAGAAATGAAAATTTCATGGATTGGGGGAAGGAAGTTGACAGTTAGGAAAAAGATGTCTAAAAAAGGTTCCTTAAAGAGGCAATAATGAAAGGTTTAAAACTGCTAGTAATGTCTTTGCAAATTTCATTTTATTCATCAGTCCAAAATTACTGAGTCAGTCATGGTTTTTTGTTTTAAAAATTGGAGGGTTCAAGTTGTTAAGGTTTTTCAATGAATAAAAAATCGGAATCTTAGCCCCACAAATTTTCCATTGCACTCATGTCTGTAACAGTGTATTTCAAGGCCTTTAGGGAAGGGTCCCCATCATCACTTTCAGGTTATAGGCTGATAAGAACTAAATCCAACAGATGGGGAGTTGCAAGACTTCTTTTCTGTAGCAATTGTGCCCTTAACTTTCTTTATGAGCTGTATTATTTCCTCACAATCATTATCCTTATTTGTTCAGTGTACACTATCCCCAAGACCCCAAAGCGTGTGTATTTGTAGATTTTACAAGCTACAGATGGAAGTGCGTGCCTGTAAATTGTAGCGTTTGGGAAACTGAGACCGGAGGATTGCTGTGAGTTCTAGGTCAGCCAGAGTGTAGTTCAAACCCAGCCTAAATTACATGATGAGACCCTATCTCAAAAAAAATAAGTTGTTCCAAAGTAAGACTCAGTGTATCTTCCTTAAGGAAAAGTGATAAAAAGAAGTAAACTTCAGTGCTTTCTTCCCTACCTATACTTTCTTCACTACAGTGCTGATTTTGTTTTTAATCTCTTAAGGTAATATTTCCAAAGCATGTCTGATATTGAGAAGCATAGAAGAGTTAAAGCATAAACCAGGAATGGTGAGTTTTAACCAAAGTATTACGAGACTGAAGAGTGGAGTTTATATTTCTGATGTTTCTATATTAAGAATAAGTAATTTCTCTTTATTTCCATATATATTTATAAAGTAGAGGTAGTGGAGGAAATAACAGCTTTTTCTTAACTGCTATAAATTTGTTTATTTTGTGCTTTTTCTTTTTATTGTTTTATTATTCAGTCAGATGTGCCTGGCATTCTTTAGGCCTTATATTATCAATGAAAGCCAAAATAATTTCAGACCTGTTCAGGGAATTCCTTGCCTACATGTTTGCCATGTTGCTGTGATTTCTTTGAGTTAAAGCAATTTGATAATAGTGACCAACAAATTTAATATTACTAAACTGTGACCAGTTTAGATCACTAATATAGCTGAGAAAGCAAGGAAAGTTTCGATGTGGAGTCTTTTCTGTGATGGCAGGATGTGCATCTATTTTATTCATATTTGTGTCCTCCAGCACAGCACATTTGCAGTCAGCATTCAATAAATGTGTGATATTATTATAGAGGTACTTTCTCTTGATTGATTTTGTTGCTTTAAAATAGAAACAAAAGCCAGACATGGTGACCTTTGCCAGTAATCCCAGCACCCAAGAGGCTGAGGCAGGACGACTGTTGCAAGTGCAAGACCAGTCTGGGCTACAAAGAGAGCTCAAGGCCAGCCTGAACTGTACAGTGAGACCCTGTCTCAAACAAAGAAAGAAAGAAACAAAAATTTAAAATAGAAACAAATCCAATACACTACATGGCTGAAAATAAATAAGATGTTTCTTATATTTTATGTCTGATAGTCTGTTTCCTTTCAGGACACTTACCCACTTTATCTAAAATGTTGAATTTATTGCAGTAGAAGTTGTAAATAACATTCTCTTTATTTTTTGTGTATACAGTGTTTTTATTAGTACATGTTTGCAGTAAGTAATGGTCATAATTATCTTAGGGAGTTGATACCTGTACATAATACATCTTAATACTTTTTTGTTTTTCACCCCCTGCCTTTGCCCTCTTTCTCTGCTCTTGCCAGCTGTTGGTCCTCTTCACATTTGCAAAAGCTGTTTTCATTATATTTTTATATCGCCTTTCCCTCCCTTCCCTCCATCTCTCGTTCTCCCATCCATTTGAAAAAGATCTCCCAGGGGCTGGGGGTTTAGCTCAGCAGCATAAGCGCCTGCCTTGCAAGCAGGCAGTTGTGAGTTCGATCCCTGGTACCGATAAAAATGAAAAAGACAAAAAAAAAAAAAAGAAAAAAAGAAAAGAAAAAGATCTCCCTAATTCCTTTTTATCTGTCTTTTATTTGTCATTTAGTCTCTTACCTTCTTTTTGTCTGTAGAATCTCCCTTATCCCTGCCTCCTGTTCATTTGTGCCTATCCCACTGCCCCCATTCTCTCCTAGTCTAGCCACATGTTTATTACTCTTACGGTATTAAAGACCCTTTTTGTCTGACTTTCTAGCCTCATCTCCAATGGCTCCTCTTTGTTTTGCTGCCTCTCCACTCTAGTGCTGTGGGCCTCCTTTCTGTCCTTGATAGGCACTAGGCAGGCTTTTCATTGCATTACACAGTTCTAGCCATGCGCAGCTATCATGGGAGCTCAGCCTTGTCGGTCACACACTTGAATGTTCAGCAGTATTTTATTGAATGAGTATATTTAAATGCCTATTCTCAGCTTCCAAACTTACTAAACCATTTGTGAACCAACAGTGGTTTAATTAAAAAAAAGTATATTTAGCCCGGTGTGGTGGCTCACGCCTGTAATCCCAGCACTCAGGAGGCTGAGGCAGAAGGATCATTGCAAGTTCGAGACCAGCCTGGGCTACAAAGTGAGTTCAAGGCCAGCCTGAACTGCATAGAGACCCTGTCTCAAAAAGACAAAAAAAAAAAAAAAAAAAAAAAAAAAAGTATATTTACCAAACAACTACCTTCATATTTGGAAAACAACATTGTTCATGGTATTGTTAGGAATAAAATTGCACTATTTCGAGAGTAATTTTTATATGAATAGGTGCTGGGAAAGAGCCTAGCAGCCTTTACTGACTGTTTCAAAAACTGTTTTGGGAGTGAAGGGAAAATTTTGTTTATTAATTTATACCTTTGGATGGCCAGGTGTCTGCACTAGTGACCATGTACAGCCATGAAGAAGACATTGATAGTGCCATTGAGGTCTTCACACAGGCTATCCAGTGGTACCAAAACCATCAGGTAAGCAAATGGAGTAAAATCTTATAAAGAGTATGTTATAAAATGTTATAAGAATCTGTTTTGACCTGGATAATGAAAAGCTGCAGGAGTAAACTCAAGATTTCAGAGAACTAAAATATTCCAAGTTATCACATTAAAACTGGGGATACTATTAGACTGTCAGCTTCATTTTTTTGAGTATACGAGGTCCAATTACAGTTATTTATTAGACCTGAAAAATGACTGTAGAATGGAAAGGCTCATGTTTCTTAAAACTCCTTCCTCTGGGTGTACATATAATGCACTTGTGTATATAATTGCAGGATGTACAATGAATACAGGTAAGAAAAGTCATCTTAAGTGGCTGGAGAGTCCTTTGGTGGGAGTCATTATTGGAATAGTAGTACCTGGGAAAATTGTTTTTGTTTGATGGGTGCATCTGCATTTTTCCCATATGGCTCTCTGCATAGGCAATCCTAGCTTCCCAGTGTGCACTAAATCACTGCTAGTAGAGGGCTGTCGGGGCTCTGGGAAGTATTATGTATTAAGTTTGAGAACTATGGTGGCTTATCATCAAGATTTGATTTTGGGGAATGTTTCTAGTCATAAACAAATAGAACTGGAATATATTCAACTTTGTAATTGGTGATTACTTACACTAATTTATCTACCCTCGTCCTTGTATATATATGAGTAGTTTGTTTCAGCCGTTCAGTAAAACTTACAGAATTTAATGGATAGGTCCATTTTAAAGGTCTAATAAATATAACTTCATTGACTTGCTGCATATTTTGCTTAATTTTTTTTAATTGAACTTGCAGCCCAAATCTCCTGCTCATTTGTCCTTGATAAGAGAAGCAGCAAACTTCAAACTGAAATATGGGCGAAAGAAGGAGGCAATTAGTGACTTAGAGCAGCTATGGAAGTAAGTTCTAAAAGGTGGAAATGTAGAAACCACATTTTATTGCTGTTACTGAATATGAGGAAGTTATTCTCCTTGTTTATGTTACTTTCTTATTTTACAAATATTGAGTGACTTTCTTATTTCTTCTTTTAGACAAAATCCAAAAGATATTCATACCCTGGCACAGCTTATTTCTGCGTACTCACTTGTAGACCCAGAGAAAGCAAAATCGTATCCTTTTGACTGTTGTTTCTGACAGCTACCCATAGAACATAGAACTCTTCTAGTACCTGTGTATTGTCCAGGTATTTTTCTGTGGTGAATTTCAAACAACAGTAAAATCTCCTCCTAACTACTAAAAGCAGTTACTAGAACTACTTATCTGTGTGCTTGAACAATGCCATGATAGCTCTACTTGAGTAGTGTAATATAGCAGCAAAAAGGAAGTCAGTCTACGTTCCTCAGTGGTTAAGTCCAGCCCCATATAAACACACACAAAAAATAAGTGAAACAACAGCGTATGTTATGGATAATTGTGTGTAAATTCTGAAATTGTTACTATGATTAATATTTTGGATTGCATGCCTGTCTCAGACAGTTTCTGTTGATAGACGGGTTCAGTGTCCTGATTGGTAGAGCTTGGGTCATATGTGCTACTCTAATCAAAGCCAAGTAGTAAATGCTCTCCTGCTTAGCAGTGAGCAAGCCTGTATTTTATAAGCTTGATGATTGCTTTAGGATTACCTTGAAATACATCAGTGAACTAAGCAATAAATGATAAGATTGTGACTCTTCATGTTCTCTTTGCAAAATGTATGCTGACATAATTGATATGACTTGCTAATTTGTTATTCTGCAGATTTAAGAACAGTGTTTGCTTTTGATAAAGGGCCTAAGGAAAAGACAAGCATCTTGTTCTGTTGGCATACATAGATTGGCAGGCATGTGTGTGTTATGTTCCTGAAACTCTGTTCTCTCCCAGTCTTAGTAAACACTTGCCCTCATCAGATAGTATGTCTCTAAAAGTAGATGTCGAGGCTCTTGAAAATTCTCCTGGTGCTACGTACATTCGGAAGAAGGGTGGAAAAGTCACTGGAGACAGTCAACCAAAGGAACAAGGGTAATGTTTTTCTAGTTAAAACCATTCTAAAATAGTCTCTAATGTTGATTTTAAATTACATAAGAAATTAAAAAACTATATTCTCATAAAATTCCAAATTAATAAAGCTTAAGTTCCCTTTTCTTTCTTTTTCTTGTCTTTTGCTGTGCCCTGCACATACTCATTTCCCCTCATCCCTCCAGCCCAAGCCCAGCCTTGGGTATTAACAGTGCAGTGACAGCAAACCTTTTAGAGCCTTTAGTGACATAAACAACTCGCTGCGGCACACATGCCGAGGTTCACCGTCACTGACACAGTGTCTTCCAGATCTTTTTCTTGGTGTGTACACACAGAAGAGCATTTTTAAAGATTTTCTTTAGATTGTTTTGTTTCTCACAGAAGAGAGGTGGATGCTTTTGTGCTTACTTTTTTTTCTTTGTGCTTACTGTTTTCTAACTTGATTGCATTGAATTTAGTAAGTCCTGGAGATATAGACATATTTCATTCTTTTTATGCAAAACATTTTTTTGGCTGGATTTACCCTATTGGATATAACCTGATATACATTTAGCACATCATTTAATATTTCTATTTTGTTTTGTTTCATTTTGTTTTTTGAGACAGGGTCTCTACCATGCAGTTCAGGCTGGCCTTGAAATCATTATGTAGTCCAGGTGAGCACTGAACTCGTAGCAAGCTGCTTGTCTCAGCCTTCTGAGTGCTGGTCTTATAGGTATGTGCCACTATACCTAGCTCATCATTTAGTTCTAAACCAAAGTTCAGTATTTTATTTTGCCAATTTGAAAGAAAGGTTAACTGGCTTCATTTATTTACAGTAAGTCAGATTCTGATTTTTTTCCTTGTTCTCCCACATTGCCATCTTAAAATCAGTTAACAGGCCCACATTAAAATGTTTTAAGATTCTAATTTTGATTCAGTATAGAGCATGGAAGAAATCAATCACTTCTCCAGTTTTGTAAGAAAAAATTTTCGTAATTTTTCATTTTTTCATCCTTTTCTTGAATGCCTTCAGAAATTTGATTTTTTTTTTTCTAACTTAAGACAGTGAGAAGAAAAAAAAAAAAGACAGGACTGGGGATGTAGCTAAATAGTAGAGCATTTGCCTGATAGGCCTGACCTTGGATTCCATCTCCACTACACATATGAAAAAGCAACTATGTATGTGTGCTTGACCTCGTCCATTAAGAATTCTGATGAAAAATATCCTCATACTTAATCTTAAAAACTTTTGGGGCTGGTATTTAGCTCAGTGGTGCAAGCACTTGCTTGGTAAGTGTGAGGTTGTGAGTTACGAATTGGAGTCCTAAGGTGTCAACTTGTCATAAATACCATTTCATCATGATTCCAACTTCAAGCCTTATCAGGAACCTCAAAATAAAATTAACTCAGGTTAGGTCTTAAATGAGCTTTCAAATATCACCTGTTTAAATATTTTAAGTACTTTTTTCTTTACCAAAATGAGTGTTGAGTAACTACTAAGAATATATCTTTTTGTGATGCTTATGCCTCAGCGTCCTGAATGCTGGGCTTTCAGATATGTTCAGCCACAGTTCTTTTCTAATCCTTTAATCTGTCTTTTCCTTAAACAAACATGAGATGACTCTTACGCTTTAAAATTTTGGCACAATACTTTTGTTAGACATTATTAATGGTCTTTATGCTAACTTTTGGTGTGCAAAAGTATAGTTTCTTTTGAAGTTACACTATGTAGTGGATTTGTGCTAGGTGTTGACCAAAATACAAAGCAAAATAAAATGTATGTAAGTAACATTTGCACTAAAGGTGTTGTGTGTTAGGGTTGTGTGTTACAGGGGAGTATGCCAGAGGAAATAGTTATTCCTCAGGACAGTGGTGATAAGAAAGACATTTGGGCAGTGATTTCATGAATTCTGAGGAGGGTGAGCAGGCACACTGGGGAAAGGCACAGAAATAAGAAATAGCAGAGGACCTCTGATTCTGAGAAATTCTGAACAACTCGGATTCTGTTTCAAAGTCTTAAATGCTAGATGAAGTACTAAGGTGCACTGTTCATTGCATTTTTTATTCTTCAGGATATCTTTCATGAACATTCACAAACAGATGACCTATGGAATGAAAGTTTGGCAGTAACTGTTGCTGTGTCATCCTTTTAGCTGCATGTTTCATACTTTTCACTACAGTATATCAGAGCAGTCTGTGCTTGATCTCAGCCAAACAGTCTGAGAAGTGATCACAGGAGTCTGTGCAGAGATCAGTGTACTTAATGAAGGTTTTACTTGTTTAAAAAGATAATCAGGGGGCTGAGGCAAGAGGATCACTGTGAGTTCCAGGCCAGTCTAGGCTACAGGAATGAATTCAAGGCCAGCCTGCACTACATAATGAGAGCCTGCCTCAAAAAAAAAAAAAAAAAAAAAAAAAGAAAAGAAAAGAAAGAAAGAAAAGAAAAGAAAAGAAAAGAAGAAAAAGATAAATTCACAAGATTCGAAACTTGAAAGATAGAGCTGGGAGTGTGGCTCTGTGAATAGAGTCCTTGCCTAGTACATGGGAGGTACCTGAGTTCCATCTCTGGTCCTGGCGCAGGGAGTAAGTAAAGTCTTTCTCCTCTCCTGTCCAGCCTTTTCTCTCCTGTACACATGAGCAGTAGAATTTGTTTTCTGTGTCTTTCCAGAAGTGCTTTTTACTGGTATTTTACCTATACACGTTCTTGGATTAAACGTAAGGTAAAGGTACAAAGATTGTAGATTTTCATGCAAATTACTTACCTCACACTTAGCATACCTTTGAGATACTGTGTTCCAGATACTGTTTAGAAAGTGGTTTGGAGAAGAGAGGTGATAGCTATTTTCTAAGAACATATCCCATTTTCACTGAAAAAGCTTTATGTTAAGTTAAACATGTGCCCCCATTGTTATAGCAACACAATTGGTAAGAGCTATTTGGAAATAGCCCAAATGCCCATCATTGGATGATTAGATAAAGGTTTTTTTATACAGTGGAGTACTATTCTGCCCTAACGGATAAATTTGCAAGGGATTTAGCTCATCAACACAAGAACCTGCCTGGTAAGCATGAAATCGTCAGTTCAATTTCTGGTACCCAAAAAAATGAAGGGTAAATTTCAGGCTGAGTAAATTGGATGCACATATGTAAATATCACATTGTTTCTTTGTTGTAAGAAACCAAAAGCATAGGTAGTGTAACAGACACTGGGAAATAGGAAGAAAATATTCAAATGAGGAGGGCAGGGGAGGGAGAGAAAGGGAAAAGAAAAACAGAATAGAAGAAATGTGAACAAAACTTTTGTAAATAAGAAAAGGAAGAGGGGAAGGGATTGAGAAAAGAGGATGATGTATACATACAGGTTCACTATGTTGAATGTGATCATTATGTATACCTAAAATGGACCAATAAAATTAATTTTCAAAAAATTTAAACAGTAAAGTTTAATGTGTGCCAATCTGAAATGATTGAATGTAACGTGGATTAATACCCCAGCCTCTTCGTTCTTTTGAACATACTTAATGCTCTCTATATATTTTATCTCAGTGATGGTAATGATTTTTCTTCTCTTTTTAGTCAGGGAGACTTGAAAAAGAAGAAGAAGAAAAAGAAAGGTAAGTGTTTTATTAACTTTAGATTCCTTTCTACATGATAATGATAAAAGCCTGAATCTATCCTTGTATAGAACTCTTCAGATGTAAATGTACTGCACTTTTATTTTATTTTAATTTTTTTTTTTGTCTTTTTCCTTTTTATCAGTACCGGGGATCGAACCCAGGACTGCCTGCTTGCAAGGCAGGCGCTTATACCGCTGAGCTAAATCCCCAGCCCTGTACTGCACTTTTCTGTGGTGTCTTTGAGTACCGACTCTTGACTATAGCTAACATTTAATTTTATCACTGTAATAAGTGTACCTCTGGAGATGGCCTAAATTCAAATGGTTGCCATAGTATTCTCACTGTTTGACCCCAGTTGACATATCTGCCTGAGATTTTCATCTGTAAAATAGTATGATAATATCTAGCTCAAAAAACTAATAAGACAGCTCTCTTACGGTTAAATTTCTTAGAATGATACCTAGTACATAGTAAGTCCTCATGTATTAGACTACAGGTACTATAGAGTTTCAGACTGGCTTAGAAAATTTACCCAGCTGTTTTTCTGGGTATCTTCCCAAAAGAATTAAAAACATCATACCACAGTAATGTATACGCACCCATGTTTAAAGCAGCACAGTTTGTAATAGCCACATCTTGGAAACAACCGAAATGCGCAGTAGCTGAGGAATGAATAAAAAAGATGTGGTATTTTTAAACAATGGAGCACTAATCAGCACTAAAGAAGGATAAACTGGAGACTTACAGGTGAATGGCTGCAACTTGAGACTATACTCCTTTGTGAGATAAGTAAGACACATGTATAAACATTATATTGTTTCATTAGTGTGAGAAGCTGAAAGCAAAGTGTGTGTGTGTGTGTGTGTGTTAAGATAGTTACACTATTCATCTGTGAGTTCACTAAAGAAAAAGATTTGTGCTGGTATTGTTCGGACAATTGAAGTCACATGTCTTGTGCTCTGGGTGAATGACAGGGGATGACAATGAGCCATGTTTGTACCATTGTTGCCCCCTGATTGAAATGTTTTGAAATTTTCTTGTAGTTTTTTTAGTCTTTGCTACTGGTAGTGCTGCTACTGCTTCTTTTCCTCCTCCTCCTTTTTCTCCTTCATCTCCTTCCTTTCCTTCCTCCCTTCCTCTCCTCCCCCTCTTTCTCCTCTTTCCCCTCCTCCTCTTTCCCTTCTTCCTCTTTCCCCTTCTCCTCCTCCTTGAAATAAAATGGATTTGGGTGGGGATTTACTGTTTTTGAAACTGGCAGTCTACAGAAAGGTTAGCATCAAGGTTGGTGGACCCAGTAATGGTTGTATCTCATTGTTCTGCTGTCAACAAGACTGAATCCTTTTTGTCTCAGAATGTTTGTTGGAAATAGGCCATGTACTTTTCATTTCTATTTAGCAGGACAGATAGGGCCTCTGAACTCAGCCAGCTTTTCTTATTGATCTGGTTGGGCAAAACACAGCTCGATGTCCTGCCCTGAACCATGAAGCAGGAGAACGTTGTGCACTTATCGTTAAGCCGTGTTCTTAATGCATAGAAAGAGTAGGTAGAATTGGGTACTATCCACACATGGCGTCATCCAGCCAAAGGTTAGCCCCTAAGCACCTACAGGCTCCTGAGTTTTGGAGGACTCTTGTATGCATCAGGTTGCCTCTTCATTTTGTCCACTGCCATTTTACAACTCGGATGCCCCAGTCTTGCCTAAATTTATTAACACTGCTCCATTTGTTTTCTTGCTTCCAAAATGTATTGGTAGCATTTGTTTTCTCCTGTCTTTTTTAATGATGCATTTGTTACCACTGTAATGAAGCTTGGAGAGAGTGCACAAGCTAACATTTGCATTCAGTCCACTATCTTTAACTAGAAGTCTTACTGGTTCTTCACGCATCATAGTATTCACTTAAAAATCCAGTTCATTGTTTGATTTCTTAGCAATGCTTCAAGGAAACAGCTCATAACTATTGGTAGCAGGATTAAAGTTCAATTTTTTAAATTTCCAAATTAACATTTTTAAAAAACTTACAAATAATATATATTCATCCTAAAAACAAGGGTTATAGCTCCCTGTTACTAAGGAATAAGGAAGACTCCCTACCATAGATGCATGCTCCCGTGGATATTTAACCTTTTTGTAACATACAATTTTATGTTTATATAATTATTATACTCATACACACAGTCAATAAATTTTATAGGAGCCAAGGATATAGCTCCTATAAGGCACTTACAGTGCCTGCAAGTCTAGGATGTTATAAATTATTTAATCTTCCTTATTTATGTAGTTATTTTGCCTTTTTTGCTATCTTACTGTCAGAATATTCTTATATAACATTGTGGTTTATAGGCTTCAGCAGCATGAGTTTCTAGAAGCCTATAAACTTTTCCTGGTAAAAGTTAACTTGCATTTCACAAAGGCTGTCCACTATGTGTATGCTTCTGCCAGTTGTGTTTTGTTTTTTACCATTTTTTACCAATAGTGTTACTATTTGTTACTCTTAATATTTGTTAATCAGTTTTGTTACCCTCATTTTTGATTAGTTGAATATCTAGTCACATGATTAACCTCTTTTATTTCTCCTATCATAGCCTAATTACAACCATACCTATTTTTCCTTGATTAACAAAAAGTCTCTATATTAGGATATTAATCTGATCTACGGTGTATTTTTTGCTATTTTCTTAAATACATCATCAGAAAAATTATATATGTGTATACACACACACACACACACATTTGAGGTGATTTGGTTTGGGTTTTTTGAGACAGGGCAACCTTGAACTGGCCTTGAACTCACTTCTATAGCCCAGGCTGGTCTTGAACTCACAGTAAACCTCCTGCCTCAGCCTCCAAGTACTGGGATTACAGGTGTGCCAGCACACCCAGCAAATTTTTTTTTTATACAGGATACATCTTTCCCTGTACAGCCTCAGAATTTTTTGGTACCAGGAATTGAACTCAGGACATTGTACTTACCAGGCATGCACTTATATCACTGAGCTGTATCACCGGCCCTAGCCTTTGAATTTTGTATCATGGTTAGATCTGCTCAGCTGAGATGGTGGCACATGCCTGAAGTCCAGCCTGTGCAGTTTAACAGCGTAAGCAAGACTGTCTTAAAATCAAAAAGGGCTGGGGATGTGGCGCAGTGTGAAGGCCCCAGGTTTCATCTCCCTTGAGGTGGGGAAGTCCCTTACTAAATCATACAAATAAAATTTTTCAAATTTCAGTCATAGTATTATTCCCAGGACACATTATTGAAACAAACTGTCTTGAAACTACTATAGGCACAGCTCTCATTTTTTATCATTTCTTACATAGGAAAACTGCCTAAGAATTATGACCCAAAAGTTACCCCAGATCCAGAAAGATGGTTGCCAATGCGAGAACGTTCTTACTACCGAGGAAGAAAGAAGGGTAAAAAGAAGGATCAGATTGGAAAGGGGACTCAGGGAGCAACAGCAGGAGCTTCCTCTGAACTGTAAGTCACCTCCACAAAGAGGTCACTTGGGACGCAGGTTGTTTCTGAGATTGACTCAAGGCTAGTGGTCAGAATTTGTTAATGTCTTATAATTATGAGATTTGGGAAAGGAAGCAGCACATGGAGTCATTCAACTAACTGTAGATAAACAGATAACATTAAATAATAGAAAAAAGCATTAAAAATGTTATCCTACATAGCAGAATTACAGATGATTTAATTTTGTCATTTTTTATGACTTCTAAAAACTGGCTTATACCATATATTATTTATTCTTTAGTTATAAATCCATAAAAATTCAAAATAAAAATGGATAAGGAGCTCAAGAGCTGACCTTAAAAGAAAAGGGAAATGTGTGAGAGATTGTTAGGTATAGAAAGTAAAATCCCTGTACATACCCTTTTTTGCTGTTGAATTTTTGAATGACCATAACTTTTCTGTTCTGATGATTTCAGAGATGCCAGTAAAACTGTGAGTAGTCCACCCACCTCCCCAAGACCCGGCAGTGCGGCAACTGTCTCTGCTGCTACAAGCAACATCATACCCCCAAGACACCAGAAACCTGCAGGAGCTCCAGCAACGAAAAAGAAACAGCAGCAGAAAAAGAAGAAAGGAGGAAAAGGCGGCTGGTGATAAGAAGGTCCTCAGTCCAGGGTGTTTTTAAGCTAGTCTCAGTGACTCTAGGAACATAATAAAGGTAACACAGCGAGAAGCACAGAACTGCTCCCTCTTCCATCTCTGTATTTCCACAAAATTTTTTGTGCATCAAATAGGAAAACATCTTCAAACTGTCGTGTTAGATTTGGCCTACTTGTCCCATAGTTTTGCACACAGTATGAGGATTGAAGATGATCAGGCATTTGCTCACCTTGATATCTGTTGTGTCCTTTATCTTTGTTGATTTGATCTTTTTTCCATTTCGCAAATAAGGTACATTACAACAGAGACTATCTCTGCTTTTGCAACTAGAGTCTGAAGATTGATGATGCTTGTTTCTATCAAGTCCCACTTTAAATTATGTCTCAGAAGGCTCTGGGAGACTGAAGTGGAATCTTTGAGCATTCCAAATATTTGCTTAGAAATATCATGTGATAAAAAGGGACCTTATTAAAACTCTGGTGTTCTTCATTTAGCTAAATGAGTGGCCCACAAACAGACTACAGTAAATGTCTTAAACAATTTTAACCACAGATTCTCTGTCGTCTGATACGAGAATATGAGCAGCTTTGTGCCATTTGTGCCCTTTTAATTTTCAGATTATGTTAACTGCTGATTTAGCACCAGTGAAGACCTCAAGAAAATCTATCAATGTTGCAAATAGTTTAAGACCCAGTGTTCAGAGATCAGATGGTTTCGACTGTCTCAATCAAAAAGATTAATGTTCCTATCAAGAACATCAATTGACTTCATTACATAGAGAGGAAATCAATACTATACAGTATTAAAATCTGACAGAACTGGTTGGCCCCATTAATATATTCAAATGGTTCTTCTTTCTAGTAATGGGTTGTGACCATTCATTACCTTTCCCAAAGTAATGAAGTGTTTTAGTCAGTTTGTGATATAAATGTTGCTTATCTTTCCTTGCCTACAAGCCACTCTCATTCAACAGCTGTGAGATGTTAGGATGCCTGCCCTTGTTGGTGTTCATCTTTTGCTGTCCAAGGTATCATTCATTTTAGACTTTTAACTATTTCCTTGTGATCATATTACTCTGTTCTTGTTAATAAAGTGCTGCTGTGTTTGACTGAATGTATCTACTGAAACATCTTCAGTGTTTTTTAAAAAGGCTTCCTCTATAAGAAATGGGGTGCTGCCTCTTGGTTTTGCATAGTCTGAATCTGCAGTGCATCTAAACGAGATCTTAAAATAATTTATTATGATGTAATACATTTTTGAGCTCTATAGAGTAGTGTTTTGTTAAGAGTGACAGATACTTATTCCTTCTTTATACTCTGTTGCAGAAATAATCAGTAAATCCAACATTCCATTAAATAGCTAAAAGATCAGGGTTTTTTAGGTTAAACAACAGAATCTTGGTGAAAATTATCCATCTTTGAAAATTCTGGGGCCAAGGAGTTGGTTCAGCAGTATAAGCGCCTGCCTGGCAAGCGTGAGGTCTTGAGTGAGTTTGATCCCTGATACAAAAAAAAGAAAAAAAGAAAATTCTGACCGAAGGCAAAACAGTGACATTTATAGTTCTTTTAATTGTTGTTATTAACAGCCATTGTTACAGTCCTCATTGTGAAGCAACTGAAGCCTCAAATTATTGTCAGATGAAGTATAAACATCTACATTAACTTTCTAGTAATTCTTTCCTTGTTTGAACAGGCTGACAGTGACATGCATACTTTGTATTTACATATTTACATATGAGTGTGTACATTTATAAAGCGCAGTATGGACACATCCATTTACTGTGGCACATTTTTAAATAAAATATTCTCGCATTGATCATGAATGAAGATGTTTTGGGTGTTGCAGTTTTATGGAGGACTTACTCATTAGTATATCCACGAATTTTGTTTTAAGCTGAGTATGTAAAATTGTCTCCTTACAACAATACAAATGGTATTATGTGACCTCAGTTTAAACCTCACTGAGAATTTATCACCTTACTGTGTATAAACAGAAACTTCTTTTTTCTTTTTTTTTTTTCGGCCTTTTTGAGGCAGGATTTTGCCATGCAGTTGAGCCTGACCTTGAATTCACAGTGATCCCCCTGCCTCGGGCCTCCCAATTGCAGGGATTACAAGTGTCCTACCATCACAGATGTAAACTTTGTTTTTTAAGAGGAAAAAACCCCCAGAAAAATCAAGAAGCAGACAAGCAATTAAAAAACAACAACAAAAGCAAAATGACAAGGACGACAACAACAAAAAACAATGGCTGAGACAAAACAAGATTTCAAAACATGATGATAGGAATTTAACAATGGTTGTTAACATTATTTGCATATTATGCTCAAAAGTAATTGCTCAGGCTACCAGGTACAAGCATGCAGGATTGATCAAACAATATAATTTCCCTTTGAGCAGAAGTAAACTTTTAAGGTATGAAACATGGCGTTTTCAAGACTATTTGAAACTGCTAACTTTAAAAGTACATTGCATCACTCAAGCTTTCTGAAACCTTCATTCGTTACAGGTCTCTAAAATGTGGGGAATCAGTTTATTGTGTGGCAAAGCTAACTTTGTCTTGTCTGCTTGTTTTAGTGGTGCTAGGGATAGGCCTTCTGCATGCTAATCAAGTATTCTACCACCAGACTACACCACTGACCCTAAAAACTAATTGTAAAATTGTGAAATACACCACAGTGCAGCTCATGGATAAGAGAATCATCCTTATACTCTACCAATTTAAAAGCACTTCACTACCTTGGAAAAAAAAACCTGTTAGATGCTAATTCACTACATACTAGAGCCTTAGGAGCAACTACACATTGAGTTTAGTTTTGGCTTGATACTGGGAATTAGACATCTCCCAAGTTTTATTTTGTTTTGTTAAGGGAAATGCAACAGGAATTCGCGCCATGGACAGTGCTGGCTAGCAGTTTTTAGACCTCCCTTTGTGTTTACCCGCAAAGACTGTTCCTGGTTGGGAGATGGAGACAGGCGGGGGTCCTTGGGCTCGCTCAGGACCCAGGCCGGTGCTAGGTTTTTTCCAGGTGGGAGACACAGCTGGCCCGGTAACCCATGGTCAAGCTGAGAAGGTAAGCGTTGGGGACCCCCCAAGATCGCCACAGCCAACCTCCAGCGCGAGTGGCCCCCGGGGATGCTTTTCCCCCAGCGAAGATGGCCTCGCGGGATTCTCCCCACCCTCCTGCCAGCCCACCCCAGCATCCCCACTCCCATCCCAAGGCGCGAGCCTCCGAGCGCCGGGCCGGCTGCGCTGTGAGCGCGGAGGCGGTGAGCACAGCGGCGACGCCTTGGACCTACGTCCCCCTGCGCCCGGCCACACCTGCGAGGACCGGGCGGCGAGGGCCAGGATCGGGCGCGCCGGCGCGCGGGGAGGAAGGAAGGACACGCGGAGGGGATGGAGAGGGGGAAAGTGAGGAAGGACAAGGGAAAGGGGCCCGCGAGGGACAGAATTAGGCTAACAGGCAAGGAAGAGAGAAAGAAAGAGGCGGGGGATAAAATTCAGGAAAAAGAGAAGGGCAAGACGAAAGCCAACGGAAAGGACGAGAAGGGTAAGAGAAAGGACAAAGGGGTGGAGAAGAGGAAGGAGCAAGGCAAGGCGGCAGAGAAACGGGAGAAGCAGCCCGGAGGAGAGCAAGAGGAGAGGGACCCCGGCAATGTGGCGAGCCCCGCGCCCCAGCCTGCGGTAAGTCACGCCGGGCCCCCCCGGCCTCCCCCCCGAGGCCATTGCCCCGCCCGGCCAGCGTCTCTGTTACGTCTCCTGCGGGCTCCCGCTGGGCGGGGGTGGGGTGCTGGGTGCCCGAGCGGCTTTCAGGCCCGTCCTGCGGCCCTGCCTGCCGTGCAGAGGGGGCGCACCTCTCCTTGGGTCGTCAGCCACCAATCTGGCCGGACACGTTGTGTCATTCCCGGGACACATTCGTTGTGGAATGTGCAGGGTTTCTGGGTTTATGCTGGTGCTTTTGGGAGCTCTGGTCCTTTTCGATGGCTGCTGCTTGCCTTGTTGAGAGGTTTCAGAACTGAGACACTCTTCCGCCCAGCTAGATGCGCTCAGCGCTCCTGGAGTTCCTGGCCTGGCTCCTGGGCCTGGAGCGGCTTTCTGGGTCAACATGATTTGAATTATTCACAGCGATTTAATCCTTGGCGGTGTATAGGTCAAATGGGTCTTTGCCTTTTTGACAAAGGTGTTCAGAATCACGTTTTTGTAAGGTGCTGGATTTTGAACCCAGGGTCTTTTACTTAACTTTGAACCCTGAACTTCATCCGCAGCCGGTTTTGTTTTGAAAGGGACTAAGTGGCCCAGGCTGGCCTAGTTTCTGATTCTTCTGCCTCAGCCGCCTGGGTAGCTATGCTCACAGTCGTGCACCAAGCGCATCTCAATTTTTGATGCGCAACGATCCCAACTTTCTCTAGGTGGTGAAACTCAAGAGTCCTGTATTTTTTTCTTCTCTCCTCCTCTTTTCCGTGTACCTGTCCTCTCCTGCAGTTCTATATCCCCTGACCAAAGTCTGAGACAGAATTGAAGTGAAATGTAAAACCCCAGCGCAGGACTTCCGGTTAGGATGAGCTGAGGGACAGCAGTGTGGTTAGAAAAGGGTCAGGGAATTGATATTAACTCACAAGTTCATAGTGTTGCAGAATTTCCAAGAAACTGGAGAGACTGGGAGGGATATTTCAGGAGGACTTTACGGGTGCACCATCCCGGCCACTAGAAATGCTCAAAATTAGAGGGTCCGCCAACCAAGGAGGACCCTTGGAGAGGACCCCTTTGGCATATCATTTGTAATGTGAAGCAAGTGGAGACGCACAAGTAAAAGGCATTCAGTCATCCCAGCAGCTAACCCTATCTTAGCCTTCACAGAAAACTCTTCCCGGGCATCTCAGGATCTTAGGATGCTAAGAAGCTTGTTTATTCCCATTTGTTAATATTGTGGGTTGGGGCCCTGTACTGCCCCTCTAGGGAAGGAGAGTCTCCCAGAAAAGATTAGAAGTGTCTCTTTTACCAGTGAGAAAGCTCAGGTCCACTGAATTCCTGAGGGAAGGGTTGCCTGAGGAGGAGTTGAGCTCCTCAACTGGGAGGATTTTACACAGTTCCCAATCTGAATATTGAATATTGTAATTCAAGTATTGTAACCCTTTTTCCAATCCTTCTCAAAATCCAAAGAGTTATATTTGCAATCTCATTGAGACTTTATTGGAATCCCGCCAAGTTAATTCCAAATTATCATCTCCAATGAAACCCACAGTGAGAATAAAGATACCAAGACATATTCAAAGTTATGGGCAGCCAAGGAGTCCTAAGCCCTATACAAATGAGGATATTCAGACACAGATCTTGCTTGATCCAAGGCCTCCCTCAGAATTTATTGTGAACAAGGGATGAGTGACCCTGAGGATGGTGGAAACTATGTGAGTACACTGAGCTGGCTGGCCAGGTAGGGAGAAAAACATCTTTGCAAAATGCAGGGAGAATGATACCTTAGAAGGATCAGTCTGCATAATACAATTAAGGTAGCATTTGAATTGTATTATGAAACTAAGTTTTGCTTTAATAGGATCTAGGATGTGGTTATTTTAGTTGTCACTAAAAACCCCTGCCAGTAAAACATGGTCTATAATCACCTGCAAAGCGTCCTAAATTCACAGGTGTTACCGAGGCGGGGGGAGTATGTGTATCATGGAATGAATAGGGTCCCCAGTGGCGATTGGGGGCCATAACACACACTGTGTGTTGCATCTCTTGCTGACACCATTGCTTCAAAGTGTACAGCTTAAAACATCTAATGAAATCTCCTGTGTGCATCGCCTTCTTCCTTATCATACCGCGCTCAGAATGGCGCCATGACACACAGACGCAGATGGAGGGAAGGGGAACAAGGTAGGAACCAAGTGGGAAAGACCTATGAAAATGTGTTTGCTTCTAGAGCCATCAAGAATTCCTTCCAAGAAGGGCATGGTTGCACACGCCTGTAATCTCAACACTCAGGAGGCTGAGGCAAGAGGATTATTGTGAGTTTGAGACCAGCCTGGGTTACAAAATGAACTCAAAGCCAGCTTGAACTGCATAGCGAGAGCCTGTCTCAAAAAGACCAAAAAAAAAAAAAAAAAAAGTAATTCATTCCAAGTACAAGGTCCTGAATTTGATTCCCCCACCAGAAACTAAATAAATAAATAATAAAAAAGAAAAAAGAAGGGGGCTGGGAATTTAGCTCAGCGGCATAAGCGCCTGCCTCATAAGCAGGCAGTCGTGGGTTCGATCCCCGGTTCCGATAAAAAGGAAAAAGACGGAAAAAAAAAAAGAATTCATTCTAAGCATATGTACCTTTTCAAATTCAGTTACTTTCTACTTGGCCTTTGTAAATCATGCTTTCTACACAAGTTTGTATAGGCCAACTCATATATCTCACTGTCACAGAGATCTTTTAAAAAATACTAGACATTCTAATGCTGTTTAAAATCATTTTCCAAAAATCTAGTCTAACCTCAGTAAACATGTAGTGTTCAAGCAGATATGTATAAAATTATTTCCCAACCAGCACATGTGTGTGCTCACACGCATGCATATTTGTGAGTAATAGGAATCAGGGCCTTCACACTGAGCTACAAATCTCTGAATTGCCCCTGAAGACTGGACCTTATAATACTCCTGCCTCTGCCTCCCAAATGCAGGGATTACAAGTATACTCCGTGTTTGGCTCTGCACTAGTACAATTAAAAACAGTTGGGTTTTTGTGTACAGTAAACCTGGTGCTGGGGATCAAAACCAGAAGCATTCTATCACTGAGCCTTTTTTATTTTATTTTGAGACACGGTGTTGCTGTATTACCCAGACCGGCTATATTGAACTTGTGATGCACCTGCCTCAGCCTCCCTTCTAGCTGGGATTACAGGCATGCTCCACTGAGCCCATCCATGAGAAACTTCTTAATTAAGCTGTTTGCAAATAATTGAACAGTCTGGCTGTACTGTTCCTCACTTGTTACTGTTTAAAGTTTGTACCATAGACAAATCTCTGACTGCCTCTGTCTGCAAACCAGAATTCTATCTTAGTCATGAAAATCTCTAATGCTGGTGTGTTTGTAGAATTCGTCTTTTTAAATTTACTTCCAGTTCATCAGGCTTTACACTGGGCTTTTAAACAAATACCCTTTCATTCTTGGAATTGGTTTAACGATTCCTATAATCTGCTGGGCATGATGCATACCTGTAATCCCAACACTTGGGAGGCTGAGGCAGGAGGGTTGCTGCAATTTTGAGGCCAGCATAGGCGACATAGTAAGTTCAAGGCAGCCTGAACTACACAGCAAGACCCTGTCTCAAAAAAACAAACAAACAAACAAAAAAACTCCTATAATCTTTTTACCTTTTCTTTTAATCATGATGCTTATGTTTTAAAAATTAGGGGAACTCTGCCCTGAGATTTTATAACCCAGCTGTTCAGTTGTGAGGGCAAGAAGGGTTAATAATGATGATGATGATGATGACTAATGAGACCTTACCTGCGGAGTGGCACAGTCAGTACTTGCACCACCAAAAAACAAATGAACCAATCAACCAGAATCTTCAACACACGTGAACTTTAATAGACAAGAAGCAAAATCCTAACGATTGGCCTTGTGATCAATAGTACCTACCACTGAGTTATATAAAAATACTTTATATTGTAAATACGCTACAAAATATCTAATGCGTCATATGTGTGTAATATGTCATATATCTAAAGTGTTTGATAGGCTGACCAGGAGCTAGGGAATGGAGAAGGGTTACCATCACGTAACTAGCAAAAGCTGATTAGAAGATATTAGCTGGTTGGTACCATTTGACTTAGACTTACACCAATTTTTGTGAAGTTTTGCTCTGGTTTGCAATTTTAGTACTATTCATAGGTCCTGCCATAGGCAGGCATAGTGTCGGTAGCCAGGACAGCAAGGTTCTGACAGTACAGGTTTATTGGTTTATGTTTTGTTTTGCAGGAGGAAAGTAAGCAGATCCTAGTTCTAGGCCTGGATGGAGCAGGGAAAACCAGTGTCCTCCACACCTTAGCTTCCAACAGCTCCTGTCACAGCATGGCGCCCGCCCCAGGTTTCAATGCGGTGAGCATCGACGCAGGAGGCCGCCCCATGGAGTTCCTGGAGAGTAAGCCCTCTCCCCACTAGTGTGAGCCGGAATGTTCCCCAATGGCATGAGCCCCACGTGATGTGACCCTCGCTGGGACCTTGGCCTAAGTAGCTCTCCAGATTTTCTCAGGGTTTTTTTGTTTCTGCTTTTTGTTTGTTTGTTTGTGAGACTAGGTGCAGTCCAGGATGGCCTTGAACTCACAGCAATCTTCCTGCTCAGCCTCAGATATGTGCCATCATGCCTGGCTTTTCCAGGCTTTTATAACACATACGTGGTTTTAAACAAAGGTACCCTGTAGAATGGGGATCACTTTATGCTTTTTACATTTTCTCCTTTTTTGCAGTACTGGTCAGACAAAGGGGTGTTTAAAGGAAGGTTTATCTAAGCCTTGTCATCCCTAATATTATCCTCCCTGTTCCCTGCTGTAAATCCCGTGCAGTCTAAGTACAGTGTGTTTCCTGCTCCTCATTGCAAGCAGAGATGAACCTAAACTTCCTCTGCTGTCCGGACAGCAGCCCCAGGCCCCCATTCTGTAGTAGTTCTGGAGTCAGTACCTCGGGCCTCAGGTCTTCTCTTCCCATCCTCTCCAGGTGTGATTTCCTCCACCCTATGGTAGTAAATGCTATCTACATACTAACAATTCCCAGTTTTACCCATCCATCCCAAACGCATCCAGATGTCTTCTGCCATCTACACTTGAATGTCTGACTGGCCTGTTAAACTTATTTGGTCAGAACAGAAATGTCTGCTTTATTGCAGGTCACTTCTCTCTCTATAATCTACTGGGAAGATGCTCCTCACAGTCAGGTATTGTGAGGCCAAAACCTGATTTCTTCACCTGAGTCACCTTGATTTCTCCACCTATCTTTACCTTCAGTCTGCAAGTCAAATACTTCAAATTTTTCCAGCTCCAAGGCATATCTCAAATTTATCAGCTACAGCCCTTCCCGCTGCCCCCACTGAGTCACCCCCACTTCTTTCTTAGATCCTGGCAGTCAATGTTTCATTTTTGTTTTCATCCAGTGACAAAGAACAATATTTTAATATCTATTTAAGCAGATTGGTTGCTGATTTAAAATCTTTCAGTAATAGAGTTCCATTACTAAATAACACATGGTTCAAATATAAAATCATATTGGAAATTTGAAAATACCCAGAAGTGAATGATTATTAAAAATAGCATTGAAATCTTCTGATCAAAACTGGTGTGCCTGTCTGAAAACAGGTTCAAGAAATGTGTCTAGTTGCCAAGTTGACAAGAGGTGGATTGTTATGGTTGATACATTGTATCAACTTGAGTTCAGAAGTTTAACTAAGACTCAGCAGGGAGCTAGGACCCTTACTTTGTAAATATCCTCAGCCTGTGCAAGAGGAGAGCACAAAAATTTTGTGAGTGCTGCACTTGCCCTGGAGCAGGGTTGGAAGGTGCTCTGTGTACAGTGTAAGGGAGGAAAAGGGGCTTTCTCTTGCCCACCTTTTGCTGTGCTGACTTCTTGCTAGCTGTTGCCTTGAAGTGTTGGTGCCATGCCACTCTGTCTTGCAGCCAGCTGATTATGGACTGAAATCTCCACAAACTGTGAGCTAAACAGAACTTTCCTTCCTTAAAAAAAGGGGGGGGGGGGCGTGCCAATGAAATAATTGTCTTAATGTCTTTCTTGTTGCTTAAACACAGTCTCGGACACCTATAATTCTATGGAGAAAAGGCTTATGTTGGGTAAAAATTTTTACCTAGACTATGCGGTATGTTAAAGGGCCACCTGAATTACATAGCAAGACCCTGTCTCAAAAAAATAAATGGATGCACTTTGAGGCTATAATGTTAAGTGAAATAAATCAGATGTACAACCTTAAATTTTGCATGATTTCTCCTACATAAGAAACCCAAAATGTAAATAATGAGCACGAAAAAAGAGGAAGATCTTTTGCAAAAGAGAAGGAAATGAAGAGATGCGCGTTGGGGAGGGAAAGGGGGATGAAAAATAATAGTGATGTGCTATGTAGCTGTGCCAACTCCCCGTCTCTGCCAAGATGTACTGCAAACATGTACTGATAAAAAAAACTGAAAAAGAAACAAAGACACAGTAGAGAAGATCAGAACAGTAAAAAATAAAAAAAAGAAGAAGAAGAAGAAAGGTCAAAAGTTATTTCCCTGAAAAGATAAACAAAACAGACAAACTTGTGAAATTTATTGAAGAAAACTGAGGAAGCAGAAGTAATGTCATGAATGAAAAAAGAATGGCATTGATTACATGACAAGAAAGGGCCAGGGACTTAGCTCAGTGGCCTAAGCACCTGCCTGACAAGTGCAAGGTTGTGAGTTGGATCCCCTGTATCAAAAAAAGAAAAAAGATAACAAGAAAATACTGTATACATCGTGACAATATATAACGAAAATGAGTTCAAGAAGGGATAAAATATTGAATGATTAAAGATTTTAAAGAAATCAAGGAGGCACCAGATATTGGAGTGGTAAGCAGCAGAGACAGAGCGCCTCTGAGTCTTGCCATCTGAATGCTGGGACAAGGCAATGTGAGGAAGCCAAGTGGGAGACGAGTGGGGCCCCCTGGACCCAGGAATGATCTGAAGCATGAATTGAAGCCCATGCAAAGAGTAAAAGGAGAAACTTCAAACACAGAAGAAAGAGGTAGCCAGCAGAGCCTTCTACCTGACTTGGGGCTCACTGCACGAGAGGAGCGGTTCAAACTACAGATATGTGGTGATGGCTGGTGATCCCTTCACAGAAAGACACAGCACTGGAGGGGAGAAGAGGATGTGAGGACTGCACTGATTGTCGGAGAGGCAGAGGGCTCAGTCCTCCTGTGCAAGCCAGTACCTGGGCAGGTGTAACTTGGAGTTGGGCCAGTTGAGCTCAGAACTCAGAGCAGCTGCTGGCTCCATCTAGTGTCTCCCAGCTGGGCTGAGGCCTGGCACTGATGACGGCAGGAGAAATGAGTCTGGTCTTATCCAGAAGGTGCAGGTTTGCTGAGATTATATACCACCCAGCCAAAAAGCTACTACCAGCTGCTGGTGTAGATTGGTATGAATTGGGACTCTGTTTCCACATATTGTCTGCCAGTGGCAGCAGAGACAAACCTAAACACCTGGACTTTTTCTCTCTCATTTTTTGTTATTCTTGCTGTTGTTGTGATTTTGTGTTTTTTCTTCATTGTTTGTTCTTCTTTTTATAGGAGTATGAACATGGTTTTCTACTCTCTTCATGATTGTTATTCTGTCTGCTTCTGTTCTTTTATCTTTCCCTCCAGTCTTCTGTACCAGTTTTCCAAAGTTAGCATGATCCTCCTTTGTCTTCCAGGCTTACTTTTAATCTCATCCTGTTTTTTTAACATATTTTTCCCAATTCTTTTTTAAATTTTAATGCTTGAGGGTAAAATTGGCATATTAAGGACTTGTATATTGCATATACTTTTTTGATATGTTTTAGATTTCATTAGGTAACTACAAATCTAGTGTAGATAGTTAAAGGTATCAAATTAATGGTTACATCAGTTTGTCATTTCCTGGGGTGTGATTGATACTACTGTTACTGCTAATGGTACCACCTTAGACAACAGTGACACAATAGTTCTACACAGTGATTCTTTCTGGTATTCCAAGATTGAGATTGACTAAGGGTCATAGAAAATACTGTGGAATATTGCAAAGAAGAAGGGGCTGGGCTAAATAGGCATCAACTTCTCACCTCCAACAAATTGAAGATTCAAAACCCAAAAACTAGTTACACCTGGAAGATACCTCAAAGTAATTATCTGAGGGTCCTAAATACTAGCAATAAAGCAACCTGCCATAGGTAATTTATAAGCATTACCCCAGGAATTTAGCTAAAAAAGAAAAGAACATGAGATGACAACCAAAATTCAACTCCAGACACCCAGTTCACCAAAAACAAACTCAGGGGGCAATGAGGTGGGGACAATTTGAAAGCCTCCCACCTGGCTTCTCTGAAGTGGTAACGACAAAGCAATTCAATGAGGCTCTAGAAAAAGTCAAATCAGAATCAACTGCAGAAATCTCAGATAACTGCAGAGATGGTGTCCACAGTGAATACTATGCTTTGTGATTACAGCAGATACAGACAAAAAATGTACAGGCGCTTAAGAAAATTATGGCGGCCATGAGTGTTTAGCATAGGAAAGATTTGGAATCCATACAGCAGATTCAAGAGGATTTCCAGAAGAATAAAAATTCTATTGAAAGTATCCACAGCAGATTAAGCCAGTGTAAGGACAGGATCTCAGATATAGAAGACAGGCTTCCAGTTAGCCATCATGAAAAGATATATTTCTTAAAAATAGCAAGGGACCATGAAAAATCAAGTCAGCATCTGCTAGATGAGGCAAAGAAAAGAAAAATAACTTCAGATTTATTGGAATGAGTGAAAAAGCAGAATATAGTACAAATGATATTTTTTAAAAAAACTCACAGTCATCATGGTGGAAAACTTCCCTGATAGTGAAAAAGAATTTTGACATACACATAAATGAATCTTAATAGCACTCCAATTAGCCATGATAAAAAACTATAACCAGGCATATTACAATCAGGATTGCAGAAATTCAACACAAGAATGGAATTTAAAAGCTGTTCGGGGAAAAAAAGAGCTGTTAGGGAAAAGAAACAAATCATCTATTAAGGAAAGCTCACAAGAATCACAGCTGACTTCTCAGCACAAATCCAAGGACAGCTTGGAGTGAAATGTTTCAAGTTAAGGAAGACAATTTTCAATCCAGATTAATGTACCTCACAAAAAAGATATTTCCATGAAAATATTCTGAGGAAATTTATGATCACCAAACCATCACTCCAAAACATTCTGAAGGACATTCTTGACCCGCCCCACGTGGGGCGTTGGGACTTGACCTGCCCCATGTTGGGCGCCACTTGATCCGGCCTGCGGACCAATCTATGGGTCTCAACTGGAGAGGGGATCGGGGATGGGGGCAGGGCAAGAGAAAAGAGAGATGGAGACAGGATGCGATTCCAGTGGAGTCTCGTTTATT